CTCGGGTCTCCTGGGTCTCCCTCTCCTTAATGGCTGAGACACAGCGGCAGGAGCCATTGACTCCCACTGCTGGCAATCACAGCCAATGAGGAGAGAGCGAGGCAGAGCCAATGCTCTATGTGTCTTATGGATTTATAGAGCGGGGCTCAGGAGCAAGTATGCACCAGTGCCCCCAAGCAGCTTGCTATTTGGGCATTGGTCGAGGGGGGCCATGAGCTCCAGCGTGATACCTGAGAAGAGGAGGATGAGGCTGCTCTGTGTAAAACCACCACACAGATCAGGTAAGTATAACATATTTGTTTATAAAAACAAAACAAAAAAACAACCTTTAGTATCACTTTAAAGCTGGCAGTGGGGCCTTGGGGGCAGTAAAAACGTGGCTTGAACTGCAGATATTTACTATCCTCCCCCCAACTACAAGCATAAAAAGCCCTTAAATGTTTCTATTTTGTAATATTTAGCACTTAATTTAATATTTTTGTGTTGTTTTATCTCACAGGGTGTAACACTGTACCAAAGTGAGATCAAAGCAGACACACTAAGAAATGTGAAAATATGAAAACGTTGTTAGTGTGCCTTCATTTACAGCATGATCTCCCTCTAGTACAACGTTACAAATGATTTACTTTCACATAATCGCACTATTACATTTTTTTCTTCTCACTTACTGGCCGGCACAGAGTTCGGCTGATTTTTATTTTTTGCATTCCTAAAATATTGAATGTCTGTACCACAAGATAAGGAACCATTTTATTTTTAGTGAAATGACTTTAATGAAGCTTTGCTGATAGTTATCTCACATTTAATTTTTTTTTTTTTATTAATGAATTTCCTCTTAAATTATCGCATGAGATAATTTATGCAAATAGGTCTGGTGACACTAATATCGCATGCGATAAATGTTAGTGAATTGACCCCACAAAGACAGAACCCAAGAACAGACAGAGATGCGAATCAGCACAAACTAACTCCGACAGATGCACCAGCCCTGGCTGATGAGGGCAGAGCCCCTGAATAGCCTTAAACACAGAACAGATGAGACACAGTAGGAGACAGCGAGACAAAACCGCGATGGAAAGCAAAAGGATTTCAGACATTAAAGCGGTAAAAACACACCAAGCTCTTGATTTCAATTACCATACAAGATTATTAAATCAAAGTCATATTAGATTAAATAAACACCCTATGGCTATTCAAAGCCAAATTGCGGAATTTGGGAATCCAGCTGTGAGACAATGACACTTTTGTTATGGCCTTCTGGGGTGATTAAAAACTACCAGGAGGAATTCTCTTGATCGGATTTTCCGGGAAAAGCCAGCTCATGATTTAACCAGCCCTGAGCCACCACCCATTTTTGAATAGCTCTGCTTCACACAACAGGATTTTTTTTGCCAAGGCTTCCTTTTATTACCTGGACTTTAAAAGTTATGATTAAAAAGGGTGAAACGCACTGAAAAATGTAAAAGCAATTTAGATAATCTTATGCTTACGTTTCTCTGATGAAACTGCAGGTCACCTTTTTGAATAGATTTGTATAACCACAAATCGGCTGTAAACATCTCATATAGTATAAATATATCTATTGCGTGCATTTTATTATTAATTGCTGCCTGCAGACTTAGAGTAGCATTATTGTTATTTATTACTGGCATTTATATACTGCCAACAATTTATATAGTGCCTTACATACTGTACATTTACATCAGTCCCTGCCCTCAAGGAGCTTGCAATCTAAGGTCCTTATCGCACATTATTATTATTATTATACAGTATTTATATAGCGCCAAAGGGTATGCTCAGCGCTGTACAGTAGCAAGGGGGCAAAACATGAGACAAGACAGTAACAATACACTACACGAGGGGTTCGAGGGCCCTGCTCTTTCGAGCTTACAATCTAGGAGGGAGGGGAAGGTGGCACAGGAGGAGATGGCTGTGGGGGATGGAGTGGTGGGTGGAGTGGAAAAGGTTAGTTGTTAGGTGAGGTCGGGTGTTAGTTGAGGTTGGGGTAGGCTTCCCTGAAGAGGAGGGTTTTCAGGGTGCGCCTGAAGGTGAGGAGGGTAGGTGACAGTCTTATGGATTGGGGTAGGGAGTTCCAGAGGATGGGGGAAGTCCTGGAGAAGTCCTGCAATCGGGCGTGGGAGGAGGAGACCAGGGAGCTAGAGAGCAGGAGGTCCTGTGGGGAGCGGAGGGCACGGGTAGGGTAGTATCTGGGTATCAGGTCAGTTATGTAGTTCGGGGCAGCATTGTGAATGGCCTTGTAGGTCAGGGTTAGCAGCTTGAACTTGATGCGTTGGGCAATCGGGAGCCAATGAAGGGATTGGCAGAGGGGGGAGGCAGATGTGGAGCGCTTGGTGAGGTGGATGAGTCTGGCCGCTGAGTTTAGGATCGACTGGAGTGGGGATAGCGTTCGTTTGGGTAGGCCAGTGGGAAGGGAGTTGCAGTAGTCCAGGCGTGAGATGATGAGGGAGTGTACGAGTTGTTTGGTGGTGTCTGGGGTGAGGAATGTGCGTATCTTGGAGATGTTGCGGAGGTGGAGCTTGCAAGATCTAGATAGCAGTTGGATGTGGGGTAGGAAGGAGAGGTGGGAGTCCAGGGTGACACCCAGGACTTTGGCGTGTGGGGTGGGAGAGATGGTGGCATTGTTAGTAGTGATGGAGAGGATGGGGGGGGGCACGGGGGGGGGGGAAGACCAGGAGCTCGGTTTTGGATAGGTTAAGTTTGAGGAAATGGAGCGACATCCAGTCTGATATGTCATTTAGGAGGTGGGCGATGCGGGCAGAGAGTGAGGGGGTGAGGTAAATTTGGGTGTCGCCGGCATAGAGGTGGTAATTGAAGCCGTGGGAGTGAATAAGTTTGCCAAGGGAGGAGGTATAGATGGAGAAGAGGAGGGGCCCGAGGACAGAGCCTTGGGGGACCCCGACAGAGATGGGGGGGGAGGGGGAGGTGGCAGTGTTGTAGGTGACGCTGAAGGAGCGTTGGGAAAGGTAGAGGTGAACCAGGAGAGAGCAGCGTCCTTGATGCCAAGGGAGTGCAGTTTGGCAAGGAGGAGAGGGTGGTCAACAGTGTCGAGGGCCGCGGAGAGGTCGAGGAGCAGGAGGATAGAATAGTGGCCATTGGCTTTGACAGTTAGCAGGTCATTGGTGATTTTAAGTAGGGCGGTTTCGGTGGAGTGCAGGGGGCGGAAGCCAGACTGTCGGGGGTCAAGGAGGTTGTTATCAGTGAGGTGGGCGCTTAGGCGATTGTAGACCAGGAACTCAAGGAGCTTGGAAGTGAAGGGCAACAAGGAGATGGGTCTAAGGTTGTTAAGGTTAGTGGGGTCAAGGGAGGGTTTTTTGAGTATGGGGGTGATGTGTGCGTGCTTTAGAGGGGGGGAGGGGAAGGTGCCGGTGGAGAGGGAGAGATTGAAGATGTGGGTGAGGGAGCGAATGATGGGGGGGGGGGGGGAAACTGGAGGAGCTGTGAGGGGATAGGGTCCAGGGGGCAGGTGGTGAGGCGGGCTTCAGTGAAGACCTTAGAGACCTCCTCGGGGGTAGTTGGGCATACTAGGGCCAATTTCAATTATTATTATTATACAGGATTTATACAGTGTCAACAGTTTGCTCAGCACTTTACAATATACAACGGGAGCCAATACAGCAACAATACAGTTCAATAGAAGAGGGTTAGGAGGGCCCTGCTCCTTGAAGCTTACAATCTAAGAGGGAGGGGCTAGTGGTACAAAAGGTAGTAACTGTGGGGGAAGGACTGGTAGGAGGAGTAGAAGATTCCATTATTAGCTGAGGGCTTCCCTGAGGAGATAGGCTTTCAGAGATCGCCTAAAAGTGAGCAGAGTAGGCAATAGTCTGATAAATTGGGGTAGAGAGTTCCAACAGATGGGGAAGCTCTGGAGAAGTCCTGGAGACGAGCATGGGAGGAGGAGAAAAGGAAGTTAGAGAGCATCCCACACAAGCACAGGGAGATTGTGCTGTGGCCAGGATTCAAACTGAGACCCCAGGACTATTAGTCAGAAGGTTTAATTACTCAGCCACTAAGACAGTTTTTTTTTTTATATTATTAGGATTTATTTTACCGTTTGTGTCCTTTTGAGGACATATTACTGTCAGCTTATAAAGGCTGCGTGTTTCCGTCTAAGTGATTTCCCCTCACTTCCTGTTCTGTCTGACACCTGTCACTTGGGGATGAAGTGAGGTTATTTCCACCAATGGTTCTTTCAGGTGGGCAATAAACTACCTCCCTTTTCATGACACTTGTTTTTTTGTTTTTATAACTTTTTTTTTAATTGCTGAATGGAAATTTTACATTCCAGCTGCGAGCCAGCGATTGCAGATCAACCTATTTATCTTAATGGACTGGTGAGTTTGCCGGGTTGTGCAGCCTGTCAAATTCTGCAGTCTGATTTTACTAATCCCCCCCTTCTCGGCCACATGTGAGAAAAACAATAATAAAATCCTGGTGTGTGCAGTGAGGAAAGCACCAAAAATGGAGTCCAGAAGTTGATTTATTGAAAGTTATGCTCAATTTAAAGCCAAAACATTTCAAAGGTTAAAGTGGTTCTAAAGGCAGGGGTTTTTTTTTACCTATTAACCCACCAGCATGTCTATGGAGTGTGGAAGGAAACCCATGAAGGCACAGGGTAAACATACAGGCTTCATGCAGGGTAGGGCAATGGTTGGCATTTGAACCCTAGTGCTGCTAGGTGGGAGTGCTAACCACTTAGCCACTGTGCTGCCCCTCTTAATTCCTGTTATGTCTGAAAGTCATCACATAAACATGAAGTGGAGAGATTTCCTCATTTCCTGTATTGTTCAAACCGTTCTCTAATATATACAGTATAAATGTAAAAATAAAAGGTTTGGGTTTGGGTAATAACTGCAGCTCTCTAACAAAAACGCAGAAATTTTGGGAGGTAAGGAGAAGTCCTGAACAGGAAGAAATGACATTTATCTGTTTGTTGTTTCATGGATGTTTATGGGTCCATTATGTATTCTGTCCACCAACAGGTTTGTTTTATAAAATTGAAGGTCAGAAGGATCCTGTACTTTGTGGCAATAGCACAGATACCGGGTAAGAAAAAAAGATTACTCAAATTTATAATTGAATTATACAGTGTAAATCAATTGGGAGGCTGCGCTGCCCCTCCTAAAACGGTGAGATCATATTTAAAGTGATAAGTGTGTATGTGAATCCCACTTTAAAATATGCGTAGTTATAGAAGTGAATTGTGCTACAATACACCTCCCTCCTTAATGAATATATATATGTAATCACAACTCTAAAAATGGACATAAATCACAATATTGTGTATCATGCTACAATGCACCTCTCTCCTTAATGAGGGTGTCCTGCAATCCACCGTCATGTGCCGTGCTTCAATGCACCTCTCTCCTCAATGAGGGTGCTCCTGCAATCCACCGTCGTGCTGTGCTACAATGCACCTCCCTCCTCAATGAGGATACCTGTGCGACACTCAAATATTAAAGAATTATACAGAGTTTATAAAGAATTATACATTAAAAGTTTCAATGTCATTGAGCTTGTTGATTTGGAAATTTGCACGCAGCACAAATAAATTGTCAAAATGTTTTTTCTAACACAAACCTATATCTTTAAAGTAAATGTCATTGTGTCCAAAACCACTGAAAGAACACATACCTTTCCTGCTGCTCTCACCTCCAACATGCAGCTCCATCCATGAGAAAACGTAAATTTGAAGTCTACAGACACACCAACACTTCTGGCAGTGTCAGTCTACTTGGTCTCCTGCAGTGGTCAATGCCTGCTCCTAGGGCTGTGGATAAAGGGGTACCACCGGTCCTCCTGTATGGGGCCCAGGCCAGCAGGGGGACTCAGGCAGCAGGGTGAATCAGATGTGGGCAGTGAGGGTGATTGATGCGGGGGCAATTACTGGAACCGATCCTCTGTATGGCTTTCTCTGCAGCAGCTGAAAGCTGCTTCTTCTCTCTCCTCCTCCAGCCGGCATTCAGTTGCTGCAGAAGGGGCCACAGCAGGGATCGGTTTCAGTAATTGCCACCCAGCCCCTTTCTTTCATGAATTAACACAATGAGTGATCGGTACCGATCACTCACTGTATTCATTCATAACTGAAGCATAGTAAAACAGTATCTATTTGGAGGTGGACCCTGTAAGATTGGCTGCCAGAGTATTTGTAGCTGCTGACTTTTATTTTCTTTTGAGGGCCACTGAAGATCTTCTTTAAAAGAGAAGTTGGGGAATCATGAAAAATAAAACACCTAGTTGAATGCAGCATCAATCTGATCCTGCATCTGTCCCTCCCAGCTCTGCACAAATAACTTAGCAATCAAACCCTGCAATCGCTCAGTTCTCCCCCTCCAATCTGAGCTGGAGATCCAAGCTGGAGAGGGAGCAGCTGGCTCAGTCTCCCACTAGCACAGCAGGTCCAACTAGGTGGATCTTTACAAATCCTGGACTGACTCTGGGGCATCAGCCAACAGTGGGCTTTTGCCGGCTGTGGGCTGAAAACGGTTGCAGAACTAGCTGCACCCCTGTGATCCATAGAAGTATAGCCAAAAAAGCTTTGACTATACTTCTCCTTTAACAGTTTCTAGCTGATATGTCTTTTAATTTGCAGAAAATTGTATTCCTAACCGTTCTTGGAATGTGCTGTTAGCATGTCCTTGGCAGGCCTTGTTGTGCAGTGCTGGACAGACAATAGGTCTACCATTGTACATCCCTTTCTGTCCACCTCCTCCATTCATAGAAGCTGACTATACATTCCATCAATACAAAGCAGTCTATTAATGGAGATCAGGTTAATGAATCCTGTCCCTGATACTTTTTTTATTTGCACTAACATACAACTTTCAGTACAAGCTTTCGGGGTATGTCACCTTCTTCAAGGTCCAAGCAGTACTACAAGACCTTGAAGAAGAGGACATACCCGAAAGCTTGTCCTGAAAATTGTATGTTAGTGTAAAAATAAAAAAAATAGCACGGACAGTACGCAATTGTTTCTGTCACAAGTGCACTAACAGGGCTACAATCACCTCAAGGTTAATGTATAAAAGGTCTGCCTCTTCCATTCCTAGATTTCATTTCATTGATGGAAGCTATAGTACAGCTTGTATGAATAGAGGAGGGAGGTGAAAAGGAGGGACATAACACTCTTGATGAGTGCCTATGACAGTTCCTGAGCTCGTATTAACCCCTGCATCACCAGAAGATTACACAGCTAGCGGAGCAGGGGGGATCAAAGGATTCAGATTTCAACTAAAACATCAGGCAGCAGCACAAGGGACACTTTGCACCAGGGGCGGACTGACCATTTGGAAACTCGGGCACTGCCCGAGGGCCCAGGGTCAGTAGGGGGCCCCATGAGATGCCCCTGGTACCATTTTCATAGGCTTTTTTGAGTTTGGACAAGGACACAGGGGTCCCATGATCCCCTATTACCCGGGGGCCCCATGAGTTGTCAGTCCGCCCCTGCTTTGCACTGAATGTAAGTCATTAGCACTGTCCCTTGTGCTGATTTTTTTTTTTTTAATAAACTTAGCCTTTAACTCAAATGTCATTTCAGAATCTTGCCTTACTGTGTTCTACATTATACTGATTTTTACTTTATCATAACTGTTAATAAACTGGCTGCTGCAATGCGAGGGTCCCTACGATTGTCATTACCTGAGAAATCTCAATGCTGTAGTAAGAAATAGAAAATTATCTGCATCCCTTTAGTTGTGATAAATTTTAGACATACAGGAATTATGTTTTCTGCACAGAAAGGGTGGACAGAATGCCTTCGATTTTCCATAATACAAGGAAGCAACATTTGACATTTAGCTATTTAGGAAAATTATAGCTGACTGCAGAGTGAAATGGAAAGATAATTTTTAATAATGTTAGTACAAAATGGCTTGTGCAGCATTTATATAAATTACATCATTTTTTTTTACTTTTTTTTTTTTTTTTTGCCAGACTGCAGTATTTTTTTTCAATCTTAGCAATGTTTTATATGTACCTGGTGTACACTGTCAGTGATCCTGGCTTCAATCCCACAGTTCCACAATACAATTTTGACACCTCAGCTGATAATGAAGAGACATGCACATTGATTTTTGGGATGCCAGGAGCCATTGAAGCTTGAGAGTGCAAAATCTAGTGCAGATGTGCATAACAACCAATCAGCTTTCATTTTTTTTTTTTGTCAAAGCTTATTTTAACAAGCAGAAGTTAGAAGCTGATTGGCTACCATGTACATCTGCCGTAGATTTAGCATTCTCCAGTTTTAGTAAATCAACTCCATAGTGTCAGCATGACAGCATGACAGCCAGGCAACTAGCATTTTTTTAGAAGCAGAGGCCAGCAATGGAAGCCTAAACTGTATATTTCTGCCATATCAGGTGTACTTTCACAGAACAATGATTGCATTAGTAATTCATCTATGCTTTCCTTTTACTCAGTCAGTGCCCGGAAGGGTACAGATGTGTGAAAGTGGGAAGAAACCCAGATTATGGATATACAAGCTTTGACACTTTTGGCTGGGCATTTTTATCGCTGTTTAGACTGATGACGCAGGACTCCTGGGAGAACCTGTATATGAAGGTAGGTATATTTTCTATCCCTTTGACTATAAAAAACAATTGTTTTTTTTTCTTTGTGAAAAATGTAAGTAAATTGGTCATGCATTTTTCCCTGATATTATGACACCTTTCTTATTAATCATGTACATGTACAGGTAGGGGGCATGAAAATGCCTGCCTGCCACCCTGAATGTGCTGTCATTCACTGCAGCACAAGCTGATCAGCGGGTGTCGCTCAGTAATTTATGGCCGGGACTCGCTGATCTGCTGAGCGAATGACAGAAGAGAGCCCTGTGTTGGTAAACAATACAGAGTTCTCTATAAGTGCAGAAAGGTGGCTGTTTTTTCTCTCTGCAAAGCAAGGAGTAAAAACAGTCACATTGCTAAAAGCAGCACACTTTACATACTTTGCACATTGATAGGCACACAGTTAACCCTTTGATTGCCTCTAAATGTTAACTCCTCCAGTGTCATTCAGTGACAGTGTATATTATTATCACTGATTACTGTATTAGTGTCACTGGAGATGTCAGTGGCAATAGGTCAGCTCCCACAAAGTGTCAGTTAGTGTCAGATTGCTAGAGTGTCAGATTGCACAATCCCGCTAAAAGTCGCTGATCACTGTTCTTACTAGTATTAAAAAATAAATCAATAAAATTCCAGTATATAGACCATCATTTGTAGACACTATAACATTCATGCAAACCAATTATTATACACTTATTGTGGTTTTCTTCTTTTTTTTCCCAAAGACATGTAGCAGAATACATTGTGGCCTAAATTTATGAAGAAATATGATTTTTTTGATTTTTTTATTGGATATATTTTATAGGAGATACTGAAAAATATATTTTTTGTTTTCAGTCTTTTCGTTTATATAATAAAAAAATAAAAAAACCTAGTAGTGATCAAATACCACCGAACGAAAGCTCAATTTGTGTGAAAAAAAATGGCCTGGTTAAGAAGGGAGTAAAATCTTCCAGAACTTAAGTGGTTAAAGTAATTTCAAAGGCAATTTTTAAGCTTTCATGAAAATAATACTTGGTGACTCTGTCATAAAGATCCTTGTTCAGGCACTTCCTATTACAGGGTTACAACATTCTGTCCCTTCGTCCCAGCTGGGCTTCAGCATTATCATCCTGTCTTTTGATGAAGACTACAAGTAGCGGTGTGAACACCAAATATTCAGACACAGTCCACTGTAAATATCATTAGGAAACTTGCCTTTGCCATGCAGCCATTTCCGGTTTGAGTGCATGTAGATATGAACTGGGTGTAAAGAAGTTGCAAGAGATTAGCAGCACTAAGATGCAACATAGAAGGATAAAAAAATATTGGTCGTTCACAAGGCTGTTTCTCCTTTCTTCTCTCCTCTCTTCTCTTCTTTCTCTTCTCTCCTCTCTTCCTCTCTTCTCTTCTCTCCTCTCTTCCTCTCTTCTCTTCTCTCTCTCTTCTCTTATCCTCTCTTCTCTTCATCTCTTCTCTTCTCTCTTCTCTTCTCTTCTCTCTTCATTCTTCTCTTCTCTTTCTCTCTCTCTCTTCTCTTCTTCTCTTCTCTTCTCTCTTCATTCTTCTCTTTCCTCTCCTCTCTTCTCTTCTCACTTCATTCTTCTCTTCTCTTTCCTCTCCCTCTCTTCTCTTCTCTCTTTTCTCTTCTCCTCTCCTCTCCATCCAGACTGAAAACATTTTGTTGTACCTTTTTTGCTTTTTTTAAATGTGGAAATAAATCATCTTGCTTTTCCCACAGACCCTTCGAGCTTCTGGTAAGACCTACATGATCTTTTTTGTGCTGGTGATCTTTTTGGGGTCTTTTTATCTGGTCAATCTGATCCTAGCTGTGGTAGCCATGGCTTATGAGGAACAAAATCAGGCAACATTGGAAGAAGCAGAACAGAAAGCTGCAGAGTTTCAGAAGATGATGGAACAGCTGAAAAAGCAACAAGAAGAAGCTCAGGTAAGATCAGTCTTTCTCTCCCAGTCTCTTCTTGTCTATACACTCACTGGCCACTTTGGTGTCCGTTTATGACACAGAGAATAGCTGCGATTCAACGGATCTCAGCTATTCTCTGGTCATTCACAGTTTATGACACTCAGGAGATCATGTCAGCCCTTCTCTGGAGATCTGTGTTCTCCCTCCAGATTCTCCAGCCCAGAGCTGGAGAATCAGAGGGACCGAAAACTAAGCAGAGATAATTTACCTCTGCTTAGTAAACTGATCTTTTACTGTAATCTCGCGAGATTATAGTAAAATCAGCCGTTTTCCAGAGTTTGGAGACCGTTCTCCCTTCGTTCGGAGAACTGCTTCATAAACTGCATTGCACAGGAGAACTGTGTTCTCCGAGAATGCCGGAGAACTGAGCAGCGATCTATTACCGCTGGTTCATAAACGGACACCTTTATTAGGTACACCTGTTCAATTGCTTGGTAACATAAATTGCTAATCAGCCAATCACATGGCAGCAACTTACTGTTACTAAACCCACAACAGTAAAGCATGCTTGTTATACTTACTGTGGAACCTAAGGGGTTAATCCTCTGCATTGTGTAAAAAGGCTGTTTGATCCTTTCTTCTCTGGCCCTCCGCTTGTTGAAATGACCACCTGATACAGACTGAATCTGTAGTCACATGCAGATGCTCAGTTTGGTGTGTATTGCTAGAGAGGTGTTTTTTTTTCTTGGGAGAGTGCATGTGATCAGCAAAGGGCCAATCAGTGCTGTCCAGACAGAGGTCATGGGTTCTGCATCCTCCAAGAGCAGAAAGAAAACTCCCCCTACAAGTTTTAATCAGTGCTCTGCTGGAGTCACAAGACTGCTCTAACTGCTGATGAGAAAAGGTATTTAGCAGTTTATATTTACTAAAATAATTGCATTTCCATGTTGTGTGTCCTGTGGGAGACCAGATATAGTATATGCAGGGTGCTGGGTTTGGTAACACTTTAATGCATTTAGGCATCTGGTTGGGTGGTGCCAAGAGGAAGGGTAAGAGCATAGGAGGGTCCAGCACCAAAGAATAATGTTTACAGTTTAAGCTTAAATTTATTTTATTGTCCGTTGCCTGACTGTCTATACCTCAATACATGTGGCTAATCTGAATGCTTAGGGGGGTGCAGGGGCAGTTAGAAGAATCTACAAGATTTTTTTTTTATTGATCTAATTTACTAAATTAGGCTTCATTACCCTAAGGCAGGATTTTTTTTATTGAGGACCTAGTTAATGTACCCCATTTTATGAAATGTATGCTTTTCTGATTCCATTGAAGGACACTACTTTCAGCTGCTTCATAAGCTCAAATTGCTCATCTCACGAACAATTATTTATATATATATATATATATATATATATATATATATATATCACACACTATATTGCCAAAAACAGCTATAACAGCTTCAACTCTTGTGGGAAGCTGTGCACAAGGTTTAGGAGTGTGTCTATGGGAATGTTTGACCATTCTTCCAGAAGTGCATTTGTGAGGTCAGGCACTGATGTCGGATGAGAAGGCCTGGCTCGCAATCTCCGCTCTGATTCATCCCAAAGGTGTTCTGTGGGGTTGAGGTCAGGACTCTGTGCAGACCAGTCAAGTTCATCCACCCCAAACTTGCTCATAGATGTCTTTATGGACCTTGCTTTGTGCACTAGTGTGCAGTCATGTTGGAACAGGAAGGGGTCATCCCCAAGCTGTTCCCACAAAGTTAGGAGTATGAAATTGTCCAAAATGTCTTGGTATGCTGATGTCTTAAGAGTTCACTTTATTGAAACTAAGGGGCCAAGCCCAACCCTGAAAAACATTTTTTTTCCAAGATTGCAAGACAGAAAAGCTTAATTTGTCACTCCAGAGAACATGTTTCCACTGCTCTAGAGTCCAGTGGCAGCGTGCTTTACACCACTGCATCCGACGCTTTGCATTGCACTTGGTGATGTAAGGTTTGGATGCAGCTACTCGGCCATGGAAACCCATTTCATGAAGCTCTCTACGCACTGTTGTTGTGCTAATCTGAAGGCCACATGAAGTTTGGAAGTTTTTAGCTATTGACTCAGCAGACAGTTGGTGACTTCTGCACACTGCGCTTAAGCATGCTCTGACCCCGCTCTGTCATTTTTCGTGGCCTACCACTTCATGGCTGAGTTGCTGTTGTACCCAATTGCTTCCACTTTGTTATAATACCATAAATAGTTGACCTTGGAATATTTAGTAGCAAGGAAATGTCACAGATGGACTTTATTGCACAGGTGGAAACCTATCACGGTACCATGCTTGAATTCACTGAGCTCCTGAGAGCGACCCATTCTTTCACAAATGTTTGTAGAAGCAGTCTGCGTGCTTAGGTGTTTAATTTTATACACCTGTGGCCATGGAGGTGATTGGAACACCCGAATCCATTGATTTGGAGGGGTGTCTGAATCTTTTGGCAATATAGTGTGTATATACACATACAGTCATGACCATGGATAAGGGGGTACTGCCAGTCCTCATGTATGGGGCCCAGGCAGCTTGAGGAATGCGATGTGGGCACAGAGGCAGGAAAGGCAATTACTGGAACCGATCCTCTGTATGGCTCTCTCTGCAGAAGCTGAAAGCTGACATCTTCTCCTTCCCTACCGCTGACTTTCAGCTGCTGCAGAGAGAGAGCCACACAGGGGATCAGTTACAGTAATTGCTTCCCCCCCTCCGTGCCCACAATGGATTCCCCCATCTGCCTGGGCCCCCTTCCCCCCCCCCCCCCCCCCGCACCCATCAACCTCCCTGTGCACCATATGTTTCCCCTTGCTACCCAGGCACCCCTGTGTGCCCTCACCCCCCAGTGCTGCTGGCTTCACTCCTCTCCTTCACACTGGCAGCTGCTAGCACATAGTAGGATCCTTTAGGATGGAGAGTGGGGGAAGGGACCAGTAAATATATCACATTTACCAGCCCCTTTCTTTCCTGAATGAACACATTGAGTGATCAGTACTGATCACTCACTGTGTTTATTCATAACTGAAGCACAGTAAACTGTGTCTTTTTTGGGAGAGGGGAGTCCTGTCAGGTTGCCTGTATGGGACCCCATGGATTCTAACAGCAGCCCTGCATACTGGTAATATTTATGTTGGCTAAAGATAGACAAATCTTAACCTTGATGTCTGCCTGTCCTCATGATAAACAGCCAGAACTTGATGTCAACTGGTGTAACATGTCTTGTAATTGAATATAAACAGTATTTGCTACGAAGAATTGTGGTCTGTTTCTGTAAAAAAAAATGAGGTACATGTATATTTTTCAGTGCAGAGTTGAGCACCCCTGTAGTTTTGATAGTTTTGACATCAGTTCTGCTAGTTGGAGGATACGGAAGCTTCAAATAGAAAGCCATTTTTAGTTAAGATGACCGTTCAGCAATTTATAGGTAGCTTTTCAGAACAATGACATGTATAATTTATCAACACAAAGTATTAAAAGGGTAAGATTTATTAAATCACAAGATAAATACACACAGCTGGAAAAAACCTACTGTAAGTATAAATACATTACCATGAAATAGCGGCATGTAACTGTATCCTCAGGCAATAAAATCATTACAGGTTGAGCACAGTACGACTGTGAAACACTATAAAGTACATTACGAATTAATATTTAATTATAGAGCAGAACAGAACATGCTACTGCATATTTATCTGTTGGTTTATATCAAGAGTGATTAAAATACACCTGTGACAATACTTTACCAAAAGTATTTAAACGAGGTTCCACACAGGATTTTGCAGATAACACATCCAATAGAAAAATTATATTTCAGGTGAAGGTAAATGCTATGCTGAACTCCATCTAGATATACAAGACACATATTAATGCAGCTCTGTGTCCATTCCTTCATGATTAACCACTCGCCTACCGGGCACTTTTACCCCCGTCCTGCCCAGGCCAATTTTCAGTTTTCAGCGCTGCCAAAATTTCAATGACAATTGCGCAGTCATGCAACACTGTACCCATATGAAATTTGTATCTTTTTTTCATATAAATAGAGCTTTCTTTTGGGGGTATTTAATCACCACTGGCTGTTTTATTTTTTTGCACTATAAACAAAACAATTTTGAAAAAAAGGATGTATTTGTTTCTATTATAAAATTTTGCAAACAGGTAATTTTTCTCCTTCACTGATGTGCGCTGATGAGGCTGTACTGATAGTCAGCACTGATGGGCACTGGCACTGATGAGGCAGTACTGATGGGTACTGATAGGCTGCACTGATGAGGTAGCACTAGTGGGCATTGATGAGGAGGCACTGATGATGCTGCACATATATGTGGCACTGATGGGTACTTATAGGCGGCAATGATGGGCACTGATAGGCGGCACTGAAGGGCACTAATAGGTAGCACTGAAGGGCACTGACTGGCAGCACTGACTGATGGCACTGATAGGTGGCACTGACTATCGGCATTAACTGGACAGACTGGCAGCACTGTTGGGCACTGATGGGCAGCACTGTTAGGCACTAATGTGCAGCACTGCTGGGCACTGATGGGCAGCACTGTATGTAAGCCATAAGTACATATGGCAACTTTGACCTTGTATCTGCCATTTCATGTACAGCAGAGCTCAGACTTGGAATCAGAGAAGCAGCTCATGGATTCAATTAGTTGTGCTAGGAGGATAGAGTTGGATGATCTTATCATCTTGTTGATTCTCATTCACTGTCACAGATTAGGGGAGGGACAAGACCTGTAAGTGTCAGTTAACTGTAGCAGATATCAGGTATCTTGCCCTGCCAGATATGCTGTGCTGCGTGCAAGAGCTGAATAAATATCAGAACTGGATGGAAAGGAACGCAAATCCTTTGGCAAGCAGTTTGCAAGTAGATGTTCTTGCAAAAGCATTTATTTATAGAATGAAAACATAGATTAAAGGACATGTTGTAACTGTAAACATAATTTGTAGTTATATTCTAAAGCACCTATCACCAGATTATGATATTTAAAAAAAAACCTTCCCATAAGAATATATGGCAATTTACATATTTTATGTCTGTTATTTCTCAGTTAAAGCCTCCCTTGTGCAAACACCTAAAAGCCCTGAGACCACTGCTGGGTGCCGCCATCTTGGATGTGACTACAGAAAAATAAATTCAATGTGGAACTTTAGTCAGAAAATTAAAGTGTTACTAAACCCACAACAGTAAAATCAGACTGTATATATGCAGTAAAGCATGCTTGTTATACTCACTGTGGAACCGAAGGGGTTAATCCTCTGCGATGTGTAAAAAGGCTGTTTGATCCTTTCCGTCTTGTTGAAATGACCATCTGACACAGACTGAACCCATGGTCACATGCACATGCTCAGTTTGGTTTGTATTGCTAGAAAGGTTTTTTTTTTTTTTTTTTCTTGGGAGGGTGCATGTGATCAGCACAGGGCCAATCAGCACTGTCCAGACAGAGGTCAGGGATTTTCACATCCTCCTACAGCAGAAAGAAAACTCCTCCTACATGCTTTAACCAGTGCTCTGCGGAAGTCATAAAACTACTCTAACTGATGAGAAAAGGTATTTAGCAGTTTTTTATTAAAATAATTGCATTTCCATGTTGTGTGTACTGTGGGAGACCAGCTATAGTGAATGCAGGGTCCTGGGTTTAGCAACACTTTAAGTCCTGTTAGATCACTCCAGGCTGGCCCCTTTTGCAGGTATAGCTGCATAACACATTGAAAATAAGATCCTATGCTGTTTAAAATCAAGTAATACACTGTCTTACCCTGCTCTGTACATGCTCATTGCCCTCTATTTTTTATCACTGTGTCTAAAATCAGAACCACTAGAGGCCGATCTGCTGACAGAGTAAAGATTTACTGCTGCTCAGGGGCTTTGGGCTTCAGCACAAACTAATTTTAGTTGCATAGCTATTATTGTTGAATGTATGTTCCTAGATAAAGAACATTATTTTTTATCAAGTTGTTGTTATGGGTCAAGTTCCGCTTTAAGGGGTAATGGGATTTAATTGCATGTTCAAACAGTTCAAATACAGAAAGTTTGATAAAACGCTCACTGACTCTGGTAAAGCAGTTCTCAAACAAATAGACAATTGATACCCAGAAACTCAAACTATGCAAGTAATGAGCGCCAAACCAAAAGATGAAATAGTCCAAGATGCCTTTTAAGTATTTTATTTCAATCAAGCAAAAGCATTTAACACGTTTCAGGGCAACAAAGCTCTCCTTCCATCCAGGCTTAAAATGGGATAAGAATTTGAATGGGCTCAGAAACAAACTGTGACCAAATGGATCTATTCCTTTGACAGTGAGTACATAATTACAAATACAGTCCTAAATGAGAGTTTATACCAAATCATATATGGACCCATTGGGTTATAGCGTCTTCTGTATACATTCATGTCCTTATCTCATTCTAAACCCTGATAAAGGGGTTTTGTTGCCCCCGAATCATGTTGGCTGGTTTAGTTTTATCAAAGTATGAATATTTAAAGGCATCTTGGACTCTTTTACCTTTTGGTTTGGAACTTGCTTTTCCATATATCTTGGATGTGACATTAGCAGTCTGTGTAGACTCAGAGCTGTCAGTCAGTTGTCACTCTGTAGTAATCTCTTCATTCAGCTAAATAAAAGGTTATGTAGAATGGAAGTAATGGGAGGGGTGAAGGACCTTGGCCAGCACAGAAAGTAATTAGAGGAGGGGCTATGATATGCAATGAATCATGTGGCTGTGCTAGGGAGCTGACTAGTGAAATTTTCTAGCAAATTCAAAAGTAAGTGAATAAAAACCCACTGCAAATACGCATGTAAAATATGTTTTACTCCCATACTACCAATATTACTACTATACCATACTATTACACCTTGTACACCACTGCAGGCTGTAGCGGCGGCAGCTGAGACAATGGGAGAGTCCCAGGTCCTAAGTGAAGAATGTGAACTGGACGATTCTTCAGAGACCTCTTCTACAATATCAAAGCTAAGTTCTAAGAGTGCCAAAGATAGGAAGAACTGGAAGACCCAAAGAGAAAATGTAGAGCAGTGTGCTGAGGATAAGGAGAAAAGAGATGAAGAGAAATATTATATATCTGCATCTGAAGACAGTGCAAAGAGGAAAGACTATCACTGTAACAGGGAAGGCCATCAGTTAGAGTATTATAGGAAGGCATCGTCCCCGAGAGAGGTAAGATATTATATTACAGTAAGTGACAGATTTGCTTTGTATTAGTCTGCTGGAGGCCATCATATGTCAGTAATGGAAGCAGCTGCACTAAGGACCTGGGCCTGTGGGATTTTGTTAACTGTGATAATTAAACAATTGTACACAGGCAGGTGCCTAACATTGACTTAAAGTGGACTATCACCTAAAAGTGAAAGTACTGGTAATCTGCCTCTCTCCCTCCTCTAACATATTTGGTTGACTTTTTTTGGGGGGGTGGTGTTGGGTAACCTTTTTTTGACAGGTACCTGCTGCCAAATTATGTAAATTTGGCCCGCCAGCATAATTTACGTGAAGAACCTCATCCACTTAACCTCTTCCTTCTCCTAATGGAACTGCCAACTAGAACAAATATCAATGCAAAACATCTGTTTTTCTCATGGTGCAGAAGTTGGGGCAGATCTAAGGTCTATGGCACTGGTAGACCAGTTTTATGATGCTTGTAAATGGATACTTCTTGTGAAATAGGTTACTGACACTTGGGTTAGTACCCCTGTCAAGTTTCTTCTGCTGTCTGTGTTCGAACTGGAAAGAATCAACCTCCCAAGGTGTGACTTCTGTCACCGGGTCTGAAAGTAAAAGAAAATCTCACTTTGGAGAGGTTTCCTCTCATTTCCTGTTGTGTCTCTAAGACAGGAATGGAAAAGAAATCTCCTAAGTAGGACACAGATGGCATAAAATGATAGGTTGGGGATATTTCCCTTCACTTTGAATATGAGTTAAATCCCCTATTAGACATTTGCCACCAGAAAACAGGCGCTCCTTTGGAAAATGTACCCTCTATTCCCCTTTTAGTGACAACCAAAGCATTTTGGATTTTCCCTCAATTTCAGTTCTGGTAACAGTGATCACCAGATACAATAAAGGATGAATCTCCCCAGCAGGGGATAAAAAAACCTGATAAGAGTTCAAACCCTTCAATATGCTATGCAAAGCAAAATAAAATCAAGTTTTGCCTCTAGAGACACTTTAAGGGGTTTATTTACAATATATTAAGCAGCAAATCTGACATTCAACCAAACATTCTCTGCAAGTGAATCATCCAGGTCTATGTGTTTTAAATGACAGTGATTGATTCACCACCAGTGAATGTTTGGTAAAAGTCACATTCACTGCTTATAAATGGTCCATGTTTATGCATTACTTTGTTGTATGACACTGTTTACCACCATATTTGAGATTACAATCATGCATTTCTTTCTTATCACTTCTAAACCTAATTCTGTTGTTTTTGGTTTTACAGTCACAGTTAAGTGTTCGTGGCCCCCTGTTTACCCCTAGACGTAATAGCAGAGTTAGCATTTTCAGTTTCAGAGATCCCGCTAGGGATGTGGGGTCAGAGAATGATTTTGCTGATGATGAACACAGCACATTTGAAGATAATGAAAAGGATTCTGTATCTCTGCCGGGTAGACACGGAGACCGGCGTAACAGCAACACGAGCTTGACGAGTCGATCGCCTAGGATTCTGCCTTTACTTTCTATGAATGGTAAAATGCACAGTACAGTGGACTGCAATGGAGTGGTCTCCTTGGTTAGCGGGTCTGGTGCCCCTGCGGGACTCTATCCTGAGGTAATGCTATGGGAGTTTTTTTCCTTCTAAAGAGAATTGGTATCTTTTGGGTAAATGGATGATTAGAGGATATGTACATTCAAGTGCAACATTGTACTGTATTGAAGCTTACCAGTCCTTAGATGTGGTGGCTGTAATTTTTTTCAGGCTAATACCATATTTAGATTTATAGAAATGCAGTGTCCTTGTCTTCCTCTTATATGAGCTAGACACATACGTCATCAGTAACAGACATGTGGGTGATCTGTAACTTGTCATCCTCTGCACTGCTCTCTGGAGTAGTCTGGATAGAGATGGAGGCAGAGCTATGGGATGGGATATGTAGTTCCGTTGTAAAAATGTTAACTATTGCATCTTTTTAGCCTATGATAACAAAAAAGTCTAACTGTAATAGTTAAAGAACAGAAATAAGTAGAAACCTGCAATAAAAAGTTATAATGTGAAAACGTACAGCGCAATATGCCTATCCAAATATGTATAATAAATAAATAAAAATAAAATATTGCAGCTAACATATACAGTGTTTCCACATACAAATACTAATATACAAAAAATGCAACGCAATATTATAAATAAATATTAAATATGCATAAATCTTGCTCTGTGACAATAATTACATACCATATAAGTGCATATTCTGTGCTCAAAACGCATGGCTTTAAATACAACACAATAACGCACACTTCCTCATAATACCATACGTTATCTGAATTCTATCCACTGTGCGTTTATCTAATAATAGTGTCCCAATATAAATCTTGGTGAACCGTCCCTTTAAGACTCAGTGCTCCAAGTGCTAATGTGCAATTTCTTCTCTGTATATATTCATTCAGTGATATTGTGTGACCCCCAGTGTTAGAGCCACCTCCAACACACTTATGCACTCACCTTGCGGTTTGACCCGAACTGTCAAGTCAAACCACACCAGGGCCCTCTGTTTCCTCTTGTACCAAATTGTATTGTAACTGTAATGTCTACCTTCATTTTGTAAAGCGCTGCGCAAACTGTTGGCACTATATAAATCATGTATAATAATAATAAAGATGTCTCAGTAAAGAGGACCTGTTTACATTTCTTGTGATAGAAAAAAATAAACTGTAAAAATTAAAAAATAGAAAAATTCAAATCAAATAAATAAATCAAATCAAATTAATTCATAAAATGTTTTAAAATGGCCTGTCCCACACAATGGCAAATGTCCTGCATGTATTTGTAAATGGTGATCACACCAAACATGTGAGGTATTGTCACAAACGTCAGCGGGAGAGCAATAATTCTAATGCCAGACCTCCTGTATAACTCTAAAATGGTAACCTGTAAAGGCTTTTACAGCGTCACCTGTGGAGACTTTTAAGTACCATAGTCTGGTGCCATTCCACAAGTGTGCGCAGTTTCAAAGCATGACATATTCATTTACTCAGCATAACATCATCTTTTGTATTTTACCACAAATTGGGTATTATATTGTGCTTTTGTGCATTAAAGTTAATTAAAGTATTTTTTCTAAAAAAAAAATAGCTTTTGAAAGAACGCTGTGCAAATACCAAGTATTATAAAAAATTGCAAAACCCACCATTTTATTCTCTAGGACCTCTGCTTAAAACAGCAAAAGAAAAAAATTTTTTTTTTACATGTAGGGGAGTAATGTTAGAATTGGCCTGGACTGGGAGTGTTATACTTCAGTCATGTAGCTGTAATCTTTTTTGTTTTGCATCTGATACTCAGAAAAGAACTCCGCTCCAATAATGATAGTATCTACCAATGATATAACATAGCACACCTCTGGTGCAGGTTTGGTGACTGTGTTGAGTCTTTCCTGTTGAAAATCCCTTGTTTGTCTGACATATTGTTAAGTTAAGGATCACAGTCTCAGTAAGCACCTATCAAACTAATTTCTCGAAAGTTAGTTCTTCAGTGCATGAGGATGCTGATAGACAATCTACTGCCAGAGCTTTAGGGAGTAGAGGAGAACGTACTGGAGGAGCAGAGGATCAGGTAAATAAGCTTTTTCCTGAGCCCTAGACCTAAATGAGCATTTAACCCTAGTAGTGTCAGGGCAGCCCTACCACAAGGGAAGATTTTTCCTTTCCACAGAGATGGTCCTTAAAGTGGTAGTAAACTCATTTTTTTTTTATTTTACCTACAGGTAAGCTTATAATAAAACTTACCTGTAGGTAAAATTAATATCTCCAAAACATGCACCGTTTAGGAGATATTCTCTCTTTCCTAAAGCCGGCGCATGCGCTCTGAAGGAACGGCATACCTGTGCCTTTCCTTCAGAGCCGTGTGCTGTGGCCCGGGACTCCCGCGCACATGCACGGGAGTGATGTCATCATGGCCCAGGCCTGTCAGATGGCTGGAGATTGCGACACCAGAAGAAGGACTGGCTGAAGATGGAAGCCTCTGCAACGGTCACAGCGGGCTTCATTTTAAAGCAGAGTTCCACTTGGAAAAAAAAAAAGTGAGCAGCTACAAAAACTGTAGTTGCTGACTTTTAAAATACAGACACCTACCTGTCCCTTGGTCCAGCGATGTCCTCACCACCACTGGTTTTATCGACCATCTTCTCTCCCTGGCGCCGGCATCTTCAGTTTGGGCACCTGGCTGTGACAGCTTGCGGCTTCACAGCTGGGTGCCCACTGCGCATGCGCGAGAAGCGCTGTGTTGTGTGAATGGCCCCCGTAGTCTTCTGGGACCTGCCACGTGTTCCAGAAGACTACAGGGAAAGAGGGGGGAAGGACAACTTCCGCTTCCGATCGCCTAGACGATCGCAGCAGAAGTGGGAGCGGATATTTGTCAAATTCGGGTACCCGCTCCCCAAAGGTGCCAATTCTTAATGGGGAGCAGTGGACAAAGGCTTAAAGCGGAACTTCCCCTTTTGGGTGGAGCTCCGCTTTAAGGTAAGTGTTACATATTGTGCTAGTATGTAATGCATACTAGCACTATATGCCTTTTACCTTGCAGGGGACTTTTTTTTTTTCTTTTTCTTGTTGTTTACTACCTCTTTAAGGAAAAAAAAACCCAAAGATAGAAAACAAATGTAGCCATCACATCCAAAGACTGGTAAGCTCCAAATGATAACATTTTTTGTTTTTGGGTTTAGAAACACCTTGAAACCTACAAATAGATTTTATATCAAGTCTATATTTTTACATCAAGTTAACTAATTAGTGTAGAAAGATACCAAGTCTCACGAAATCTGTTCTTCAAGGAAATGCTTACTGTTATTTACTGCTATCAAACACAATGTTTTGACATATATAATGTATACACAGCATGATCTGACAATAGAATGGAATGTACTTGTTTCTCCTTCTAAAATGTCCTCATATAATAGCTACATATCGTATCAATTTTTTTTTTTTTTTTTTTTTTTTTGCAAGCCACTCGGTTTTCCTAATGTTTGGGAAAAATCATACAGTGAACATTATAAATTTACAGGTGACACGGACGTCAAACCACCCATAAGTGACTTATTTTAAGGTTGTGTGCGTGGGCGTGTTGTCATTTCAGCAGAACCACTGGGGAATGTACAGTTCAGGGAGCGAAGTGACATTCAGAGGTGCTTTTACAATCCCCTTCACCAAATTACCCTCCCACTTAATCGTAGTGCAATTATGAGTGATGTACCGGTAATTGTGGCAGGTTTACAATAGAGAAGATCTTTCAAGATTAGAGTTCCGGTGGATGTTCTATGGCGATGTTGTGTGGGAGATCACCTCGTAAAAGCATGACTGATGTGAATATTTGAACAAGAACTGCAATAATATCCTGCAGGATTGGGTCTAACAAGGGGAGGGCAGCGGGGGCATCTGCCAGAGGTGCACAGAGGACAGGAAACACAATATTTGACCAAAATGCCGATGACTTGGGCAGTCAGACATTAGGTAGGCAAGGATGGGGCTGTGGCAATAAACGCAGAATAAACATATCTAACATTTGTTACAAGCAGGACCCATGGTGCTCTAGGTCCATGTTGTATGTCCTGATGCTGCAGTGCTCTGGATTGCACAGTCTTCTGTTTATGAGCTCTGTGGGGTCAGCTTGTTGCAGCTAATTGGAAGGTTTATGGACTATATTTTTTTAAGACTAAGATCTTCTTTTAAGTGGTTTAAACCCCCCCCCCAAAAAAAAAAGTATATGTTGCAGCTTACCAATCCTAAAATATGGCCTGTATTTTCACCTGGTGATCCAGCCAGTAGCACACTTTCGGTCTTAGGGTGTCTCCACTCTGGAGGAAGGAGCAGCAGAAACACCCTCGGACAGCAGCATTGTCAGTCTGGGAAGAGGGTAGTGTTAAGCTGGCCATACATGTGTAGATTTTCAGACGAGAATATTCGTAAGAAAAGTCGTACGAATATTCTTTGAACATACGATGAATGGACGAATGTTGGTCAAAAATTGTCTATTGCTTTTAACATTTGATTTTAAAATGAATCTAATTTTTAAACGATAACCACATACGCTGACTGAAAATTCATTTGATCGAAAAAAGTTTTTTCTCCTGCCCCTTCCAATTTTCCCGTCACTGCGGAAAACAAACATTAGAAAATCAAATGAATATTCTTGAAACGAAAATTCTTGAACGAAAATCTATATATGTATGGCCAGCTTTAGACTAGCAGGTGTAGATGGACTTGACTCAAAAATTAAAGCAAAACTTCAGTTAACACTTTTTAAAGCTGAACTAAACTTACCATTTTAACTGTTCCCTAAAACTGGAAAATGGTACCCAGCTGCATATAGGCAGCAGACTGTAAAGCTAAAACAGTAAAAGATGATAAAACTTGGCTTCAGTTCAGTACTGTTTTTCAGTGTTTTCCCAAACAGTTATATTCAAGGCATGGCTAATACAAAAATACCACTTCAGGTCAGTCTACCCTTCGCTGTCACAAGTATCAGGTGCTAGTTCATTACTGGAAGATGCATGAAAGACAGGCAGATGACTATACCCCAATGAAACCACTTCTTTATTTAGACATATTCATAAAGATACAGCAATACAGTTGGAGGAATACAATTTCCAATGTGTTTCATGCTTAATAAAAGTATAATACAGTATATGCTATCATTAAAAGAGAAGTATGGGCTATACAAAAACCCTCCCCATTATACTCACCTAGGTGGATGCAGCATTGATCCGATGCTGCATCTATCCCACACCAGCTCTGCAGTGAGAACTGAGCAATTCTTATTTTGTGTATTATCAGTTCTTGTGATGGCTGTATTTGTTTCCTTTTTTTAGGCTTTTTTTACCTATTGATATGGCTAGAAAGTCTGTTATTTTTTAACCTTCTTTAACAGACCAAGCTGACGAGCAAAAGACAAACCATTTACTACTAACAGGGGTGCTTACAATGATAAGCTTTTATTTATTTATGTAAAACCTTTATCCCAAAAGGAAACTAAAAAATTTTATAATTCTACGAGTCTATCTAACGCTACCCTAAGCACCACATCTAAGGATTGGCAAGCTGTAATATATAAAAAAGTTGTTTTTGGGTTTAGATAGGCTTTAATGAATACAATCCTGTAATTTCCAGTTACCATATACAGTACTTTAGCAGATACTTTGTAAATATTAGAAATGTTAGATCTGGTTCACACTGGAACAAGCACTTTTTTTCTCGTCTCATTTTTGACAACCCATTCTTTTCTATGGGCTTCCAAATGCACTAGAACATGCAGAAAGTAGGGCAGGTACAAATTTAAAAAATTGCGCGACACCAAATCTCATGGTACTTTGCTACCTTGTGGTTTGCTGGCTGCTCATGTGCTGCATTTGCTAGATGCATTGGAGGTGCAATTAACAATTAATGGCACCCACGCACATCTAGCAAAGGGCAGCGTCTTCCATGCAGTGCAGGAAATGCTCACGGAAACACACCTTTCCCACACCACATTCTGTTGTGAATGGACCCTCAGAGCTGAGGAAGGGTTAAAGTAAGCCCAATGCTGTTGTTGAATGATCACATTTTGAATTGTTCGGTGGTGTTCTGAATATGTACATTTACTTGGATATGTTGACTATACAATTAAGATTGTTGGCGTACTACAACCTACTGCGTATTTGTATTGACAGTAAAATAACATGCTACAATCTAACTTCCAGGGCACCACCACAGAGACGGATGTAAACAGAAGAAGACCAAGTTCATACAAAATCTCCATGGACTTGCTGGAGGACCCATCTGCTAGACAAAGGGCTCTCAGTATTGCTACAATTTTGACAAATACAATGGAAGGTAAGACATTGCCATTAACCATTTACATGTTATATACACAGATTAAACAGGTTGTAAACAATATACATTTTTTAATAACAGACGTAATACTTACCCGTTCTGTGCAAAATGGTATTGCACTGAGTGGCCCCAATCCTCCTGTTCTGGGGTCCTCTGGCAGTACTGTAGTCTTCTCCTCTTCTCAGTGCTCCAACATAGGAAGCCTATTTCTATGGTGGCACAAATGCAGGTTAGCTCCTGACTTGGGTTGTGTGAGTACATTGACACATACAGTGCAGCTCGGCCCTGATCCCCACTCCCTCCCTACAGAATTTGATTGACAGCAGCATGATCCTGGCTCCTGCTGCTGCTTCCATGTCTCGTGAGGAGAGAAGGAGAGGGCAATGTTGCTGCAGATGGGCACAGCGCTGGATTGAAATAGGACTCAGGTAATTATAAGGGGAGTTAATGGGTGATACAAGAGATGAGATATTTTTACATTAATGCAGGGAATACATTAAGGTAAAAAATATCCTGCATTTACAACTACTTTAAAGCTGAACTCCAGACAAAAAGCTAAATATGGAGATGCAATACATAAAAGGGAGCTGTGTTACCTATTTCTGTTCATCCATTTCAGTCATTTGTACAGCTGTGCTTATCTGGAAGCTTCCAGCCTTCCAGGCCTAAAATGATTCAGGGTGTTTGAAATGACAGATGGTGCCATCAAATGTGCATGGCCCTGCACAGGACACAGATCAAATTGCCCTGTGTGAAGAAGGCCTAACACATCCTTTGTGTAGGTTAGCAACACTTGGTGGTCAGAGGCCATAACACACTCCAAAGCCCCACATACAGAAGGACAGCATCTTCTCCTCAGCCACTGACATTGGTCTATTCTCACCATGTCCCAGCACTAGACTACAAAATCATTTCGATAAAAGTCACACAGAACGCTGACTTATCTCCTCCAGCTCTTCACAACAGAGTATACTCTATGTTAACCTTGTCCAGCTCAATGGTACAGAAGAAAGCCACTGCACTTATTTCTGCAAGGCCTTGGGAGACAAAGGAGGGTTCTGCCCCACAGAAGGTCTCAATATGGAAACCCCAACCTCTCAGTGGAGTGCCAAGTGCCAGGCTACTCCACCTACAGAACCTCCATCGCTAGCCACTACCACTTTTTCTCCCAAGTTGGCTGCTCTTCTTTCTTACTGTACTTGTCTTCATAACCTCAAGAAACAAATGTCACAAACCCTCTTGGATTCATAATCACAAGAGTTAATCAAGGCAGACATTTCTATTTCCCAGTTCATCAGATACACTATGAATACACTTGCTAGTAAAACACTTGGTTTCACCCTCCGAGTAAGTGAGTCCAAGCAACTTCTTTAACAAGTGTATAAAGAAAAAAAACCTGCGCTACGCCCAACGTATAATGTGAACCAGTGTATAAATATATGTATATGTATAAGTGAAATGAATAAATAAAGTGAACTGCCGCTACTCTCTTCCTGAATACCAGAAAAAAAATCAACAAAAGTAAAAACAAAAATGAGTGCGCTGTACACTGATAATATCCTAACACAATAAATAAAAAATGACCATAAATTCAAACTCACTTGTGTACATATGTACAAAAATCAACATATAAAGTGCTATAAATCAATGTCCATGACACAAAAATACATAATGAGTCCCAAATCCAATGTGAAAGAAGGTAAAGTGCTGCGTGCTGAATATAATTTCCAACAAGGTGCTATGGTGTTCATAAGTGCTCTCCAGACTAAACAGATCAGCCTTTTACCAGACTAAATTGATCTCAAATCAAGAGATCAAATGAGCAGATAGTGTCTTGATTCCACACAGACAACTGTACTATCAATTCCAGACAGACACCCGTAGTATCAATTTCAAAGGAGATGGATAGACAGCTGCGGGCTCACCCAGACAGATTCCTCACATCAAACCACTCTCCATAGAATGTAGAGAAGTGTTAAAACAGAAGAGACTTCATAGTGCAACCCGATAAAAGTAAAGGTTTATTTAATAAAACATTGCACTTACATAGATAAGGTGCATGTAGGCAATATATAAATTCAAAACAGCCGCGGTATCATTCCGCTGGCCGGAACATGGTGACGTCACTGTTAGGATATTATCATTGTACAGCGCACTCATTTTTATTTTTAACTTCTTTAACAAGAACTGTGTTTAAATTGTAGAATACATGTTTAGGTGATATGACAACCTTGAATATAACATTGTCCTCTCTCAGTGCAACTTACGAGATTTGGCTGTGCTGTGCAACTGGCTGTGTGATTCCCATATGGCGCTGTCCATACCTGATTTCTAGAATTTGTACCTAAAGTCCATCTTTCTGGAAGTCCGTGTGTGATTGAGTCCCATTAAAGGGTTACGCCACCAATCTGATGGGTCACATAGTACAGAAGGGCCTTGCTGCATTACTCCTATGCCTGGACTGCACCAAGAGGCTGGTCCTTCCCTGTATACATCACCTCTCAAAGGAAAGTGACTCACACACAGGGGAAGACATGACTCATTTCAAAACCTCCTGCAGTACCAGCTAATAGTTCACAAAGCAGGACTAACAATAAACGACAATAGAAACCTGCCCACACACTGCCTTTTGTTAGTTATATGGGAACTCCTTTTGCTCACCTGTGTTTGTTATGTAGGAGAGGTATTGTCATACAAGTCCAGCAAAGGCTGGGTGCTGTCACTCCGGAACAGAATACTTGACTTTTCAAAGTATCAATGCTTGGATGTTTCCAGGGGCGGACTGACCATTTGGAAACTCGGGCACTGCCCGAGGGCCCATGGTCAGTAGGGGGCCCCATGAGATGCCCCTGGTACCTTTTTCATAGGCATTTTTGAGTTTGGCCAAGGACACAGGGGCCCCATGATCCCCTATTGCCCGGGGGCCCCATGAGTTGTCAGTCCGCCCCTGGATGTATTTCGCTACCAGTTCAGTGAAGTAATGGGATACAAGCACCGACACAGTGTGCGCTCTCCAAACTTCCAGCAGTTCTGTGTCTGTCTTCATAACTGCAGGACAACCATTTCCAGATATTCCCAAGCAGAAATCTCTTCTAACAAAGAGCTTTTGACAACAACCAGCCCTGATAATGGAAGTTCAGCACCTTGGAAATGTGCTGGTCTATGGTCTATTTTTTTAAAGTACTATGTTGATAATGCTGATAAGCATTTCAATATATGTCCTTTATTGACTCCATGGCACAACTGTCGTGACACATAGCGGTTGATTTTCTGTAAGCAAATCGACTGTGCACTTTGCAAAAGCAAGAGCAGTTGCTCCGGGGATTAATAAATTAAAAGAAGCTCTGCTGATTTCCATCATCCAATCATGTGCAAACAAAAATGCTGTTTTTCTTATTATCCTAGCACATGATTGGGTATTCTTTGCAAAGTGAAGCTTTACCTCATTTACTAAGCTCTGGAGCAACTGCAACTGTACATTGCAAAGTGCACAGTCTATTTGCCTTTAGTAAATTAACCTTCTTTGGCAGTAATTTTGTTTGCACATGACTGGATGATGGAAATCAGCAGAGCTTCTTTTCATTTATTAAGTTCCGGAGCAACTTCACTTTGCAAGGGGCACAGTCTGTTGCCTTTAGTAAATCAACCCGTTTGTTACATAATCTTGAGCAACACAAAACATCTAAGCTATGGCCAATAGGTAAATGCATGCTCATTCTAATACCACAACCCATTCCTCCTGGTACCTCCCCAGTTGTTTAAAGTGGACTTAAAGTGCAACTACAGAACGTTGCCATTGTACAAGTTAACTTATGAAGCTAAAGGGTGTCTGACCAAGTTTGAGAAAACCTGGGGGAGTGGGTGAATCTGTCCATCACAGATGAGCACCTGCCAGGTTATCAAACAATAGCTTTTCCTACCTCTTCCCATCCAGGTTGAAAGCAGCCATCTTGACCGTCCTTACAGATTTCAAAAGAATTGGCAACAACCATCAAATGTTATAGGTGGGAAAAACACTTTTATTGTTAAAAAAACAAAAATACAGTTTCCATTTTAACAGCACAGAATGATAGTTCACTGTTACAAGGTTTGTTTCACTAGTTTGTAGACCTTTTTCGGTACAGTGTCATACTTGTTGATCTGTCTACTAGTCTGTACCAGATTATATGAACCTCATTCTGTGCCCTATAATACCTAGAGATAGGGCATATCCTGTATTATCTTCAAAAGCTTACAAACCTCTTCTTTTACACTGTTATAACAAGGTTATTAATCAGTATGTGCTTCAGCTGATTCATTTCTATGTGTATTTTCCTGGAAACGTCAATGTTCTGTGACATGTTATGTTACTAAGTTCATAAAATGCAGCAAAACTCACTTAAGAAGAAAATGTAACCACAGACATACAGTAAAAATCAGTATGTAAAACTGCATAGCTATTAAATGGAATTGCCATTGGTAATTTTGGCAGACTCATTCATTTTTTACATATCTGGTGATCCTGCTAGTCCACGTCCTTTGTCTGCAGGGTGACAATGCTATTTTTCCTGCTGTCAATTAATGGTAGTGTTGTCACCCTGTTTAGTAGAACCTTGATGTAAAATTAAAAAAAAAATGGCCATCAGTGTTGTTATCACTGAAAACTAATCAAAGCAGGGAATGTATCTGCTGAAAGCAGGAGAAGGAATTGTAGAGTTTGCTCTGCTTCACGTTTTATAGATGCAGGGTACACCCTTGGGTTTCTCTCCCTAACTCTAAATGGGTGAAGACCACATATCAAAGAGGCAAAGAAGAGAGCTGCAATGATCCTAAAGGAAGGCAATTAAATAAAAAAAAAGGAAATTCAGATAAAAGGGAAGGAATACTAACATCTAAATAAAATAAAAACAATAATAATGAAAAAAGCAGAAAGATTGTATTATTTATTAATTGCTGTTATATAAAAGTGTATGTATAGGTGTAACTTTATTGTTTTGAATAGTGGGAGCTTCTGTCAGGTCTTCTTTGCTGTCCATGTCTCAGCTGGGTGAATTCACCCTCTCTATTCTGGAGACAAATTTAAGGGACATCCTACATTTTACAGGTATCATCAAAACACAACACTTGTTTTGTTGACAGCTATCTTAAGGGCCAGCTCACACCACAGAAATGCAGCTGGGAAGCATCCCAGATGCATTTCTGCATGCACATTTTGATGTGTTCTGGTGTGTTTTTCATACATTTGTAATGCATTCCAGTGTGTTTTTCCCCTCTTTTTTTTGTTTTTTTTTTGCTGTAGTGCATTCCGGTGTTTTTTTGATAAGTTTTGAAGCATTCCAGTGCAGCATGTTCTACTTTTGTTGACTGTACTAAAATGCACTGCACTGGTGTGAACTTTGCCATTGAAATCCATGTAACCTACTTTCCACGCGCTTTTGATGCAGAAAAAAAAACACACTGGACTGTCTGTGGTGTGATATTTTTCTGCCCTATTTTTCTGTTACGTCTCCAGAACAGAAAGTTAAAGCAAACCTCTCCAATGGGACACAGACATTGTAAAATAAACATACAGGGTTTAAGCCCTGCCTACTATATCCAATACTGAAAAGAAGAGTTTTGTCCATACATACACTTTAAATGCACTTTAGTACTGAGTGTAAAAAGCACATTATCTGGAATCATTGTCGCAGTATGTTGTTGCACTATAAGAAAGCTGTTTATTCAGCTAACATATCATTTGTTGATTTTTCCTTTTTCAAAATTCTCCTCTAGAACTGGAAGAATCGAGACAACAGAAGTGTCCTCCTTGCTGGTACAAATTCGCAAAGTGCCTTTTAATTTGGGACTGTTGTGGCCCGTGGCTGAAAATTAAAGACATAGTAAAGTTGATTGTGATGGATCCTTTTGTGGACCTCGCTATTACCATCTGCATTGTGCTGAACACCATATTTATGGCAATGGAGCATGCCCACATGACCAAGGAATTCATAAATGTGCTTTCGGTTGGAAATCTGGTGGGTTCAAAAACTTGTTAAATGTTTCTAAAGTATCCAGAATAATTTTTCACTACAAAATATTTTATCGGGTTACCATTATATATATATCTCTGTTTTAAAGGCAGCCATCACTCAAGAGTCATATTTCAGCTTTGCTTACCCACTAGTAGATTTCATAGTATTCTGGTTTTCTTCTCTTTTTTGGAAATACCAGTTTGAAGTAATCACATCACAATATCCCTGTCTTTCTAACTGCCACAGACCTTATAAAGGCAGATGATGCTTTTATGTCCCCTAAAGGTTTCTCAATGGCTGATATAAATAAATGAGAAATCAGCTGCAAGGGTGACATCTTTAAATGGGGCAGAAAATCTCACCATTGCAGTCTTAGGAGATATGATAAATTGGTGGGCAATTCAATCATATAATGCCTACACAGAACTAAAAATACACATTTAGTGTAGCTGCTCTTTAACAGTGTAATATTTTACTTACCCCAATATATGCAACAAATAAAGAAGGAATCTACTACTGGTAGATCGCTTTGTGTATAAATATGCTTTATTGTACCAAAAGTATTAAAAAAGCCGAACTTTATTGTACCAAAAGTATTAAAAAAGCTGAACTCCAGGCAAAACGCTAAATACACAGATGAAATACATACAGTGGGGCAAAAAAGTATTTAGTCAGCCACCAATTGTGCAAGTTCTTTGTTATATATCCTTTGTTGGCAATGACAGAGGTTAAACGTTTCCTGTAAGTCTTCACAAGGTTGGCACACACTGTTGCTGGTATGTTGGCCCATTCCTCCATGCAGATCTCCTCTAGAGCAGTGATGTTTTGGGGCTGTCGCTGGGCAACACGGACTTTCAACTCCCTCCAAAGGTTTTCTATGGGGTTGAGATCCGGAGACTGGCTAGGCCACTCCAGGACCTTGAAATGCTTCTTACGAAGCCACTCCTTCGTTGCCCGGGCGGGGCGGTATGTTTGGGATCATTGTCATGTTGGAAGACCCAGCCACGTTTCATCTTCAATGCCCTTGCTGATGGAAGGAGGTTTGCACTAAAATCTCACGATACATGGCCCCATTCATTCTGTCCTGTACATGGATCAGTCGTCCTGGTCCCTTTGCGGAGAAACAGCCCCAAAGCATGATGTTGCCACTCCCATGCTTCACAGTAGGTATGGTGTTCTTTGGACGCAACTCAGCATTCTCTCTCCTCCAAACACGATGAGTTGTGTTTCTACCAAACAGTTCTATTTTGGTTTCATCTGACCATATGACATTCTCCCAATCCTCTTCTGGATCATCCAAATGCTCTCTAGAAAACTTCACAGGGGCCCGGACATGTACTGACTTAAGCAGGGGGACACGTATGGCACTGCAGGATCTGAGTCCCTGGCGGCGTAGTGTGTTACTGATGGTAGCCTTTGTTACTTTGGTCCCAGCTCTCTGCAGGTCATTCACTAGGTCCCCCCGTGTGGTCCTGGGATTTTTGCTCACCGTTTTTGTGATCATTTTGACCCCACGGGGTGAGATCTTGCATGGAGCCCCAGATCGAGGGAGATTATCAGTAGTCTTGTATGTCTTCCATTTTCTAATTATTGCTCCCACAGTTGATTTGTTCACACCAAGCTGCTTGCCTATTGCAGATTCAGTCTTCCCAGCCTGGTGCAGGTATACAATTTTGTTTCTGGTGTCCTTCGACAGCTCTTTGGTCTTCACCATAGTGGAGTTTTGAGTGTGACTGTTTGAGGTTGTGGACAGGTGTCTTTTATACTGATAACAAGTTCAAACAGGTGCCATTGATACAGGTAATGAGTGCAGGACAGAGGAGCCTCTTAAAGAAGAAGGTACAGGCCTGTGAGAGATAGAAATCTTGCTTGTTTGTAGGTGACCAAATACTTATTTCCACCATAATTTGCAAATAAATTCTTTCCAAATCAGCCAATGTGATTGTCTGGATTTGTTTTCTCATTTTTGTCTCTCATAGTTGAGGTCTACCTATGATGCCAATTACAGGCCTCTCTCATCTTTTTAAGTGGGAGAACTTGCACAATTGGTGGCTGACTAAATACTTTTTTGCCCCACTGTATATGGGCATTGTTTTACCTGCCAAAGCATTTTTGTTTCTGTTGATCCAGTTCTGAGATTTACACAGGCTGCTTCTCCCTTCCTCAGTCTGGGATCTGTTGTACAAGGATTGTAAGAGACTGATACCAAAGCAAACTCAGGTACTTACACAGCTTGTATTTAGAAAAAATAAATGTAATGATCTAATAACAATTCGATAGCTACATTAGTTTGTGTCTATTTTATCTGCCTGGAGTTCAGCTTTAAACACTTCTGTTAAATATTGTACATAAATGCACCAACTACCATTCTATATTTAAAGCACAAATGCTCAGTAAAATAAACCACTTAGTAATATCCACTTTGTATTATTTTCACTTTAGCCAATCTCCCAGCCAGAAATCCAAGTAGAGAAATAATTTTTGCTGCTTTTCTTCCATAAGTTGCAGTAACTTCTGAGTATTTCAAAAACTGCTGATCTACTGGGATTTTTACTCACAACCATCTCTGAAGTTTGCAGAGAATGGTCTGAAAAAGAGAAAATATCCAGTGAGCAGCAGTTGTGTGGGCAAAAATGCCTTGTTGATGTCAGAGGTCAGAGGAGAATGGGCAGACGGGTTTGAGATGATAGAATGGCAACAGTAACACAAATAACCACTCGTTACAACCAAGGTATGCAGAATACCATCTTTGAATGCACAACACATTGAACCTTGAAGCAGATGGGCTACAGCAGCAGAAGACCACACTGGGTGACACTTCTGTCAGCTAAGAACAGAAAACAGAGGCTGCAATTCACACAGGCTCACCAAAATTGGATGATAGAAGATTGGAAAAATGTTGCCTGGTCTGATGAGTCTCGATTTCAGCTGCAACATTCAGATGGTAGGGTCAAAATTTGGAGTAAAACAACATGAAAGCATTGATCCATCCTGCCTTTGTATCAACAGTTCAGGTTGGTAGTGGTGGTGTAATGATGTGAGGGATATTTTCCTGGCACACTTTGGACCCCTTTGTACCAACTGAGCATTGTTTAAACGCCAAGGCCAGTATTGTTGCTGACCATGTCCAACCCTTGACTACAGTGTATCCATCTAGTGATGGCTACTTCCAGCAGGATAATGCATTGTCAAAAGGCTCAAATCATCTCAAATTGATTTCTTGAACACAACAATAGGTTCAGTGTACTCCAATAGCCTCCACAGTCACCAGATCTCAATCAATTGAGCACCTTTGGGATGTGGTGGAACGGGAGATTCGTATTATGGATGTGCAGCCAACAAATCTGCAGCTACTGCGTAAAACTATCACGTCAATATGGACCACAATTTCTGAGGAATGTTTCCAATACCTTGTTGAATCTATGCCACGAAGAATTAAGGCAGTTCTGAAGGGAAAATGGGGATCCAACCCAGTACTAGCAAGGTGTACCTAATAAAGTGGCCAGTTAGTGTGAATATATAAGTGTTGATGCTTACAACACATTGCTATCACGGATCTTGCATTTTACTAAAGGCTTTGATTCATATCAATTTGAATGCAAATTGAAACTCAATTCGGTGATCACCTATAAAGCAACTTTGGAGCAATACTAGTACTGGTTGTTATTGTGTTCCAATATAATTAGACACTAGTTTACATATTCCAGCTGGACTTGTGCCTACAGCAGAGTTTTATTGATTGTATCTTGTTAGAAGGCCATATAGCAGCTGGATGTCACCACACGGTTTTTTGCTGTGCAGTTTTGCAATGTAATACAGAATGGTGGTTGGTGCAGTTATATATTTTATGGTTAGTGATTAACTTTTTAAATATGTTGTGGTACAATAAAGGCATATACCTCAATCAACAGTAACCAGTACAGACAGTCATTTTTATTCTGATATTGCATGGTGCTCACTAAAATGAAGGAAATGTCTTTTGAGGGTCACTTTGCATTTTTGTCTTTTTAGTTTCACTTTGAATTTCTGTCTACTAAGGGGTGTATTTACTAAAGAAAAATAGATGCGTTTGCTTTGCAAAGGTGATTTCCCTTCACTTAGTGAATTGAGGTGAAGCTTTGCTGACTTCCAATTGCTCACCCAATTACGTGCAGGCAAAAATACTGCTTTTTTATTTCCCTTGTGTGTGACAGGGTATTCTTTTCAAAGTGAATTTTTACCTAATTCACAAAGCTAAGGAAAATTTCCCTTGCAAAGTGAACAGTCTATTTGCATTTAGTAAATCAACCCCTTAGTAGACAGAAATTCAAAGTGAAACTAAAAAGACATTTCCTTCATTTTAAAGAACACCGTGCAATATCAGAATAAAAACTAGAAAAGCTACAATTTCTGGGGAAATTGTGTGAAGTGTTCTTGCCTCCACCAGTAGTCTTCAACTGGAGTGGGCGGAGTAACTGGGTGGAGTGGCTTGAGTAACTGTTGTGTGGTTGGAGTGGCTGGAGTAACTGTGAAAAGGTTGGACTGGGCAGAGTAACTGTGTGGAGTGTTTGGAGTGAGTAAAGATAGTAAACATTACACTAACCAATTGATTGATCAAATTTGAAAAGTGCACATGGCAAGCTTGATAGAGTGAGAAATGCATTTCAACTTTTAATTATTTATAGTTTTAAAAACTATAAATCCTACAGCAAAGAGCTTCATATTGTGAGAATCACAAGACCCAGACCTACATTTGATGCATAGTATGTCTCTGAAATATTAAAAATATAGGCACAGTCGCAGTTTAGAAATTGCTCTTCAAATTTCAGGTGGCTAGAGTGGAGTTTCAATGAATGTCAATGGGCGGCGTGAGTTGCAAACAAATGGTCATATTGTGAAAACTATCAGGACTATGGCTTAGCCGTGAACATTTTTAGTGGCAGCAGGGATAACTAAACGTTTCGATATAAGATTTGTGTAGGTGGGCTTGAAAATGAGGGAGTGATGGCAGTTTAGAAATCATGTCCTGATTTTTCAGCTCACACTCTAGCTTTTGTCAGCTCTCACTCTAGTTTTGAACATTCCGCCATTCATTCCTATGGGACCAATTTCACCACAAAAACACCGATATTTTGTGAACCATTTGGTGAAACGTTCCACAAAGTAATAGCACACCAATTGGGAACAATCTGCACGTTTCGGTATATTACTGTCTATGTAGTGTAAAAACTGTGTGAGGAGTTAGGGTGGTAAATTTGGCTATGATAATAAGAATATATATGTGAGATAACAGTAAGTGGTCTTGCCATGCAGGAACATTTAATTACTGTCTGTACTGGTGAGCTATTGCTCTGGTTAAAATTAGAGTATAGTGCCTGGGTATTATTGACTTTCAGGGTGTTCTGTAAAGAAAAGTAGAAGTTTTCTGTAAAGAAAAAATATTTATATGGTAATCTATATTATAATCTGTCTAAATATATTAGATACACTTAATAATGGACATGACTGCATTTCTTGTCTTTCTAGGTTTTTACAGGAATTTTTACAGCTGAAATGGTTTTTAAGCTCATTGCACTGCATCCATACTATTACTTCCAGGAAGGCTGGAATATCTTTGATGGGTTTATTGTGAGTCTTAGTTTAATGGAACTTGGGCTTTCAACAACAGGAGGATTCACTGTTCTACGATCCTTTAGGCTGGTAAATCAAACTGTCAAAATGCATACAATACGATACTATGATACTATACTATACTATACTACAGGGCTTTCTTTCTGCCGGAACGCGGCGGTACTGCGTTCCGCCACCTTTTTCTTCTTGTCCCCGCTCACCGACTGCCTCTGCAGAGCTGACAAGCTATGCAGAGCAGCGAAAGTGACAGGTGCCGGACGCGGCTTGTTTATGTCATGCTTGCGCGTGCCCGGCACCTGTCACTGCCGCTGCTCACAGCCGGTGAGCGGGGACATGCACGCAATTCACCCCCCCCCTCTACCGCCAGCGTGTAAACATCGGGGGCGCGCGGCCACCCCCATAGGAAAGGTGTATCTTAGTACACCCGGCGGTGCGCGCTGACGTCATCACGCCCTCTGCTCGTCGATCCTACCATAGCGCGGATCGTCAGCATCAGGTAAGGAGCGGCGATACAATTTTTCTCGCTTTTCTTGCTAATGTGGGGGGGGGCAGTGTTACTCGCTATTCTTACTAATGTGGGGGGGGGGGCGGTGTTAATTCCATACATTTACTTTTATAGCCCCTCCCAAATTTTACTTGCATTCCTGTTCTCTAAAGGGGTGGTCCTAGGGTTTGATGGGGGTGTGGCCAGGTTTGGGTGGGGGAGTTCCACCACCTTTCCTCTGAGAAAAAAAGCCCTGCTATACTATACTATACTATAACATATGCATACTATAATATGTGAGCTTGGAAATGGAGCTACAGGTTTTGTTGTGTATGCCTGAGCAAAAAAATAATAATACTGTATATGCTGGATATCTCTTCACTACATGCAAATTTCACTATGTTTATCCCTTAAGGGTTCATGCACATTGGCTTAAAGAAACACTGCTCTTGGAGGAGTTTAGCATTTGGCTGTAGAAATAACTAATGTTATCGTATATGTCCATAGTCTAGAGCAACAATGGGCAAACTACGGCCCGCGGGCCGTATACGGCCCGGCGGACCTTTTAATCCGGCCCGCGGAGCGTGATACTGTCAGGATCAGCAATGGACAAACTACGGCCCGCGGGCCGTATTGGCCCGGCGGACCTTTTAATCCGGCCCGCGGAGCTAGGCTCCCGCTAGGCTCCTCTCACAGTCCGCCCTGAAGACCGGTGTAGCATGAAAATCTGTCTCCTATGAGGATCTGTCCCCCTCGATGTATCTGCGCATGTGCCGGAGATCGCCGATCGGCTGCTAATGCCTGAAACTGGCACATGCGCAGATACGTCGAGGGGGACAGATCCTCATAGGAGACAGATTTTCATGCTACACCGGAACGGCGCGGGAACACGGTGAGAGGAACGCGTGGAGCAAAGGTAAGTGAATTGACACAGGGGGGACTTGGGGACTTAATATGGTGGATGAATTAATATGGGGAATGAATTACTATAGGGGGGATGAATTACTATAGGGGGGGATGAATTACTATATGGGGGATAAATTACTATGGGGGATGAATTACTATATGGGGGATGAATTAATATGGGGAATGAATTACTATAGGGGGGGTGAATTACTATATGGGGGATGAATTACTATGGGGGATGAATTACTATATGGGGGATGAATTACTATATGGGGGATGAATTACTATGGGGGATGAATTACTATATGGGGGATGAATTACTATGGGGGATGAATTACTATGGGGGATGAATTACTATATGGGGGATGAATTACTATGGGGGGATGAATTACTATATTGGGGATGAATTACTATATGGGGGATGAATTACTATATGGGGGATTAATTACTATGCTTACTATGGGGGAATATTACTATACTTACTATGGATGACACATACACATCATTCATCTACTCTTGGTCCGGCCCCTGGGTCCAATATATGAACTCATTGCGGCCCTCAAGTCAAAAAGTTTGCCTACCCCTGGTCTAGAAGCATTTTTGACACTCAGTGTTAACAGACTGAAAAAAAAAACCTCTTCTGTTTTGCGTTTTTGAGAATGTTTTTCAGGCAGGAAAAAAAAACTGTTAAACTCTCCTAAATGCTTCTAAACACTCCTGAATGCTAGTACAAAAAAAATGCTCAAGATAAGTGTTTTTTTCCGCCAAGAGCACTGACATCTTTTTAAGTTAGTGTACACAGAGCCTAAAAATGCTGCCAGTGCAGAAAGATGCCTGTTGATCAGCCAGAAATCAATCCAGCTTGTTACTTCCTTTTTGAATTGACAATACTGTTTCTGCTGTAGTAAAATCTAAATAAAGCCCAATTCCAGCTTTCTGGTCCCACTCCAGTCTCTTCACTCCTCCCTGAAGTCCCCCTAATTTTTTTTATTGTCTTCTCTATACATACCTTTTTTGCTGCTGACTTTAGTCTTGTCAAGTGGCATAAATGATTCTCAGCGGTGGGCAGGTTGTGACTTGTGAATACTGCAAAAAATGTCCCTCAGATAATGATGTGGTGCTGTTCTCTGAAGCATTCTGCAAACCTGTGGCAACTTGATGGCTCACTCACCTCAAGGAGTCATATCTTTGGTGCCCTGGGCTCACAGGAAGTGACTTTGAGCATCATTCACCCTGGAGGAACACTGGCACAGGACTGCAGAAGAGAACACATAGGGCAGTGATGGAGCATGAGGAGGATGAATATTTTTATACCAGTAGGGAGGAGCTATATATAAAAATGAGTCCTTAAGAGTTATATTAACTGTTAGAATTATTGTTGGGTGAGGTTAAGTATTAAGTATTCATTTATGCTTAAGGTTAAGGGTGCATTTTAAATATTAGGTTAAGTCTCAGGGTTTGGGTAGGGGTTAACTATGATGGTCTGTACATTATTCAAAATAGGTGAAAGATTTAGGACACACAGGGAATCTTTGATATTTTTACGTATTTTTGCTGCTTAACTTAACCTTCTGAGAATATCTACAGCAGGCTTATGGAACTCAAAGATATTGGACAGTGTAGCTTGGGTACATTTGACAATAATAGACCACATTACATTTTGGCCATGTTGTTAAGTTAACCAGGGCATTATAGTGAAGTACAGGACAAATCTAAAGAGCCAGGTAGTCACTGTGCCTAAAACAAAGTACATTTAGCCCCTAACCTGGTTTTCTGTTGTCAGTAGAATCATGTGTCCTCTGGTTCTGTTATTAAACTGACTGGGTCTTGAGTTTCACCTCAATCTGTCTTGTCCTTTTTTTGGTTTCACATCTTTTATGTGTCTCACTATGTACATGCAACTTTCCAAGATAGCTTCCCTGAATTTCTCTAATGAAAAATGTTTATCTGCTTTGTTGACAGCCACCCATTTTAACAGATATTCCTATATACCCCATCCTTCTCAGTTGTAAATGTCAATATTTTTTTATTCATCTAGTATAATGAATAAGATTGCTGTTTTAAGTACCTAAGCCAGTAGAAAGTAAACTGTACCTTTATCGTTCTAGCTCAGAGTCTTCAAGTTGGCAAAATCATGGCCTACACTCAACAAGCTGATCAAGATCATTGGTAACTCTGTGGGAGCTCTGGGAAACCTAACCCTGGTGTTGGCCATCATTGTGTTTATTTTTGCCGTGGTTGGCATGCAGCTATTTGGCAAAAACTACAAGGAGTGTGTCTGTAAGATCTCATTGGACTGTGAGCTTCCACGCTGGCACATGAATGACTTCTTCCATTCCTTCCTGATTGTGTTCCGAGTACTGTGCGGAGAATGGATCGACACTATGTGGGACTGTATGGAGGTGGCTGGACAGTCTTTGTGCATATTGGTGTTCATGTTAGTAATGGTGATCGGAAAATCTTGTGTAAGTAAGTTATATAAGTTATGATTATTAGATTCTCTCTTTAATTTTATTTCTTTTATAATTTCTTAATAGTCTCTCTGACTGAAGTGTTTTCTATTTAATCATATCTATTTGTAGCAAAACAAATTCAAATTTCTTCAATGCTTTTCTAGCACTTAGGGCTAGTCACAGTGGTGGGTTGCATTATTATAAAAAGGGGGGTGCAGCGCTACATATCTTAGCAAAATGATAAATCAAACACAGATAATAAACAATAAAACAGTGACTGTGTGCTAATAGAGCCACTGGAAGGTGGCTATGAAGTGAAGGAAGTGAAACAGTCCAATGGAGGAGTGCTCTTAAGATCCAGGATGATCCTCAGACGTCCAATATTAGGAACCGTCAGGTGATAAAAAATGTAAAGACTGCGCACTCACCAGATACGCAATCTTTATGCGCATTTGTGTATAATATCACTGGACCTCCTGTGTCATCATCCTGGTCTGGTCAAATCTGGTCAGCATATCCTCCCTTGCCTGATATCCGGATAGATGCAGCTATTCCATGGATCTGGCTGGCTCCCACCAGAACTCAAATAAACAGAAAAGGCCACATAGTGTGATATCCTCAGGTATCTTTATTGTAGGCAAAGGATAGCAGGAAAACCGACATGTAAAATATTACTGACCCAGATGCAAATCAAAGATGGCCGCCGGGGCCCCTCGTGGTGCCGGCGGTAAAGCGTCCAACCTGCTGTAGCTCTCCCTGACGCGTTTCGAGCGAAGGCTCGTACTCATAGGGGTGCAGCTTACAGTGGTGGACGCAAATGACAATTTTAAATACGAGCGATGGCGCATGCGCAGTACGCCGTGCGCCATCTTTCCTATGCTGGATGTCCGCGCGACGGGCGCCATTTTATTGTAGCCCAACCCGATGGCGCATGCGCAAACGCCCTGTCGTCGGGTACGCAGAGACAACCAGCAGAAACGAATGCTATGAGCACCAGGGATGACTCACTCATATACTATAAGCGCCAGAGATGATCAAATCAATAATTTGACGCTATAGATCACCAATGTGGAAACCAACCAAGATAATATAATTATGGGCAAGAACAAAGATGGATCTTAATGAACAGATCCAAAATCATGTTATATAGCCCGTGTTTATCACAACAACAGTAATGCAAATGTATAGATACTCCGTATGAAAAACTATATTTACATAAAATGAATTAAAAAATTATTAAGTTAAAAAATTAAAAGATTATATTCATGTGAGAACCTGGTGGTCATACATATATAAACGTTGGCAAAAAAGTCTGCCAAACATAGGTGCCCATATATATAAAGTTATACCTGAATACTAAAAGGCCAAAATTACATAAATCCACAGTATATATAATCAATACAAATATAAAATAATACATACATCTGTAGACCCATCGGTCATTAGTGCATGTAGAAAGTTAGAATAATAAAACATTAAATATTAAAATTACCTGAATAACAAAAATATATCATCATCAGAATAACAGAGGAATAAAGTTATATAATATTAAGTGAAATACACACTAGGATCAATGACAAAAATATATATGTGTATATAGAAAGATATCTAGATAGTCCCAATCAGCTGTTATCAATGAAACTATTGATATCCAGTTCTATATTAAGTCCATTGGGGCGCATACAGTCCATCTGGAATATCCATTTCGTTTCCATTTGCGAAACTGCTCTTTTCTTATTTATGCCTCTCCAATGGGCTTGCACTGTGTCAATACCCACAAACTGCAATGAAGATGGGTCCCTGTTATGATGGGTCCTGTAGTGTAATGATAAAGAATGATCTTTAAAGCCCTTTTTTATGTTGTTAACGTGTTCACGGAGTCTATCCCTAAGTCTTCTAATGGTGCGCCCAACGTACTGTTTTTTGCACGGACATTGCAAAAGATACACAACATTTTTGCTGTAGCATGATATAAAGTTTTTAATTTTAAATGTCCTGCCAGTACTAGTGCTTGATAGGAAATTGTCGACCCTCTTTTTCCTTTTGCCATTACAGGTGCATATAATACACTTGTTACATGGGAAGAAACCAGTAATATTATTCAAAAAGGAAGTGTTCCTAGGAGGGTCGATAATATTTGGGGCTATAAGATTTCTCAGAGATTGTGCTCTTCTATAAGTAATCTCAGGTCTATCAGGAAGGATATTAGTCAGCACTGGATCCGCCTTCAAAATCTTCCAGTTCTGATTAATGATTCTAGAAATCGTCCTGTATTGTCTAGAAAAAGTAGTAACAAAGGGGCAGATTTTTTGTGACTTTTGTGAGGTATTGTTAACAAGCAGAGAATCTCTATCCATATTTCCTATCTCATGCATAGTGCGAGTAAGACATATCTCATCGTATCCCTTTTCCAAGAATCTATTTTTTAATATAGATGCCTGTGACAAAAAGGTATCAACAGAGGTACAGTTTCTTCTCAGCCTTAAGAATTGCCCTTTCGGTATGTTTGAAAGCCATAGTGGATGATGGCAACTGCTAATGGGAATGTATCCGTTCCGATCTGTTCCTTTGAAGAAGGAGGATGTTATTAGGGTGCCCTCTTGGTTCATTAATGTCAGATCCAAGAAATTCACACTAATCTTACTGTAGTCAAAGGTTAATTTAATATTTAAAGTGTTGTTATTAAGGGTACCGAAAAAGTTAACCAATGTTTGTTCATCCCCTTTCCAAATAAGCAGTATGTCATCAATATATCGCCTATAAAAGTATAATTCTGGCCAATCCCTGGCATATATAATGTCCTCCTCCCATCTAGCCATGAACAAGTTTGCCAGGCTTGGAGCGAATTTCATGGGTTGCATTATGTTGCGTATTGATGCGCATTGCATTAAGGCAGCAAATTCATTTGAATGTGCTGGCCATCACACAGGAAAGAAGCACGCACGCCCTGTAGTGTGTTAACATGCATTGCAAAGCATTTGACATGGTACATTAAAGTACCATTAAAAATGAATCGCACCAATGCGTATTACTCCACCAGTGTGAGTGGGCCCTTGTGCTTTCTAAGCCTAGGGAAATGTTCACCCCTTGTATATCACATATTTCTGGTTAGAATCCAGTTACTTCTATGTCACTGCACATCTTCCCACAGTATGTAATTCAGTCTGAATTATACCCTATGATATTTATAGCTATCCAGAGGCCCATTAAAGTGGAACTAAACCTAAGTTTTGTAGAACTGTGAGCAGAGAGCTTTTTATTGCAGAAGAGACATGCTATGTCTCTTCTGCAGTAATACAAATGTACCTGCCTGCTCACAGTTTTTTCACAAAATGTACACTGAGCCGCTCATGCGCAGCTCATTGTGCTTTCCCGGCACACTTTGGCTATGCTGAAATGACTAACTCCAGTGTGCGTGACAGTGGCCAGCGAGGGAAGGAACTGCTACAACCCTAGACGGTGGGGATGAGAATACTGGGGGGGGGGGGGGGCGGGGGTAGTTCTGCTAGTTATGAAGCATAAGATCCGCTAGTCATGAAGCAGAATATCCAATTTTTTAGTTACTTGTGTGTATCTGTGTGCACACAGCACAATCTGGAAAGGATAAGAATGCATTCTTTCCTTGTTGTCCCCTTAATTCCTTTTGTGTTCTATGCTGTTTGAATCATAAAAAAAGGCCCATTTCTAATATGGCCAGATCCTGGTGGACTACTACTTGTAATTAAAGCTCTGAAAAATATGCTATACACAGTATTTACACGTATCTTACTATATAATTTCATTATAAATTCACTTTATGTCACTTTATTATAATGTATCCCCATGTTTTTGTCAATTCTTTACATTAAAGTGTATGTAAAACAGTTTTATTTAGTGTTTGATTGCATTGGGGTTTCTCAGATTTTTAATGCTGTCTGTGTCCCCCACTTTTTGCTCTGGTGACCAGAGCGAAAGTGAAAGGAAATCCATAAATGTTGTCACCAAAGCAAGGGTTGAGGGAAAATTCTCCAATAGTAACACCTGTTCCTGTGACATCTCTCCAAGATTTGATTTCCTATAGGCAGGTTAGTGAGCGCACTCCCGTAAGCGGCAAATGCACTAAGAAAGAACTACAGAGCCTTTCCAACTGGAATTGACAAAATGAAAGTGCAGCGCTACAAACAATATCCTTGTAGCAATTAAATTGAAATGACTGGTAAACAAAGAAATTGTCCAATGACTAGTAAAAAAATAATAATTGTCCAATACAATAGTGTCAGATGTGGTAATCAGTTCAATTATGGAAAAACGTCCAAAAACGCTGGTGTAATCCAATCAATATCGAGGAGTAGGTAGATTGCCCACTTACCAGAAGCTCAATCTCAATGCGCATATGCAGGTCACATGTAGCCGAGGTCTCATGTAGGCGCTGCTTGGTAGTACCCTGGTAGTCCCTCAGTGGTAAGGAGATGCTGGTCTGGTCGGTTCACACTGCTCCTTGGATACACACAGAAGCCTAAAATGCTGGGGCTGAGGTATGGGGGCTCAGTGCCAGGTATGAGAAGTAAAAACGCTCATAGTGTAGTAATTTAAAAAAAAATTTATTAAATCCAATGTATAAAATTAAGATCACAAAAACACATGCCTGCAGCCTGTAGCCAGATAAAGCGGCTGTGAAAAAACATCCAAAAACACTGACCAGTGAAATTCAAGGGTTGGCCGCCAGACCTCCTGATCCGGCGGCGTGACGTCAAGGCGTGCGAAGGCTCCTCCTAGACGCGTTTCGTGTCAATACACGTCTACAGTAGGGGTGATCACCCTCGGCTGCATGTGACCTGCATATGCGCATTGAGATTGCGCTTCTGGTAAGTGGGCAATCTACCTACTCCTCGATATTGATTGGATTACACCAGCGTTTTTGGAAGTTTTTCCATAATTGAACTGATTACCACATCTGACACTATTGCATTGGACAATTATTATTTTTTTGCTAGTCATTGGACAATTTCTTTGTTTACCAGTCATTTCAATTTAATTGCTATAAGGATATTGTTTGTAGCGCTGCACTTTTATTTTGTCAAGATTTGATTTCCATTTGGCCAGATTTTGTTAATTTCTTCAGAACAGAAAGTGATAGATTAAAGCAGCAAAAATAACCTGATAGGGGCTTTCAGACATTTCTACTCTAATCTAAAACTAAAAATAAAATTTGGCAGTTTAATAGCTAATAACAAGAAACAATGAGACAATTCAAACCTCAGTGTTTATTCAGTAAAATTTCCATATATTACCTATGGAAATACAAACTTTGTAAAATCTGGATTATTGTTTCTGTTATGTCTTTGGTCAGATGTTGAAGTTGTTTATGCTAGGATGTTGCATTTTTGTTTGATGCTGTCTTTTATAGACAATTGTTCTGTTCATGGGGAATAGATGTGATATGAGTTTAAAGATAATCAATTACTGATGGGTCTCTGTAATAATATAAATATCTACTCCTAAATTGTTGTAACACTGAAATTTACCTTTCAGAGATTACTTTGTTTACTTGTGTTTTCTTCCTGCCTTTTCAGAAATGTCAGAGCACTAGTGTCAGGCTGTAAGGCCGTCCTGTCTCCTACCCAAGCTTAGTGCCAATAAAAGATACTCTCAAAGCTGCTATATAAAAAAAATGTTAGACACAAAATGACTTGCAGTGAGGCTAAAGTCTGTGGTAATTGTTATTATACAGGATTTTAAAGTTCCAACAGCTTGTTCAGCATTTTGAAAAAAAAAACAAAGAGAGATAGTACAGTTACAAAACAATTCAAGACAAGAGGGTTAGAAGGGTCCTACGCATGAGAGCTTGCAATCTAAAAGGTAGAGACAAATGAAAGAAAAGATAATAGCTGTGTGGGGATGAGTAGATGGGGAAAGTAACATAAAAGAGGAAGAGGCGCTTGTAAGTGCAGTAAGACTTGCTTATTATAAAAAGTAGAGATAAAATACACTCACAAGTATAGAAAAGTAAAAAAAAAGTGAAAGTTCAGTTTTATAGATGGAGGCACAATAGGCTTCCCTGAAAAGATCGCCTAAAGGTGGACAGGGTAGGAGATAACTGGAGAGCTTGAGGTAGTGAGTTCCAGAGGATGGAAGAGGCTCTGGAGAAGTCCTGGAGGTAAGCATAAATAACCAGTTTTACCCCCCTCCAGCAGCCTGGATTGAATGTCAGTTGTAAGCTCTGAGCTTAAAGTGTGTACAAGAAAAACCTTTTTTTGTTAGGTTTTCTTAGAGTGAGAAAAGGCTAGACCCCCTGTAAATTTTCTTTTATTGAGGGATGTGTCCCCATTGGGGAGATCCACCTTTTTGTACTGGTGACCATTGTCACTGCGCAAGAAAATGAGATGAAATCCAAAATTTTAGAGTTGTACCCAGAAGTAGCGGTAGGGGAAATCTTCCAATGATGACACCTGTTCCAGAGCCAACTCTTTAGGAGGAGAGTTCCCTTGAAAAGAAATTTCCCCTATGGTACACAGGCAACAAAAAATAACCTGGCAGAAGTTTTAACCCTTCCCTCTTCTATTCAAAACTAAAAAAAATTCTGGCTATACAGATGCTCAAGCAAGAGACACATCCTTTACAATAGTGCCTTACTTACTGACTTTGCTGCACTAACAGGAAGGAAATATAAGTAAATTACAGCAAACACAGTTGTGCTGGAGAGGTAGAGCTGCCCTATTATTAGAACTTAAAGTGTACGTATAGCCCAAACTTTATTTTACTTTTGGATAGAATAAAGAATTAGAACTTCTGTAAATTTGTATTACTTTCTGGGTCTCTGCTGGGTTGATTCACACTCTCCCCTTGTCCTGGTGACCTTGTTACAGAGACAGAAAGTGTTAGAAAATCCCCAAATACGTTCGAGTGGTTCTCTATACATTACATTTGACTCTGTTTTCATTTGAACTGTAGGTGCTGAATTTGTTCTTGGCCTTACTCCTAAGCTCTTTCAGCTCTGACAATCTTTCAGCCACGGATGATGATGGTGAAATGAATAATCTCCAGGTTGCAGTGGGCAGGATCCAGAGGGGTATGTCCTACATTAGGAGATGCCTAGGAGATTTTTTTCAGAAATTGTTTTTGAGAGCTAAAAAAGATGCGGATGACACAAAACAGCTGGAAGAGTTGAGAATTAAACGCGATAATGGTGTTTACAGCAATATTGTTGTGCAGAATATCAAAGGACAAGATTACTATCGAGAAGCAAGCGGGACAACCAGTGGGATAGGCAGCAGTGTGGAGAAGTATGGAGGTGATGAGAAGGACTGTATGGCTGTTAGTAACCAACAGTGCCTCACTGTAGCAGTGCCTATTGCAGCCGGAGAGTCGGACTTTGATAACCCAAACACAGAAGATTTCAGTAGTGAATCTGACCCTGAAGAGAGTAAAGAGGTAATAATTAATACAAATAATGCTTTACATTTTCACTAATAATCTATTTCCACTTCATCAATAAAATAAAGTTACTAACGAATTAGGACAGAGAGCATAAGACAGAGCATTAAAGAGAGAGAAACAGAAAAGTAGATTTGTCACCCAAAACTATTCTGTAATTACTTTAATTTTTAGCAAGAATCTAAATAATGATGTCTGAAATGTATCTGGTTGCCATAGGTAATGCTTGTCTTACAATTTTTATCCATGAAATTAAATAAGACAGTGTCATAACATTTTGCCAGTGTGCGGCATACTCATTATTGAGATTTAAAGGGTACTATTTAAAGTTTCTCATTTTGTGGAAAAGAAGAAAAAAAGAATTATTAAAATACAGTTGAACTGTTACAAATCAAAGCCAATAATGTTCCAATGGAGAAGATTATTTCATGATCTTCTAAGGCAATCAAATGCTCTTTGAATTCCTTAAATTAACAATTTGCGGTGTTATTATCTATAGATATTAATAGCCAGTTATATTCTGTGCATTTAGAAACACATCCGGCCTTTCCAAAAGCAATATACAGAGAACTAGCTCACGTGGAAGCCTGTTCCACATTTTAACCTGCGCCATTATTAATTTTTAAAACCACAACTTAGGCAAAATTCACGCTAGTCTCCTATGTTTGATTGATTTAACTGCAATAAAAATTGTCTTTTGTTTAAATGTACTGTAGTTGTATTTGCATATGTTCAGAGTTTCTAATCTGTCCCCAGAGAAACAGAGCTAATTACACTATTTTAAATCATCTTAATGTACATGCATATACTATATATGCTCTATAACTGCATATGAACACATACATTGTCGGGGTAAATGAGGCATTAATGGTCTTCTGTTCCTCACATTTTTACTTCACTGGTACTGCCCTTATCTTTTATTGGGTTTTTAATAGTAACAAAGAACAATACTCCATGGCAACTGATCAAAAATTATCTTTCTTTTTTTCCGACGACCAGCAGCTTTTTCCACTTTGATGTTAAATAAAGGCCACAATGTGTTTCTAAAATCTGCAGACCACAGGCAACTAAAATAATAACAATAGTAACAATTGAAATAGTACTTTATCATGTAGCAGTTTATTCTTTAACTTTACCTCATGTATTACTAACAGTTTTCTTTCCATTTCTATTGAATCCTTTGAAATAATAATCTGGATTTCTTCACAATGTTACTAATTAAAACACTTATGTGCCTACCTGGAAGTTTTAAAAAAAATGTCTTGTTATAATGCTTATATATTTTAATTTTATGACAATTTTGGAAGCTTCTGATTGCAAGGGAAGCTTAAATCAATATGATTTCAGTTGTTTCCTGATTTTGAACCTAAAATAATTAATTATGACAGGGAAATATGTAATGATTGGTATTGTAGTGGTTTAGATGAATTTACAATTGTAATTGTCTGTCTGATCAGAATTAGAAAATGTTTGGATTGGTTGCAGTGTCAAATTCAGTAGGTAGTCTTGTTTAAATGAAAACTAATAGAAACCTTCCAAAATTACCATGAGATTACACAATATTACTTTGAAAGGTTTTCAGAAACATGGTTGTATATCTAGATGTTATAAAAACTGTTGTGGCTGACAGCCAGAATTATAGGAAAAGATTGTAACCCTTGAAATGTAAATTCACAAATATTTATCACGGTATGGCCAAGCCTACACATGCTTTTTTTTTTTTTTAAATGATGCCCACTAATGAAAAAGGTTTGGAAACCATAAACACTGTTTAAAAGCTGCACAAATCAATCTCTTCAGCAGGCCTTTCTTAACCTTTTCATATTTATTTATCCTCCCCCCCCATCCACTCTAAATTAATTAGTTAATTTTTTTATTGAAAAGAGTAATGGCCAGAAGAAATACACAGTGACAATTGTGATGCACCTTTACATTGGTGTTCAGTAGGAAAAATATCTCCTTACTAAAAATGTAATTGATGTCAATTGTTTTTTTTATCTGAGAGATGAGCAGAGTGTCTTCACTGATCCCATACTGCTGGCTTTGTTTTTTGTGGTTGGTGCCAGAACCATTCTACTACTCAAGAAACCCCTAAGAACATCTAGAGAAAGGCTGGTGTACACCAGCCTTTCTAAACCTTTTTAATACAGAGGAACCCTTGAAATAATTTTCTTGTCTTCGGGAACCCCTGATAAATTAAAGGTTTTTTTTACACTCTTCTACTCCACAAGAAGAAGATTAGTTCAGCAAAAATCAAGAAATTGAACAAATAAGATTAATGGCAAGAAAAGAAATATCAATGGTGAAAATTCTAGTGCCACTTGCATTGGTGGTCAGTGAAAAGGTACCTTCTTATATTGGTAGGTAGTGTAGTAGTTCCATACATCGATGGCCCTTATATTATTGTTCAGTGGAAGAAGGATACTCTTTCATTGTTGACCAGCAGGAAAACTGCTTCCCTGACATAAGGCTAAAATGATCATTGATATTAGTGGTTACTGGGATTTAGAAACTCTTCATTGCTCAAGGAATCCCTAGCAACTTCTGGAGGAATTCCAGTGTTCCACAGAACCCTAGCTTAGAAACCCTGGTCTACACAGTCATGATTAGCTGTGTTTAGCCATTAGCTGTACACAGTTAAGACATTGCAGGAATACTCAACAATGTAGTTGTACCATGCAGCTTTTATTGAGTGATTGTGGAATTCCAGATTATTGTGGATGGACTTTGGTTTATGAGTAGAGCAGTTAAAAGGAGCATGTGTAGCTCTGCGCCTTCATTTGAAAATAAAAATGATGACTGCATTCATTTGTCCTTTGCCTTTGAATCTAGGCACAACTTTGCAGAACGATGGGAAAGACGGCATATTGTGACCTTTATTGCTTCCCCTTCTCACTTCTCACAGGGGTTTAAAACAAGTTGGAGGAGTCAAGAATACAGCTCTGGTGTTTATTTTTAACAAGACACAGCAAGGTGTCCCCTCAAGTAATCTATATGGTTATGCTACCAATGAATATCAGTCTGCATGCAGCTCAGATATGGACCTTTTCATCCATTGCAACACAATGAGAATTTTGCACAACTGTCCCAAGTGATGAACTGTTTAACTTGACCATAGCATGATCATGCAAGACTGGCAAACCTGCCCTGTTCTGTGAATTTAGCAAGGTCTCAGAAGTTCACAACACAGGGTAGCCAGTTGCCACTCTCCATGGTGCTGAAATGTACAAGAGAAGCATGTTGCTTTAAGCGATCATACGTTCCATCAACTGTCAAGTTGATGCTGCTATATACAGAATGCATGTACTTGGTGGTCACTGATGCCACTTTACTTAAATGATGTGCATGCTGTGCTCTGCAGGAAGACTAACTTAACAGAGTTTACAATTTTAACTGAAGGTGAAAATGCAAAAGGTTACATGCATCATTTTTCAAAAATATGTATCAGTTCAAAATTTCTCTATTATATAGGAATTACAAATAGTTACATTTACAGCTGAATTACCGAAAAATAATTGTGTTTAAGTTGTTATGTCATAGCATTTGAAACATTATGCATGGATCCTACCTGCATTTAATCATGATGTCATTGGGTATTTACTTGGTTTGCTTGTACTTAATGGAAGATCTGAATACTTTGGTTTGTCTTCAAATTGCTTGTGCCTACCTTTCTACAAAACTTGCATTTCTGGGAATACCTTATCTGAGACCTGCAGTTCTGCAGCTCTGGGATTCCCAACTCTGCCCATTACAGTTTTCTTTTTTAAATTTGACTATGCATACACCCGACACAATAGAATTTTGTGCACCCCTTATAATTCCGAAAGAAGTTAGCCATTCTGCCACTCCACTTTCAGTACAGTCTACAGGGATATAGTGGTAGAAATAGATCTGCAAGAGCATGGGTGAGAATCAGTGTCAGGATTCTGTAGTTCCAAACAAATGCACTGTGATCGATGTATGTTATGGCTGTACTGAATTTTAGAAAAAAACACAAAATTGATCTTAAAACTTGCATTGAATTGAATTCTTCCAAGTGCCTGCCAAATATCTGAACTATAGGTTTGTAGGTGTCTTCAGGACACATTTCTGATGCAGGGAGGAAGATGGCAAAGCCATAGAGGTATGGGCATACAGTTATAACAGTGAGATTAGTAGTAACAGGGTTTTCAGAGCCTGATATTCCATCTGACGCAGATCTTTGGTGAATATTGATTTCTGTATGAATCAATAGAAAGACATAGAAAGAATACTACATATATGTATGTGCGTGTGTGTATAGAGTATATATACATTCATGAAAGACTGCAGTTTCAGTCCTATTTGCAAAGAGGATTTATAGTATATATAGTAGTCAAATTCTACCTATTATTCTGCCTTTATTATTGACTTATATGGAAAAAAAACGTTGTTCATACCTTATGGTATATCAGTATTGCTAATATAACCCTTTCCCCATCCCATCCATAACCTGCATATACAGTACTAACTGAATGAAAAACCTGCAATCATTATCAAGACTGTGAGGAGACTATGTCAATGGAGGCATAGGTCACATCACTGGACCACCCATGTTGCCTGAAGCTCCTGGCTGGTTACAGTCAAGAGTTCAATTTGGCCTGGTAAGTTGACCATGCCTAAAGGGTTTTTTCACCTTCAGCTTGTACAAATACATTGTGTTTGCGATAACGCAAATGTAGGTGTATGTAATCTGTTACCCTGCAGCTGGTACAGCTCTGCCATACAATTGTGCTGTTTCCAAAGAACAGTTTGTGTTGTACTTTAAAAAAACACTTTTGCTAAATTATACAATATAGACATAGCCAAAAATAATGATAATGCAAACTAGAAAAAGTCATCATTTGTAAATATTTACTAGAGAGCTTGGACAAACCAGCTATATTAAAATCATCTGAAGGTGAAAACCCCATTCAAGCTCATACAATTTTTAAATAATCTGCGCTGATTAAGATTTAATAAACATTTAGTGAGGGATTCCACCTGCATAATATTTTATCGATTTGCACCTGTCCCCGTAAACTTTCACTAAATGAATGGCTATGACATTCTAACCATCTTCTGTGCTTTGCAGGCATGTCATCTGCTAGAGAATGTTTGGTGCCACAGTATATGACGCAAACCTGTTTCCTAGTTAGGACTTGTATGTAATATAAGGAGAACAGCAGAGCTGTATCCCACCCCAGGTCAATGAAAATATACAGCTGTGACTTTTTGTAAATACATAAAAAACTTTTGTGTAAGTATTATAGGATTTTCAAGGGTTTTAAAGTAAGATCAACTCTGTCTTATACTTGAAAAAAGCTAGTGATAAATCAGATTCAATTAGATCACTTTTGCTTTAGGCAGGTCATAAGTAAAATGGACCTGTGCTATATCCTTGCAGAGCAGGGAAATGGGTTCACTTATAATCCCAGCCTTTGACGGTGCTCATAGTTACCTTACCTTCACTTCCAATAAGTGACATCAGATATCCCATACTCCCAGGTATAGGAAAGCATGTGACTCATCCCCTTCCCTTGACAGAACATTGCTGGTACTTTGCAATTGGCTGCACAGGCACCCAGCACTTTTATATGTGATTGAATTGGAGCTATGTAAGCACCAGATTGGTCACAGGATGGCTTCTTCTCTTTACTCCCATGGTTGATCAGACCATTGGGGGTAGTAAAGAAAGATAAGGTTGGGATTGGTGGCACAGATTCATTTCTTTAATTTCCACAGAACCTTGCTCCCCTATGTCTATATTTGGTCACATTTATGCCTAGCACATTTCAGAATATAAAAAACCATGGATTTTCCACCAATATCTGGGAGCTATGTAAAATGGTGCTCCCCCAAGGATAAATCTTGAATGAGTTGACTGGCCACTCAGCCCCTTACACCACAATAAGCGCAATCTTTCCAAAGACAATTAAATATATATATACAAAATTGTACTTTAAATGATTTTTCATTTTAGGTAGATTAAAGCAACTGATATTTTCAACCAGCACCTCTATCTATATCCCCAATTGGTTTCCTAACTGGGTAGGAAGGTATGTCGTAGTCCTGTTGGGAGAAAGTAGCTTTAGTGGTTCCTGCATTAATGTGGAGGAAATAAAAAAGGAAAAGGAAAGATCTAGTATGGGGCACAATAAGATTAAGTGAGTGAAAAGGCAAAGCTGCATTGTTATTGGTGGGTTAATATCTACCTGGATTATGGTGGTATACTGTATTGAAAATCACATGACAAATTTAGCATGCACTTGTTACTGTAACAAAGAATGCAAAAGCTGTTGAACTGCATTGACTCAGTGCGGAAAAAAAGTGAGCTTGACGTGAAATACATGGCACACATATGTGTATCTGACAAAATCATTCAATAATGCTATTTGCCTATTGCCGTATGAATTTAGACTAGAATGTACCTAGACTGCAGACAGTTTTGCCATCGTCTTCTGGCAAATGACAGAACTGCTAAATTGCCATAAACTTTAGGTAAAAAAGAAATCCTTTGAAATCAACAGCTGTCCATATTCAGCTTTGGTTTAATACTTCTAAATCTTCTGTACTTTGCTATTGGAAGCTTTCATTTTTTATTTTTCCCACATTAGACACATATGCAAAATAATGCCAGAAACCACCTTCCTAAATAACAATATGATCAGTCTGAAAAATGGCCCACAGTACTCAATCAAATGTCAGTTTTTAGCAGTTTAATCATTTATCTGAAAACTGATACGTGATTGGTTGATTCTGGTCACTCATTGCTCTTGGCACCATGCTATTAAAGCAGATGCTTTAGTAATTAACACTCCTTATACGTAATTGTATTTCATTGTTTGACTTCTTTGCAGAAGGTAAAGCTTTTCAGCTCCTCAGAGGGTAGCACGATAGACATCAGACCACCAGGAATGGAAGGAGAAGATGATTACTTGGGTTACGACTATGAGGAGACACTTGATCCAGAGCTATGCTTCACAGATGGTTTGTTCCCTTCCCATTGCCAGTGTTTCTAATATTGCTTTATACTATTGAGTTTTGTAAACTGATTATCGTAAAATTTCAAATGTGTTCTGCTACTGACAAGCCAGGTTTAGTGTGTTATTCTGAGCAATACAATGAGGGTTAAATTGAAGCCACAGGTGTCTCCGTGACATCATGTGCGCCCTCCCAGTTAAACGAACTTTGATTTTTTTTTTAAATAAAGAGCTTCAATGTATCTTTACATTTTGAAATCTATTTATGCAAACAATATGGAAAATTTTCCTATTAGGGAGAAGTAGGGAGAGGCAGACTCACAGAGGATGCATTAGTTGAGGTGCATTCATAACCTCTTATTATTACATTTTCCACTTTGGTTTAAAGCAACATTACAAAAGGACAGGTAATAGGTTGGGATTTTGCTGGGTTGCCTGCTGGCGTTTTATGTCTCATGGGACTCCATTATAAAGAGATTTTCCTGCTATAGGACTTGTCACTGTACTACCTTATTCCTTGCTATTTCAGTTTCATCTGTTGTAGTAGTCCTAATACAAAATAATTTAATGAGCCTGAAGAGACTTATAGGTAAGAGCTCTGGTAGATGTGCACACCTGAAAACAAAAACAGACCAGTCCGGGTACCAGCCCTTTAAAAGATAATAGCACTTTTTTTTTAAAATAACAAAGTCCTGTACACCACTTCAGCCATCATAAACCTCAGATGAAAATTTAAAACAGAACTTTGCCCATAACAAATTGATGAAAAATAATGTTCTTTAGCAAACAACAATGACCCCCTGTGGGACTTTAGTGCACCAGACATTTAATCACACATGTACTCATAAGGAACTCTTTTTACTCATGCACTTTATTGTACAAAAATATTGCTAAAAGATACATTACATTTAAAAAAAACACTGGCTCTGATAACTATTCCAAGGATGTATTCCCTTTAGGTTGCGACAATACCACATTCCCAAAATAACGCCGACGCATTTCAATCATTTCACTTTTTTGAGTACAAAAGGGATCTCTGAATAAACATATTTGAGAGTAGTAATAATTTATATATAGATTAATCAAACCCAGTTATATTATCTCCATTTTCATACTTACAATTGAATTAAATGGTTAACGTTGATTAGAGAGATCATACAAATACTGGCATCCAAGATGGGACTGCATAGTCCAAAACTCAATGGTGTGAGCTATCAGATTCTCTTTTTCTGATTCTTCAAGCACAGTTAGTCAGCACATATTTAGCACCTCAGGAGTTTACAAATCACATTTTTTGGTCGAATGTGGGGGAGAGGCCTCCGACGGGGGAGATCAGGTCGAGGAATAGCACATTATCTGATTCGAACTTAACCACTACATTGCATATTGTCAATCTGTCTTCATATATGCTACCTCAAACTGAACAAAATTGCTGTCTCGCAGGTTGAGTTTTTTCTACATCAGAACGCTGATGAGTTCAAAGTGGTCAAAGATCTTAAATTATTTGCCAGGAAACTCTTCCTTAGGTGTACACATGCTAATCAGAGCCAGCTGATTGGTCCCAATGTTCCAGTAGGGAGTTCAGAGTCCTCAAGGATCTGACTCTCCTGTTGGTAGAAAGTCAATCAGTGGATTTTATCGATCAATTAGATGTAGATCTATTATTAGGGAAAATGGAAAATTTCCAGACTGATCCCCTAATCCAATTCAGGAAACCTTCCTCCAAATTTCCTTTGCTGAATAACAATCCAAGTATTGAGATATTTTTTAAGCAAATGCTGAGAGATATCATAAAATTCTCTTACATTCGGATAAAAAATTACAACAGAAAAAACTGTGTTACGTGTTTTACAAGAAAACAATAACAATACAATTAAACCATCTCACAGGGAGGAAACGTAGTCATTATGGACAATACACAATATAAGGAAATGTGTTATAGGATTTTACAAACTAACAGGTGGTATCGTCTCATTCCTGTAACTTTGATTGAAAAAGTTGTTTCTGAATTTTATGAACTGATCGATCATGCCCTGGAGGGGGACATAATTCTTAAAGAATTGTGGAAGTTCATTAGAGAAAAATTCCCCAGAACTCCCACTTTCTACAGTTTGGATCAAAAAAATCCTACAGGACATCCTATTGTTTCGGGGAATGGAGGCCTGACAGAGAATTTGAGTCATGTAATAGACTCTTATCTGCAACCTCATGTGTCTTCATTACCCTCATCTGTGAAGGACACTATTAATTTCCTACAGATTATTGAGGATTCTAGTATTTCTGAGGGAGCATTTTTGGTCACCATTGATATTGAAGCTCTCTACAGCTCAATCCCCCATAATCATGGTGTGTCAGCTGTATGACATATTCTTTCTCAACGACCCTTTCAGGATTGGCCTATGAATTAATTTGTATTGGCTGGGTTAGATTTAATTCTCCATCACAACTGTTTTTCGTTTGATGGTTCCCACTACCTCCAGGTACAGGGCGTGGCCATGGGGACATTTTGCGCCCCTTCCTACGCCAATTTGTACCTGAGGGAGTGGGAACATTGGTTCCTCTCAGGCGAAAGCCTCGCACTGTAGACATGCCACATTTCTATGTGGTATAGGTATATTGATGATGTATTTTTTCGTTCGTCTGGGAGGGTCCTGAAAAAAATGCTTTTGGAATGTTTTGAAAAAAATAAACACTAATAGCTACAATCTCAAATTTAATATGTCTCATAGTAAGGAAATTGTAACTTTTTTGAATGTCCGCATACAAAAGAACGGCAGTGGCCTCCTCTCCAGCGGACTCTACAGAAAGGAAACTGCAGGGAATACTATCCTGCATGCATCCAGTTTCATCCACAACCACTAAAAGATTCCATACCTTTTAGTCAGTATTTTAGGTTGAGACGTAATTGCTCCACAGAACAAGACTTCCAGGAGGCAGCAGAGAATTTGAGACAGCGACTGCTCGACAAGGGATACAGCAAGACCTGTTTGCGTAAAGCTTACAATCGTACCTGCCAACAGTCACGTTACAACCTCCTCTTTCAAAAGAAAAAAGTAGATACAGAAAAAGGACCTACCCATATAGTGTTAAGATATTCTAACTAACATTTACAGATAAAACAAATTTTGCAATGCCACTGTTCAATTTGTGGCTACTACACCTTCAGTAACTTTTAGAAGGGCTAGTTCACTATGGGACAAATTAGTTCATAGCGAATACAAGGAGAAACTCAGAGACAAGCATTGTCGGGATTATTAGATTTATCCTTGTGGTCAGGGGCGGACTAACCATTTGGAAACTCGGGCACTGCCCGAGGGCCCGGGGTCAGTAGGGGACCCCATGAGATGCTCCTGGTACCTTTTTCATAGGCTTTTTTGAATTTGTGCAAGGACACAGGGGCTCCATGATCCCCTATTGCCCGGGGGCCCCATGAGTTGCCAGTCCGCCCCTGCTTGTGGTAACTGTTCATATTGTTAATTGGTGGATAAGAAAAAAGTAGTCCTATTGCCTAATGGGACTTACTATACACTCAGACATTTTGCCAATTGTCAGACTAGAGGAGTGGTATATCTTATGTCTTGTGAAAGGGCGCCTTTAATTTTGGTAAGACCAAACAGGAGTTTTGGTGCCCCGTTTAGAAACGTGTACAGTATGCAAATAGGGAACAGCTACCTCAAGTAAAATTTGTTGCTTTGGATCGGATACACATCCCTGATCGGGGAGGAGATTGGAATAAAAATATCCTTCAGTTAGAACAGAAATGGTTATATAGGTTACAAGCCACAGTCCCTCCAAGTTTAAATGAAGCAATATCCTTCCATCCCTTTTTGAAGGGGTTCACCTCTGGTAAAACTGATTCAATTCTTCCCTTAAAAAATGGATTAGACTCTTGTCCATATGGTTGTGTTTGGTTTTGCTCAGGTTTTTCATAAACAATAGGTTTTTGCTCATATTCTAGAGTTATCAAAGTTTCAGCAAGGTGCTGACCTAGGGAATGTGCACTGATTATAGTTTTGTTACTATTATATAGTATATGCTAATTTTGGTATCGTACTCTTTTATGAATTATGTATGTGATTAATATATTGCTTTCAAAGATCTGAAAACGGTCCTAAAAGAAGACTCCCATCCAATATTTAGATAAGGAATAAAAGAAAAAGGCCACTCATAGTGTAGCATTTAAGTAATAAAATCACCCTGTTTAACCACAAGTTACTCGTACATTGTTTTGGATAGTTACCAGCATTAGAATCAAGCTTCGGCGTGTGACGTCCTCACGTTTTTTTGGAGGGATGGCGGCCATTTTCCTGGTTTGAAACTTGATTCTAATGCTGGTAACCATCCAAAACAATATACGAGTAACTTGTAATTAAACAGGGTGATTTTATTACTTAAATACTACACTATGAGTGGCCTTTTTCTTTTATTGGATGGGAGTCTTCTTTTAGGACCGTTTTCAGATCTTTGAAAGGAGGATTGATATCTGTCTGGATGAGGAGTGCTGGTTCCATGATCTACACATATTCATCTCCAATTTGAGTTGCTTATATTGACCAGTGTGTTTCGGTCAGAATTTCTGGTAAGAGGCTAACCATTCGGGTGTCCTGGTGATGGTGGATCGTGGGAATACATTTGGGACTTTTCTTACTGGAACTTTTTCTGATTTACTGGACTTTGTTTTTTTGATTAGCGCTGTAATTTTTATTTATTTACTATTATGTCTGTTGCCTGATGTACGTGCTGCTTTTCTATGTCATTTATTATCGTCACATGATTAGTTTATCTACCCAAGCGCAGGTTATTTATATTTGAATATATTGCTTTAGCTATACTGGCACAATTTGATTTTCAGGTGGATTTCAAGGTAACACTGTGTCTGGCTTCATGTGTGGCCTTTGGGCCGGGCATCCGGCATGAGGCATGGATGGCCTTTAGGGCCTTGTACCCATGTTTTTATGATGGGCATGGTCACATATAGACACCGGTTTTGGCCCCATTGGCAGCAAATAGCCACATCATCTCTTACTGACGGCACAGGTGGATCTGATCACTTCCTAATGAGATAATTGTATAATTCTCACACAGATATATATTTGGATACTTTACTGCAGCTTGTTGCTGGCTTTCTTTGTTGGAAGTAGTCTCTCATGCTACATTGGACAGTTTGGTAAGCATAGATGGCTTGTCCTTCTCCACCTATGATGGTTATTTGATGCTAGTAAATGGCAGATTGGTTACTGATTTACCTCTATGTGTATATTTTTGTATTATTAGGGTATATTTTTGTATTATTAGGTGGAAGTGTGGAGACAGTTTATGTAGAACAACTATGTAGTGGTTGGGATGCTCCTCTCCCCCTCTACTTAAACGGTGATATGTACTTATGGATATCATAGTTAGTCATCTTAGTGGGAGATTTGTATACTGCTGTATGTGGTTGTGACAGTATTCTTATAGCCCCATTTGTTTTTTAACATAGATGAGGTAGTTGGGCATAGCCTCCAGCCCACTGGAATTCCTTATATCTTTGCCACGGGACGAGGAATAAAGTAGTTAATTGTGTTCATTGGCCTTGCCCCACATACGGTCATCACTTTTTATACATTGATTAGGGTATTCATTTTCTTGCCCTTTGTAAAAGCGTCTCTAATTTGTACCATATTTTTTTATGATGATGATAGAAGGATATGGAGGGTGATTTGGCTTTCCTTCTCTGCCATCAGTACCATGAGATGGATATTTGACCACTCTTGCCCCTCAGATAGCACACACCATTGAATTTTGGACTATGCAGCCCCATCTTGGATGCCAGTATTTTTATGACTGCTCTGATCAACATTAACCATTTAATTCTGTTGTAAGTATGAAAATGGAGATTATCTAACTGTTACTGATGATTCTATATATAAATTATTATTAATCTCAAATATGTTTATTCAGAGATCCCTTTTGCACTCATCACCCCTGAAGATCTAAACGTGAAATGTTCGAAACCCATCAGAGTTATTTTGGGAATGTTGTATTGTTGTAACCTAAAGGGAATACATCCTTGAAACAGTTATCAGAGGCAGTGTGTTTTTAAATGTAATGTAATGTATCTTTTATCAACATTTTTGTACAATAAAGTGCATGAGTAAAAAGAGTTCCTTATGAGTACATGTGTGATGATATGTCTACTGCATTAAAGTCCCATAGGGGGCCATTTTTGGTTGTATCTGTGTTGAGCAGCTAGATACTTGATTTTTCTATATATTCTTTAGCAAGGAACATACATTCCACATTAATAATTATGTCACCAAAATTACTGTGTGCTGTAACTTGCCTCCAGCATTGTTCCTAATTCTTCTTGCCGAAGGCTGCGATTTTGCTGAAGCCCACAGTCCTGAGCAGCAGAAAAATCTTTAGGCTGTCAGAAGATCAGCCTCTGCAAATTAGGCACAGTGCCAAAACATAGAGAGCAACTGAGCATGTGCAGTGCAGGGTGAGACAGTGTAATACTGGATTTTAAACAGTGTAGGCACTTTATAATGTTTTATATAGCTATACCTGCAGAAGATGCCAGCCTGACATGATCTAGCAGGACTTCATTTTCTGACTAAAGTTCCACTTTAATGTGGTCTGTCATTTTGATCATACAGGGAGCCATAAGACTCAAAATGACTATGTATATGCATGCAGCTGTTGGCCGTGAAGAATAATGGCTTGCCCATTTTTGACCAGTTAATGGTTTAGCTCAGGGTTTCTCATCTAGGATTCCCTAGAGGTTGGGGTTCCTTAAGCAATGAACAATTTCTGCCATTCAGATAAGTTCCCACTGAAACCATTAATATCTTTAGCTATCTGTAAGGGGGTAATTCTTCCCACTGACCACCAGTGTAAGGAGTATTCTTCCCACAGACCATCACACTAATGTATGACGAGTTGTAGATATAGTAATTATTGGCAGGGGTTCCCTGAGACCGGAAAGTTATTTCAAGAGTTCCTTTGTGTTGAAAAGGTTGAGAACAGCTGGTTTAGCTAGTAGAAATAAGTTATAGGTTATTGGTGAAATGTCTTTAACATTACAGGATGTGTGCAGATGAATGTGATTTACTACTACTGCCCAAAGTGATAACTATTTTATTTCAAACCCTTGGGCTTGATTCACACTTGTGAGGCTGTGTGGTCCTTGATTTGCGCAGGCATGAGAGCCCATTCTTTTGAATTGGCTGCCATGCCCTGGGACACGCAGTTAAGAAGTCCCTGCACTATTTTTGAAATTACAGCCCGCACGGGAACCGAGGTTCCCAATACAGTTGCAATTTCCTCCCATGGGTCCCGCATTTCTCTGTGGGTGATTGCAACTGCTGGTTTTTGTGCGGGTCCTGCAGCAGCACCACCTGCACAGATGTGAGCCAATGTGACTGTCATAACTAAGAGGTCCATGTTATCTGGTGTGCTTATATCTGACCCTCTATGTGTGAGCTCCTAATTTGGACTGAGATTTGGTACACATGTACTGTTTTGATTTATTTGCTGACATTTTTTGAGTGAAAAGCTGCTTTATGTAACCCCAAAGACAGCTGCGTTGGAATTATTTTTAGAGACATTGTTTTCAAAATGTTTACAGGTCTTACATCTGTGCTCTGAAAGTATGTTAACAATCTACAAAGTAAAAGCTGCAGCAACTGCTCTATTCAGGTTATGGGCTTCTTAGGGGCAGGAAAAACCCTTGTTAGCAGTGTTAATTGATTACTTGCCAGCTCCTTTTCTTCTGTCCCCAGGCTGCGTGGAGAAATGTGCATGCTGCCGGATCAACATTGAAGAGGGGAGAGGAAAAAACTGGTGGAACCTCAGGAAAACCTGCTACCTTATTGTGGAACACAGCTGGTTTGAATCATTTATAATCCTCATGATTCTTCTTAGCAGCGGGGCCTTGGTGAGAACAACGCACTCAGTGTTTCACTACGCCAACCTATTCAAACTTATTTAATTCTCTCATGTACTGTTGTTTTTTTAATGGAAGCCCTTACAAGCATCTAGGCATAGTTAGCACACCAATTCAAACATAGAAAAAGTCTGGCATGAGGGAAAGGGCCATGAGCCACCAGGTTATTCTGGTTTACTTACAGCTGGCACTGAGAACGTGACAGGGACACTGTCAGTGATGCATATACTAGCTAAATAAAACACTAAATGATTACTGTACTCACCACATAGAAAGATTTATTTAATCAAACAGATCTGAGATAAATTATAGTATGCTGAAATTGTGTCTAAAACCTAACTGCAGGCAAACAGCTAAATACATACACTATATTGCCAAAAGTATTGGGACATCCCTCCAAATCATTGGATTCAGGTGCTCCAATCACCTCCATGGCCACAGGTGTATAAAATCAAGCACCTAGGCATGCAGACTGCTTCTACAAACATTTGTGAAAGAATATGTTGCTCTCAGGAGCTCAGTAAATACAAGCTTAGTACCGTGATAGGTTGCCACCTGTGCAATAAGTCCATCCGTGAAATTTCCTTGCTGCTAATTATTTCATGGTCAACTGTTAGTGGTAATAGTTGCCAGGAGAACGGTATTTCCCTGACTGCATTGTGCCAAGTGTAAAGTTTGGTGGAGGGGGGATTAAGGTGTGGGTTTGTTTTTAAGGGGTTGGGCTTGGCCCCTTAGTTCCAGTGAAGGGAACTCTTAAGGCATCAGCATACCAAGACATTTTGTACAATTTCATGCTCCCAAATTTGTGGGAACAGTTTGGGGATGGCCCCTTCCTGTTCCAACATGATTGCGCACCAGTGTACAAAGAAAGGTCCTGACCTCAACCCAATAGAACACTTTTGGGATGAATTAGAGTGGAGACTGCAAGCAAGGCCTTCTCGTCTGATATCAGTGGCTGACCTCACAAATGTGCTTCTGGAAGAATGGTCAAACATTCCCATAGACACATTCCTAAACCTTATGGAAAGCCTTCCCAGAAGAGTTGAAGCTATTATAGCTGCAGAGGGTGGGCCAACTCAATATTGAACCCTACAGACTAAGACTGGGATGGCATTAAAGTTCATATGCGTGTAAAGGCAGGAGTCCCAATACTTTTGGCAATATAGTGTAGTTGGAATACATATGGAAACTGTTTTACCTGCCAAAGGGTTTGTATGCCTTATAATGCACAGCCCTTCTAGACTACATTTAGGTTGGTGACCTAAATTTCTGTGCTGTACTATAGCTAGGTCACTTTCCCCCAAACTGTGATTGGACAGTTAAGAAGCAGCAGTAGACTGGTGAGATCATCTTTCTGGTCACACTGCTCTTTCCTCCTATCAGCATGTTCCTTGTTGGCACATGTGCACTGCATTATACCTAATTGTTTCTTACTGGTGACTCTCCCACTCTCAGTTTCTACTTCAAAGGGAATTACACGAGGCTGATACTGAATCCAATTCAAGTATATTGACTAGTTACTTTTAAAAATACATTTAACTCTGAGTTCCAGGAACTAATATTTTTGCATACATTACAATTGGCCAACTTGGTTTGATGTAAGTATCCACATCTGATGATTAAAGAGCTGCTGAAGATGCTGTTAATCGCCGTTATCATGTCACTGCCCCTCCTCTCCACCTCGTCCAAACAGACTACATTTGCATTCATTGAAAAAAAAATATAAGGCATTCAGTCAATACTGGAAGTGCTGAGTGGTCAAACCTCTGTGTTCTTTGTGTGCTGGGGCAGCTGCTTGGCACAGAAACTGAAAGCTGACATAGCGCTGACTACTACAGTGATAGCTTCCAAATGGCCCCTCGGGTATAAGACATGCACATTTACATCATAGAGATAACTCTGCTTACTTAAAATATTACATCAAAAATATCAAACATGCACACCTTAAAAGTGCTGACCCAGAACTAAGGATAGAAACATCAAGATCAGGATAGTACACACCACAGTGGTACCTTATGTGTGCACGTATTTCCATACATAGTGACATCACTATGCATTTTGTCACACTGACTTTCTTGAGAGTGGTGTATATGTGATTAAATGACAAGGCATTTTTATCACATGAGCTTTGCTCAGTAAAAGAATCAGAGTTCAGATCATCTCCATATTCCTATTATATTACTTGTTATAATAAATGCAATATTCCTGTGGTGTGGTATCATGTATCCATGATATTGCATCATAGGTCACCTAGCTCTAATTGTCCCCCAGGTCCTTAGCAGTCAGTCAATCATTTTTTTAGATATATTCACCACAAGCGTCATTGTCCACTTGATTTTTTTTTTTTTTTTGTGATAACACTTTTCATTCTATTTTCCTCCCAAAATGCATGTTATGGCTCCTTTTGATTGACTTTCAGTACATATCCTCCTACTCAACCTGATCTCTGTTGTGCAGCATATTAAGGGAGTTCAATGTAAAGACTGTTCTCATTAATAATTTAATAGTTTTTAATTAAACTCAGTGCTTTAAATTAAACACAAAACTACACTATGGACCAAATGGCGAATTTGTATTGTATATTTCCTTGCAATCCCCTTTGAATATTTAAGTTTAAATTTAAAATGTGAAGTTGTGTATTGTACTTGTGGAACTAACTTTTTTTTAACCTCAATTTTAGGCTTTTGAGGATATTAATATTGAGAAGCATAAAACTATGAAGACTGTGTTGGAGTATGCTGACAAAGTTTTTACCTACGTCTTTATAGCAGAAATGCTTTTGAAATGGGTCGCCTATGGATTTGTCACATATTTCACGAATGCCTGGTGCTGGTTGGATTTCCTGATTGTGGATGTATGTACCCCTGTCTGTTCCACACTACTGTGCCAATAAAATAGTTTCATGCTGTAGTATAATGGTCAGCCTTTGCCAGAGACGACCACAAAACACGATTGATTCTTCCACTTTTATTCCATTCATAGATAACTTTTCATTCACAGAAGCTGTAGTATGGCTTCTATGAATGGTGGAGAGGTGTAAAGGGTGAATATATTCAGCATTCTTGATGAGCACTTACTGCATGACAGGTCCCTCAGTTCTAATAAACCCCCACTGCACTACAGCAGCTGGGGGAGGGGGGATTGGAGGAGGAAGATTTTAACTAAAGCAGCAACCAGCTGGTTTCAATCAGCAACACAAGGGACATACCACATTGATAGTAATGTCCCTTGTGCTGATTTTTTAAATATTTTAGATGACACTTAGTCTTAAATGATTCATAGGAGCAGCCTCCCAAACCCTCCCATCACGTCGAAAACCAAGGCTGTACTGACAGGCAGGACTTTGGCACTTAACGGATAAATTCACCTTTCCTAATATGTTGCATCCATATTTAGGTTGTAACATGTACAGTAATATGTTGAGCATCCACCACTTCACCTCCCGAGCAGCCCCCTTTATGTGACAGTGGGCAGGGGACCTTCTCCCCGCACCTGCTATCGCAATTTGAAAACAACATGGCTGTGTGGGACTCCACCCATGTGGCTGTGTCATTCATTTACAGAGTTCTCTGAGTGAATGGGCTACAAGAACCATCTTTATTGCGGTTGATGGGTTGTAGCTCTCAATGAACTGTGAGGGTGCTAGTGAGGGCACTAATAGTCCATTGAACTTCCTAGACTTCAGGAACTCCCTATCCATATCGGAGGTACGAGCAGAGTGTACTGAGAATCTGCAAGAGCCTGACATTGCAATGATTTACAGGCTTCCAAGAAAAATAATAATAAATGCACATTTTTTTTACCTGCAATAAAATGTTCATTTATTTTTTTTAAAGGTGAACTAACCCTTTAACTGATCACACTGAAGCTCATCTGACCCTTCATGACCCCCGTACACTCCTATTGGTATTGGCACAATATAGTGATAGGTTATTAGGAATGTGAGAGGGCAGAGGCTAGCAATAAGTTTTGACATTACCAGGGGCGGACTGACAACTCATGGGGCCCCCGGGCAATAGGGGATCATGGGGCCCCTGTGTCCATGCCCAAACTCAAAAAGCCTATGATAAAGGTACCAGGGGCATCTCATGGGGCCCCCTACTGACCCCGGGCCCTCGGGCAGTGCCCGAGTTTCCAAATGGTCAGTCCGCCCCTGGACATTACTCACCTGACACTATCAGGTCTTTACCTGTCAAAAGCAGCCATGACGGTTGCGTTTTAGAGGCTGCTGTAGATATTGTATGTTCAGACATCTCTAGGTGCCTGCATTTTGTATCTGAATTTTATTTTAAATGTTTTTTTTTTTTAATTAAAGCAGTATTTAGGACACAGTAGTACTGTTTAAATTGCAAGAAGTAGAACAAGTGCTCCATTTTCTTATTATATCTTTATAGATAATAAATTATATATTACTATGCATTAGGTTTGTAGTAGTTCAGAAAACCTTTAGTCAAAATTGTCTTTTTTTTTTTAAGATATCTTTGGTGAGCCTTATAGCCAATGCCTTGGGGTACTCAGAATTAGGAGCTATAAAGTCACTTAGAACACTGCGGGCACTGAGACCCCTGAGGGCCCTGTCACGGTTTGAAGGCATGAGGGTAAGTGTAAATGTAAAAACTGCATACTGAATTACTTTCAGTGTCTTTTTAATGTATTTATAAATAATGCATTAAAGTGGAAAGTATAACTAAAGGCAAATCTGTTTTTGTTAGTTTTGGGTAGAGTGTAGAGAGATTAGAACTCCTGTCTGGTCTTTATTGCTGTTTTCGCCCCCTATCTTCTTCTCTGTTTGTCCTGTTCACTGTTATCACCAAATGTGAAAATGAAAGAAAATTTGTCATCAGAGTGTCCCTGTCACCAGAACAATTACCAGAAAGGGAATAGAGGGAAAATCTTCCATTGTGGACACTAATTCTGATGACAGGAACAGAAACTTATGGGACAAGAAGTAAAAGGAAATCTCCAGATGGAAAAGAAAAACTGACAGGGATTATAGCCCTTCCTTACTCTTAATCTAAAATGTAAAAAGTTTTGACTTCTTCATTTCCATTTGCAGTTTAGTTTTTTTTGGTGTGTGTATGTGTGTGCTAGCATTAAACCCATTAGGGTACCTGCTTCTTGAAAAGTATCCCCTGCTGTGTCTCTTGCATAGCTACTGAAAAATGCCCTGAGCAGCTGTCTTCTGGCACTACGTAGATCCACAGCAGTCACTGCTGCTGATAAAAGTTGCTCTCTCTGCTATTCATATTGCTCATACACTATTCTCCCACAATGCATTGCATTCTGTGAATGGTAGAGGAGTGGAATGACAGGATCTCCACCGCCCATTCACATGGTGATGGATTAAAGGAGCCTACAGTAGTCATATGAGCAATATGAATGGCAGAGAGGACAGAAGGGAACCTTATTTCAGCAACAATGGCAGCTGTTAACTCTCACAGTCCAGGGATACAGTCTCTCAGAGAAATATCCTGTGAAGGAGGCACAGCAGGGAAGATTTTCGCTAGAAGCAGCCAACTGGATACACACCATCACACATAACCAGCTATATAACTACAAACATATTCCATTCCATAATCAGAGCATCCTCCAAAGCATTGTTAAATCCATTATTAAATTCAGCGTTGCCACGTGCTTTACAAGAGAAAGCGCTTCACCCAATCAGAAATTGTACAGCCAAACAGGGGGAGACCACCAGGAGGTGACTTAACTATATGCCCAAACCTAGGTCCTTCCCATTAGTTGGAGAGTCACACTCACATCTCTGGCCATGGTGACTCTGTTCTGCTAGTCCCAGCCACTCATAGAAACATTATGAGCTGACCAGTGAGAGGAAGGGGTCTGTGCAAGTGTGATTGATGGTGCTCCCAAGCAATCAAAGTATGTGGATCCCCTCCACCTGCAGCTTGATAAACAAAAGACCAGCTCAAGCGGATAGCGAGGTAGGCTGTCACTGGAGGGATGCGAAGAAATGTATAATCTATAAATTCAATGCTCTGCACTTTGTAGGACCTGCTTCAGAGTCAAACCTGAGTGCCCCTTCTAATCCAGGGCCCAGTATAGGACACCTGGCTGTGCCCTCCTATCAGCAGCCCTGACCACCACACATGTATGGTGTGAACAGTTCTCATGGAAAACTATTTTTTATTTTTTCCCCTTGCCTTGTGCCTGTTCAACACAGCTCAACGCACCTGGTGTGAAGCCTTTAAAGAGGAACTATACTCACCTCCACCACACTGATGTGGTCCTTCACTGGCTGCTGAATCTTCTGTGGAGCTTCTTCCAGTTTCCAATCTTTAGCTGTTTTTGATTAGCCAGGCTGAGTTGATGTCACTCCCACTCTCACGTGAGTTTATTCATCTCAGCAGATGCCAAAATTGTACACTGAGCTATATGTCTCTGCTGGGTTAAAAAAACTGCCTGTTTGTAAGCTTTTATTTTTAGAATAAAGTTCCACTTGAAGATGCTATTAGACATAAATAAAACCAAGAAGTCAATGGTAATGATTGTAGGTACAGTTAGAATGTAAAAACTGGGTAGTGGAAAACTACAAGAATCTCACAGTCCAGTTCTTCCAGTTCTTACTAGACTGATCTTGATTTAGAATTGGTAAATATGGCACCAGGTTTTTTTTGAAGACCAGGAACAGCTACAATAGAGAGCTTAGAATAGTGAAGCACTGAAATAAATACCCTATGTACACATATTAAGGTACCATCAAAACCTATAATAATTATAAAATACCATCTAAAAAAGCTTTAGTCTATCAGTGAAATATCATAAATAATAAAAAAGTGACATATATAACTCATAATAATATAAATCCGTGATTAAAAATTAATATGTGACAAAATTAATATTCCCTTAATTATTTTATCCTTCAGATTAATCAGTGATATGTAATCAAAATCAGTGATTATGATATTCAATAATACAAAAATATATATATATATATATATCCGTGATAAATAGTGACAAACCTATATAATTATAATTAATAAAAACGGTGATTATTAATCAAAATAAGTGATTATTAATTTCTGTGACGAACCATATATCAAAATATTCCATAAAAAAATTAATTATATATTAAATCCACTGCTTCTTGTGATATATACATAAAAAAAACGACACTGTGCCTAAAATAAGCAAAAAAAAGTCCATGCAATAATGTGAAAAAAACACTCAGTGATCTTCACTTCTAGTGCTCAAAAGGAATCCTCCAATGGCAGCAATGCCTGCTCACCTCCCCACCTTGACCCACACAGGGCCACAAGGCTATAGCTCTCCTCAAAGGCAATCCTTTAATCCAGGCAGCTCAGCAAGGGATCACAGGACTTCCACTCCACCTCCTCTCAAACGTCATATAGGACACAAACAGAACTTCCCATAGTGTAATACTGTTTAATTGGACACTTAGTACAACATATTGTTTCCACTCACATTTGTTTCCTGTTACAAAACGCTTTCCACCTCATTCCATGTGTGTATTCACATGCAGGAAGGGAAACCAATATGGCGCTGCGTCCGGACATGCGTCCCCACATGACCGGAAGGGACGTATCTCTAAACTGGGACTGGCGTTCCGACGTGTTGCGTCACGTGCGTCGTGACTTCATCATGGTCCTGTGGAGTGGAAGTCCTGTGATCCCTTGCTGAGCTGCCTGGATTAAAGGATTGCCTTTGAGGAGAGCTATAGCCTTGTGGCCCTGTGTGGGTCAAGGTGGGGAGGTGAGCAGGCATTGCTGCCATTGGAGGATTCCTTTTGAGCACTAGAAGTGAAGATCACTGAGTGTTTTTTCACATTATTGCATGGACTTTTTTTGCTTATTTTAGGCACAGTGTCATTTTTTTATGTATATATCACAAGAAGCAGTGGATTTAATATATAATTAATTTTTTTATGGAATATTTTGATATATGGTTCGTCACAGAAATTAATAATCACTTATTTTGATTAATAATCACCGTTTTTATTAATTATAATTATATAGGTTTGTCACTATTTATCACGGATATATATATATTTTTTTTGTATTATTGAATATCATAATCACTGATTTTGATTACATATCACTGATTAATCTGAAGGATGAAATAATTAAGGGAATATTAATTGTGTCACATATTAATTTTTAATCACGGATTTATATTATTATGAGTTATATATGTCACTTTTTTATTATAATTATTATTTATGATATTTCACTGATAGACTAAAGCTTTTTTAGATGGTATTTTATAATTATTATAGGTTTTGATGGTACCTTAATATGTGTACATAGGGTATTTATTTCAGCGCTTCACTATTCTAAGGTGTGGTACTATATGACTTAATGGTTAAGGCAGAGTGATAGCAGCTGTTAGTATAGGGATTTTATTTATTAAGCACAGGAGGATATTCCCATTTTTTTTTACAATAGAGATCTATCTTCTAAATACATCGGCTGGGGTTAATGCATACTAGAAAAATGTGTTAATCATGCATTGAACCCAAGAATTACATTTGAAAATAAAGTAACACAAATTTAAAATTCATGTTTTTTTTTTGTTCAGTGTGTTTGGCATCATGCCTCATTGCACATAGTTTTCTTAACCCCTTCAAGCCCTAGGGTCTGCATGGCCGGGAGATGGGAAGTATTGGTGATCATGTGACCACTGTAGTTGGCTGTCATAAGATCAGGAGTCGGTCCCACCAGCTACCATTATTTAGAAGGGACTGAGAGCAGCATTGCACAGCTCAGTCTCTGCACTGGGAGCATGTAGTGAGCACGTTCTCAGCACGGGAACATCGGCCACCCATTGACTCATATGTGCTGTGTCTGCGTGTTAAAACCCACCATTTTGCAACTGCATATATGTATTATGCGAGTGGAAACAGGATAGGCAAATCAATTTTATGTTAAGCTATTTACAAGTTACTTACCTGGAGATGCTGCCATTGAGCGCACTTAAGAGAGGTAGACATTGCTAAGCTGCTGCCTTGTAATTAGTGGCAGTGCTGTCAGTCTGCCCTGTGTGCTCATTCAGTTGGCTATGGGGCTGCTCTTTAGGTTTCCGCACACTTACTACAGACCTGATAGGTATCCCAAGCCAACTGAAGGCATACCCTTGGCAGGCTGACTTATTATTTTGAGGCAGTGGCTTAGCGTTGTCAGCCTGGAACAGGAAGTTTGGCTACTGGCAGAATCTCCAGGTAAGAAACTCTGGAACAGATTCACCAAAAAAATATTTCTTTAACCCTTTTACGCAAGTGGGAGCCAGAGCTTCAAAGAATCTGTTACGCCCAAGGCCAGCAGGAGGGGCAGCACTGCGATTGGCTGTACAATGCTGATGTCATTAGGAGTCTGTATTTTGTCAGTGACAGCTCAGTCACAGTTCATGGGGAGCCAACGGAGCGTGCCCCAGAACAGAACAGTTTCATATATGTGATGGCTGGACCACTAGCTCATCTGCCCTACCACTGAATTAATGCATATCACTGTCATAAAGGGGTTAAGAATATTGTATACATTGAGGAATATTGCCAAACATACAAAAAAAACAGTATTAAAAAATAGATTTAGGTTTTATATTCACTATTTCAAAAGTCATTATCAACATTTTTAAATCTGCAGCTCTCCTTAAAATAATGCCTGGTGAAGATCCCTGTTCAGGCCTTCCTGTTATTGGGTGACAATGCATTGTCCCTGTCTCCTGGCTCCCAATTTTTTTACCTCTGTTACTGTCAATGACAGTGGTCACATGATGGCTGATCCTTCCCACCCCCTGGGCAGGAAGTAGTGAACATGTACATGCATTTATATGTGTTTATGTGTGTTGAGACATGATCAGAGTATCTCATCTGCACCTAGATGAAGAGGTTTCTATTTTTATAAACACAGCTAAACTGAATGCACCTGAACAGTGTGAATTGTACCATTAAAAATCATTGCATTCATTTATATGTCTTTAGAAATGTCCTATAAAAGCATATAAATACATATAATTTCATGCCTGTGTAAATGAGGCCTTAGGCTTTACATGCTTTACATTCAATGTATAAGGAAGCATATCCTGGCATCCCTAACCTGACTTTTTGAAAACGCTTGTTTCCTGGCTGTTATAACAATCCAGTGGTTTCAGGGCTTGCTAACCCCCTGATCATGAACAAGTATGCAAATCTGGACTTATGAGTGTATTCTAACGTCACAGGTTGCATGCTAGTTCTGTGTTGGTTAATAAGGCTTATTCACAGCCCGCACGGCAGTCAGACTGGGACCAGTATCTGTGTCTGTGCAGCTGCTTCATCCCAACAGATATGAATGGAACTGCATGTAAGTAGATGCACAGAATACCTGTGCAACCCATGTGGGCAAAGGTGGTTCTTCACACAGATGTATGGATAGGTATGCCTGTGTGAATGAGGCATAAAAGTTCTGATACTAGAGGCAGGCAGGAAACTATCATTCTCAAAAGGGCTGGTCACATTTTTCTATTATGACATTTGCCGTTTTAAAAATGTACAATTCATAATATAAATAAGAGACCTCCCACTAGGGGACAACATTAATGCAACATTAAACCTTTGTTTTTTTATTTTTTACTAAAATAACAAACATGGTATTCTTATCTGCTCTGTGCAATATTGCACAGAGCAGCCCAGATCCTCCTATTCTAGGGTCCTCTGGCGGTGCTACAGGCTCCTCCTCTTTGGTAGGTGCCCACATGGAAAGTCGCTTTCCAAGGGGGCACCCATGCGGGGTCACTCCCGAGGTGCCCTGTCTGCATCTATTGACACAGAACGGGGAGGCTGGGCTCCGCCCCCCCCAACTGGCTCAACACAGCATTTGATTGACAGCAGCAGAAGCCAATGGCTCCTGCTGCTATCAATCTGCCCTGGGAGGAGGGAGACAATGGTGGGAGCCGCTGTTCTTGTGCACATCACTGGATCAGATCCGGCTCAGGTAAGCACAAGGGGGGACTGGGGGGATCCTGCATCACAGAAGGTTTTTCACCTTAATACATAGAATGCATTAAGGTGAAAAACCTTAAGGGTTTAGAACCACTTTAACTAAACGACCAGCTCTGAGGAAAGGGACTCGTCCCCGAAACGCGTCAACAAGCCGACCATACTGGCAGTCGGACACCCAGCCACTGTTATGGCCATCTCTACCATTCTACCAAGCTTTACATTTATGCCATGTTTGTGAGTATGTTTTCATCCTCTTAACCTTTAATAAACCTTGGATAATGCACTAGGGGTTTGCGGCTCCTGTTTGCTCTTTTTTCAGTTGTTGATTTCCCTATCTGAGGAGGGCAGCATCTCTGAAAGGCTATCCATAGGCAATTTTGGTCCTGGTTCCCCTGGATTTCCTTTGACATTTGATCCCTGGAGCACTGGAGAGTTTATTCTGTTAACATTATATTTTCTAAATCAGGAGTCCCCAAACCTTTTAAGCAAAGTGCCATTTCCCTGTTCTTCAGGGGACTCTAGGGGTACATACTTTGTGGGACTCTAGGGGGGACATACTTTGTTGGAGTAAACAATGTTTCAGGTTCTGCGATAAAGTGGTAGTAAAAAATGCCAGAGAGTTGGTGGTTTTTGGGAATAGAGGAATGACCCAACACTTGTAGTCAGAGGAGGAATAATGCTTCACCATTGGTGCCAGTGAAAAAAATAGTGCCCCATCATTGATGCCAATGAAAGGAATAGTGCCCAATCATTGGTGCCAATGAAAGGAATAGTGCCCAATCATTGGTGCCAATGAAAGGAATAGTGCCCAATCATTGGTGCCAGTGGAAGGAATAAGTGCCCTGCTGGTTACATATAGGCAGGCTGAGGGCCACAGTTTGGGGACCACTGTATAGATAACATTTTAGATAGTTAACTAAAGTTTGTCAGTCCACTCATTTCCAAGCTGAATGGCAGAAAAATATAAAAACACCGTATTAAATCCTAAAAGGAGTACCCTCCTAAAAATAGAGGACTTTTAGGGCACTGTGCTAAAGAACAAAGCATAAATTGGATATAAAATTACATTTATTAAAGTCCATTAAGATGGTGGACCATGTGTCCCACCAATTAGTAGACAAGTATATTAAAACATAACCAACAAGTCACATAGTAAGATTTGTCTATTCCATATCCTGCTAGTAACTTAAAAGTCCTCTATTTTTTGGAGGGTAGTCCTTTTAGGATTTAATATTGTGGTTTGGGATGTGGCACTTTATGGATGATGTGTGCGTTCACTCCGAGTGGTGGGTTATGTTTTTCCGAAAATCTAAAAACACTAGTAAATGCACTAATGTCATTTTGCCATTGAAGGACGAAGTGACTGTCTCTGCAAACGGCATCCCCTGCCCCCCATATACTTACCCTACCAGTGCTCCTACATCGCTCCTTCCTCTAGTGTTGCATGGGAAAATATTTTTTCGCAAATATTACAAAAGATACAAAAATTTGCATGTTTTTTCTAATGAATTGGCCATCCTTCAGTTCCTGCATTCTCCTCCAAATGCCCTGTCCAGTTGAGTACAGGAGTGTACCCTTATTTTAAAAAATATAGTATACGGTTGTGATAAAGAGCAGCTTTGGAAAGTTTACTTTGGAAAGTCTTTTTTCTCTGAACCTTTATTGTCATGTTTTATACATTAATTTTTTATAACCATTTCTTGACCTTTCAGGTGGTTGTGAATGCTTTAATTGGTGCCATACCTTCCATCATGAATGTGCTTCTGGTCTGCCTTATATTTTGGCTGATATTTAGCATAATGGGAGTGAACCTGTTTGCCGGCAAATTTTATTACTGTGTTAATACTACATCCGGTGTCATGTTCCCTACAACAGAAGTTGACAACAGCACTGAATGCGCTCAACTCAGTAACACCACTAAAAATGCTCGCTGGAGGAATGTTAAAGTGAACTTTGATAATGTTGGAGCAGGATATCTTGCTCTACTTCAAGTGGTAGGTAACATGATACTTTTTTTTTTTTTTTAAAACTGAATGTGAACCCTAACAATTAATTTTTCTTATTTTCTGTTTGGGAAATTAATTATTCCATTGAAAGTATTTTGTGACATCTAGCTGGTCGAAATGAGCAAATACATTCCAAAGACAAACAAACGAAACCAGCGCTCAAATTTTCATGCAGACTAAAAGGAATTCAGAATGCCAAACGAGGAGGTGCAGCCCTTCAAAGATCGGGAAATCTGGATACTGATAGACAAAAGCAAACAAGGGCGCACTCTCATCGTGCATTACCGTGGTACACCATGTATTTATTGTGTAGACAAATAGATGTATACTCACTAACCAAAGGAAAATAGAAAGCAGAATATGTAGTCCGCAATGGCAGTCAACACAATGCTGTGCCCTTAATAGGGATAATCTGAGGAAGGGGGTTCATCTCCCAAAACGCATCAGATTATCCCTATTAAGGGCACAGCATTGTGTTGACTGCCATTGCGGACTGCATATTCTGCTTTCTATTTTCCTTTGGCTTGTGAGTATACATCTATTTGTCTACACAATAAATACATGGTGTACCACGGTAATGCACGATGAGAGTGCGCCCTTGTTTGCTTTTGTCTATAAGCAAATACATACCTGTTGATCCTGCCAGAATTTCAGTGAGTGTATACCTTCATGTGTAAACTTCCTTAGCTGCACTGAAATAACAAAAAGTGTTATCAGCTCTGGCTATTTTTCTTCTGTGATCTACAGAAGGGGAGATGTTTTGTGGTTTAAATTTAAATCTGGATCAAGCAGCTTAGCGTGAAAACACTGCTCCTCCAAACATTCAGTGAGTGAGTGAGTGTTGTCACCCTAGAACAGGAAGTGTGTTACTGTGAGAACCACTAGATAAAAAAATTAAAAAAGAAAACTAATTCAGACACCATACCTAAAGGACCAGTAAACTGCAAGCAATCTGTGTTCACTGCATTTGTCCCACGGTGTATACTGTCCTAAATGTTAGTGCCACTCAGTGTACCATTCAGCTCCTTCTAGCCGCAGCAGCATTCAGGCTCTCACCAAGTTTTACAGGCTGTTGGCCATAGGGCTGGACCTGTGCCTGTTGGCAGTAAGGCTTGCACCTGTGCCTTCTGTTAGCAAAAAATGCTGCAGAATCTCAGGCTTGCGCCTGTGCCTTCTGTTAGCAATAAATGCTGCAGAATCTCATACACAGGAGCTATACGCCCAGTGTGCATGAGGCCTGAAGAGTAAATTAAAACTATAGGGTTTGTAACATGGCAGGTGGCCGTGGGTAAAGCTTCTGCTTTCCCTTATTTACCAGCTAAACACTCAGAAAATACAGAAATAAAGAAGACTCTTTTTTCTTTCACATTCTCTTTTATTTAGTTGACTGAGTCTCTAGTAGACTTAAAAAACAGAAAATTTAAAATCTACTCGGTTGCTTAAAAAAATTTGCATTTCGATTGTATATCCCATAAACACTCCAGACTGTTCATTTATTTTATTTTTACACCTTTAGGCTAATTGCTCTTAAAAGGAAATTTGCAGAGTCCAATAGTACTGGCCTGGCTACAGTTAATCACTCAAAGTCTCCCTTTATATCACCTTTGTACAAAGCTTTGTCAAAGTCTAAATAGCTTTGGGTCCGTTGGGCCGATTCTTCGCTTATGGTTCACTGTGAATTATCTAATTCGGTAATATAAATTACTACATAAGCAGATGCTGTACAACATTTTGTGTATATATAAAACAATGCTGATGTGTAGAAGAGAATTCAAACATGGTTTTTATAATCTGTTACTGGTATGTTAAAACTTTCTTGTATGGCTGTTGTTGAATGTTGTCTAAATATTAAACAACATACAACAGTATTAAAATATTTGCTCCAAACCTTCATTAGGAGACACGACAGGCCTTGGGGTGTAAAGAAATTCAAGCAAGGGGCATGCTCTCCATTTTACCTCCACCATACCTATCTGCACTGGAAATAAGAGCCCAGTTTTAGCTTAGTCAGATTTGATGCCTCCATTTTGAGCCTTTGCCTCTTCTAGACTTGAAAGAAAGTCACACTTGATTACCAAACCCAGAAGTTTACTGTCAGAAATGCTCCTTGCTGGGCACTTCATGAAGACCCTTCTGCTGCTCATTCCACCAGTGCAGTGAGTACATTTTTTTTGTTACCAGGCTTTTCATTCGCAGATGTGCAAAAGGAATACCCAGTCCTTTATGGATAAGATTGAGGAACTAGTGCAGTTGTACAAGTGCATACATCTCTTCTCAAAATGTTCCATAGGGGACATAACATATCTCTGGGAATGTTAAAATGCAGCCCCCTCCTCCCAAAAAAAAACACAGAAGTTCTGGACTGAATGACCTAATGGCCTGATTGAACTAGAACCCCTTACAACCAAAATTGGCAAAGGCCAACAGCATTAGAACATTATACATAAGGCCCTTGGGATGAATCCGGCCCAATAGGCCATTCCATGTAGCCCTTGCACCTCTCCTGTAGCTGCGGCACCCCCTTTGTCTTCTTCTACACCTTGTCTCAGTAGTCGGCAGCAGAGAGGAGGACAGAACTTCTCTGCCTAATCCTGTGCTTCTGCGTGCAACCGTGGAGAGGCTTATCTCTGCCCCCCATCTCAGCAGTGAGCAGTAGAGAGGAGGACAGAACTCCTCCTACAGATCCTGCACCTCTCTGTGCAGCCACAGCACCCTGTCATCTCTGCCACCCCTGGTCTCAGTATTTAGCAGACTCCAGCAGCTGACTCCAGCCCTTTTCTGGTCCTCCTTCAGACTCTGTGCTGTCTGCCTCCCAGCCCCACCCCAGCTTCTTCCTGGCAGCAGCACAAGGTAAGGGGGTGCACTGTGATGTAGAGGAGGGTGGGAGACTCTTGACTTCTGCTGGTGGGGGGCTCCTGACATCTGATGTATGGGGGGGGGGGGTGGAGTGCTCTGGACATCTAATTTTACAAAGACAACCAGTCCTTTCAGAGTAACCGTAATGCTGATTGGCCTGCAATTAAATTGAGTTTGACACCCCTGCATTGGAACAATATGATAAACCTTGTAAAAGCACAATGTCACTTTTAATGAACTTGTACTGTATGTAATTGTCTACCCCTCCTTCATTCAGTACAACCTGCCTTCCAAGGGGAAGAGCCATACCCATCTGCTTTTACTAGTGAACATCCCTTAAGGAGCCAGGCTTATATATATATACATACATCTACTCTGAATTCCAAAGAATTATTTAAGAAAGGGATTTTACAGGGAAAACATTATCCTTTTTGAATACCTAATAAGTACCTTTAAGAAAATAAACAGATTTATGGGTTTAATAGGACAGTTAGAAGCTTCAGCATTAGGTAAGAAGGGTCTCCATTATAATTTATTGGAATACCCAGTAGATTTATGGATACCTCAGTTGATATATGTTTAATTACAAAATACTTTTCATCTATTTATTTCCATAGAGTATAAAACATGATTGGTATACCAGCTATACCCTTTAGAAAACTTACCCAGAATTCTTTAATATTACATATTGTGGTAAGGATGCACTAGAGGCCAATTCCAGGAACTAAACCCCACAGACTACCTAGCTGTTGCTTGAATTAATCTAATTCTCAGGTATCAGCTGATGAGAGTTTAGCATACTGTGTACTGTAAATGACAGAAACCTGTAAATGTATTGTTGTCATGGGGTGTGCGATAATTACTAGTAAACCAAGTTGCAAGGGTTTACCTTAGAAAAAATGTATATACAGTATAGAAAATTAAATCTACTTACAATAAATATAAATACTTTTTGGAGTCCCTTAAACCTAAACAAGACTTTAACCCCTGCAGTATGGGGGTAGCCCCACTGAAAGGGAATATTGTACCTTTCTGTGGAGTTCAGCTTTCATCTGATTATCAAAAAAATTGCTACTAATGGACGGCACCATAGGACATGTATATGGCACTACCCCAAAAAAACAACAAACCCACAGGGGGGGAAGCATCTGCCTACTCTCTGGAAACCCAAAGCAATGCAATCAAAAATTATTTAAAGCAGCGCTCCCCAACACCCTATTTATATGCTTATATCATAGATATAGACTGTATTGAAACGCAAAAAGTGCTAAACAAACAAAGTGCTAAACAAACAAAGTGCTATGTGCAAAGACAAAACCCTGTTAAGTGTTGTATATATCCAACCAATATTACCATATTCTAATATATCTAACAATTATTGAGCACATCCTATCTTGCAACATGAACATAAATGTACTAATTAATACAAGAAATATATATAACAATGACTATATGTGCAAAAGACAACAAATATATATAACAATAATTATATGTGCACCAAACCATTATATCTATATCTTAATAGTCTATAATGTCACATGATAAAAGAAAAAAAGTCCTTCAATTCATATATATATTTGATTCTTGTGTATCCTGAAACACTACCACGTTGTGCTTATCCACCACTAATTATTATTATTGTTATTATTATACAGGATTTATATAGTGCCAACAGTTTGCGCAGCGCTTTACAATATAAGGGAGACAGTACAATTACAATACATTTCAGTACAGGAGGAATGTGAGGGCCCTGCCCTGTGATACAAAAGGTGATAGCTGTGGGGGATGATCTGGTGGAGGTGATTCAAGTACAGTTCTTAGGTGGAGGTGGGGTAGGCTTCCCTGAAAAAGTGAGTTTTCAAAGATCAAGGAGGTATAGAGAGAGAAAAGGAAGGGCCCAAGAACAGAACCTTGGGGTACCCAACAGAAAGAGGAAGAGGAGCGGAGGAGGAGTTGTATCTGACACATAAAGTGCGCTGAGAAAGGTAAGAGGAGAACCAGGAGAGAGCAGTGTCACGGAGGCCGATGGAGTGGAGTTTACTGAGGAGGAGCGGGTGGTTGACTGTGTCAAAGGCAGCGGAAAGGTCAAGGAGTATGAGTATGGAGTAATGGCCGATGGTTTTAGCAGTTAGTAGGTCGTTAGTGAGTTTTAGTAGAGCAGTTTGTGCGGAATGTTGTGGGCGGAAGCCAGACTGTCGGGGATCAAGAAGGTTGTTGTCGGTGAGGTAGCAGTTCATACGGTTGTGAACAAGGTGCTCAAGAAGCTTGGAGGCAAATGGGAGCAGGGAGATGGGTCTTAAGTTATTCAAACAGGTGGGGTCCAGCGAGGGTTTTTTGAGAATGGGGGTAACCAGTGCATGTTTGAGTGGGGAGGGAAAGATGCCCATGGAGAGTAAGAGGTTGAAGATGTGGGTTAGAGAGTTTAGGATAGAGCAGGAAGAAGGCTGCAACAGTCGTGAGGGGACAGGATCCAAGGGACAGGTGGTGAAGCGGCCTTGGAAAGGAGTTCAATTGGATAATTGGATAAACTTACCAGAGCTCCGGTCAAATTATAAACCAGCTACTGTGCGGTTGCTCTGGGAGCAACGATCTGCAGAGATGTCAATGATTCCTACAACTTCTTAGCTGGACAATCCTCATTTATATACATGGAACCATATGGAAGGAAAGGAAGAGGGAACTCCAGAGCGTAACACCATTAACATGCTTTATTCTTTTTAAAAGATCCAAATCACACTCACATTGTACAGTGTCATCACCGACACTAGTATATTCAGCATATATAAACAGGTGAACTCCGGTCACTGCTAACGCCAACAACTCACTCAGACCACGTGGTCCTTTTGCTCCTGGAGGATGTTGGATGATAAAACGCATAGGGAGGGGCTTTCAGAGGTGATGTCACCGTGTGGTACGGGTGAGCTGTCGGCATTAGCAGTGACCGGAGTTCAAATCGTCTATATATGCTGATAATACTAGTGTCAGTGATGACACTGTACAATGTGAGTGTTATTTGGATCTTTTAAATAGAATAAAGCATTTCAATAAAGCTCATTGAACACAACTAAAAACAATTGTTATTAAAAAAAAAAAAAAATAAGGATCCTTATACCAGTGAGTTAGCATTGTAAATAGAACCTAATGTATGTATGGATTCTTTAGTATTTGCTGGTTTTAATTAAATCTACAATACTTTTTAACCTGTTTGCATCTGTTTTCTTAAAGGCTACATTTAAGGGATGGATGCCTATCATGTATGCAGCTGTTGATTCAAGAGGCGTGAGTATTAATTTTTGGCTATTCCTGCTACATTTTTGATGTGTGCTTAGACCTTCAGCAGCAGTATTCAATGGGTAAAATACCTGAGCAGCTTCCATACCATGACCATCATAGTTTAATATAGCTTTAGACTGAAGTACGTAGCCAAGCTATACAGAACTATATAACAGACTGAAAGCAGAATGTAGAAAAGGCAACACTTACCTTTGTCTGACCATCTTGCAATTCTCTTACTCTCATAAAAGTAGGGAAGGTTCCACTTTAAAGGGGTTTTTAGGCAAAATAAAATGTGACCAATACTTTCAAACCTACTTGGATAGTGACATCCTCCAATAACTATTCATCCAGCTTGAGAAATAAACAAACCAATAAACCTAAAGCAATTTAAAATGAACCATTTCTATCAACATCAATTATCTTGCCTGCAAATGGCCATATATTTGGCCAGAAAATGAAATTTTACCTTCAGCTGATTCATATGAATGTGTGCATGGCCCTATGTGTAATCTCTAACCGATATACTATTAGATTCACCTCTCCACTAGTGGATTAGTTTCTCACTCATGTTTCAGGTCAGTGTATATTCTGTCATTTTATACCAATGCATCCAATATCTGTTCTTATGCCATCCAACAGTTCATGGCTGTCTTTAAGCAGAGGAATCAACAGGAAATAAAGTACTAATCCAAGAGCACCTTGCCCAATAAACTTATGTTTAAATGGGAGAGTTACAGCTTTTGGGTGGTTAAAAAGACATACAGTACTTTTGCCATTATCACAGTAAGAAATGATAATACCATATAATCATACCATTTCTCCAGAATGATCTGTCACCTTCTGTTTTGGGTCTTAAAGCCATCCATAGATCTTGGCCTGGTTCAGCTGGGACATGCTAAGATTCACAATATGTATGGGCAGGCTGAATGTACCCACGTTGATCTATTGGTACAGCAAGCCTGTCAGATTTTACATGCGAATATTGCTAGTGCTATAGTAGTCACAACCCTTTGTTGCAGGAAAGAAATTTGCACTGTCTATGGCCAGCATAAGTCTTGATGGCATGTTCTTAATTTCTGTGACTGTATCCATCCACTTTGCTGCTTCTGATTTTCTTCCCTTTTTCCATCAACCTTTCCAAGCATAATTGTGTTTTAATTGGTGAACTGGTTCTTCTCATAGTATGTCTAAAAAGACAGCTTCAACTAGTCATCTAGGCTTCCGGTGAAATGTTTGGCTTGGTTTTGTTAAAGGAACCATTCGTTTGTTTTCCTTGCTGTCCATGGTATTGCTTAAATGCCATAATCTTGAGTCTTTGCCAGATATCTCTCCAAAGGCCCAAAGGGTATAAAACATATACATTTAAATGCTGGTGAGGTAAAAACACACTTATACAGTCTTGAAAATAAATAAATTAGGTGGGGGAGGGTGTGATACTGCCAGGAGACTTTAGGGTCAGCGGCTCCCACCCCATCTGAAGCAATACCCCTCAATCCTCACCACTTAGATAGGAATGGCCAATACATCACCCCCTCTCTCTACAACAGTTTTACAGGTTAAAGGTTAAACTTGCAATTATGCCATATTTCCATCAATCAGGGTTTCCATTCATTATAACCTAAGGGGCTTTTCATTCTTTGTGGATATCTGCAGAGGTAGCATGGCTACCACCTAAATTCTTGTATGATGTTCATTGTAAAACATGAACAGAATATAATACAATGTGTCCTCAGGGTCCCTAGACAGCTGAATATATCCAATGTTTAACAATTTTTGGTGTGTTTAGATAGGAATTAATATTATATGATACAAACCTGACTAAGGCTCTTCCTCTATTCTTAAATGTGAAGTCCTCCAGGAATCAATTAATTATGGAACCTAGAAGACAACTCAACATCTGTCTATCAGGTCTTAATGATTTATGAATTAATGATTCTTGGAGGAGTTCATATTTAAGAATGGAGGCAGAGTCTTAGTCGGGTTCTTATTGTACAGTATTAATAGTTGTAAAACATGCACAGTTGGTGCGATTTGAGAACAGGGACAGATTGAGAACAGGGAACCACTGTTTAATACTGATCTGTTGTTTTTCCTTTTACATAGCTAGATCAACAACCCAACTATGAAGACAATCTTTACATGTATATATACTTTGTAATATTTATTATATTTGGGGTCCTTTTTCACCTTGAACCTCTTTCATTGGTGTTATCATAGATAACTTCAATCAGCAGAAAAAAAAGATAAGTATCACATGTCAATTTCTATTGTTGACTGGTATGAAAGATGTACTGTCTATACTGTATGTATGCATATACCTTGATACAAGTTAGTCAGTTAAAGCCCAAATCCAGGCTAACAGGCAGTGTTTAAAAGCAGCTTAGACTGCAATATTCTTTTCAGTCCAGGGCTGTCCCCCACTGTACCACTTTCCGATTCAAGATGCCCCAGTTTTCCAGGTTAAATGACACCTAGTGTCACTCAGCCCATGATGGCGAGGACATGCTGTAAGCACAGGGTGTCAAAGGCCCATCCCTGAGGAGCATCACCATGTGCCCTTCATTTAGAGGATACTAATGCAGAAAACGGTGCTGATGTAATCTTGTCAGCTTTGCTCTTTCCATTAATGAGGACCTCCATGTCCAGAAAAAAAGGCAAAAAAGAAAAGGACCCTGCAACATTATGTGACCTGCCTGAAGACATATAAGAAGGGTAGAGTTGGGCTTTAAGCCATTATCTCCTCCAGTGCCAGTTTATTAAAGCTGTACACAGTGAAGATGTGTAGTGGGAAGTTTTCACCAATCATCTGCAGAGTAGTCTGTAATTTTCCTTACAGCTGTGTCTCTTGAGCTTTTGTGCAATGCGACTCTCTGGTTTATTATTCATTGGGGTCATACAACTACATCTATTACTGTCAGCAAAGATGAGCAAATTATTTTAAAAATCTAGCCGTCAGCCGCAGCCTGTACACTGTGCTACAGGAGAGCTGAAGATGTTAGCTTTACTTGAGGGAAACTTCAGATTGGTGTATTGTAGAACTCTTTACGCTAGCTATGCAAGCATTTCAATGCATTTTCTACTGAACCTATTTTAAGCAACTAGATCTCATTGAAGCTCATAAAAAAAAAAGATCTGCAGTTAACAAATGCGCTGTGTGAAGGTCTCAAGCATTCGCACAGCTGTCACAAATAATTCCTGTAATGTCTAATATGTTTGTTTCTTATGATCATCAGCTCCATCTAGTGGCCATTTATAAGCAGTGTTTTCCTGTTTGCAGTTTTTCAGGAAAATTCCACATTATGGCCACTAGATGGAGTGTGAGATTATAGGAAATACACATACTAGATGTAATACGGGGGCTATTCATGATGGCTGTGCTAATGCTTGAGACATTCGCACAGTAAATGTTTTACAAGTAGACTTCATGGTTTTTACCACCAGCTACATTTGGTTTATGCTATTCAGCCTTTTCAGCTGCAGATATTTTTCTGCAAAAAAAACAAAAAAAAACAAACACCGGGCATAATTTACTGAGGGTTGGTTCACACTACGTTCAAAATGCACCACCTTTGCAATCTGTTGTACGAGCCAAACCATTGTTAATGGTACCCCAAATGCAGATCGCAAATGCAGTGCATTTGCTGGCAACAGATCAAATGGTACTGCAGTTCATTTGGTGCAGCTTTTTTTTCAACAGTAGTGCATGCTCCCCTTTTTGTGCATTCTAGTGCAATTCTGCTACTCATTCAAATGAATGGGTTGCCAAATTGCACTGCAGGGGAATGCACAGGAATTACACATAAATTGTATAGGAACAAGGATCATGTTCCTGTGCAATTCTGGTATGAACAGGCCCAAAAGGAATGAAGCATATTCAACTAGTGTACTGAAGGAGTTGAAGCTGTGTTCACTTCAATCATCCAGTTATGTGCAAACTATTTTTATTTTAATTTCCCTTGCTCATGGTTGGATATTCAACATTAACATCTCTTGAAGAAAAAACACTAGTTATGTTGGGGTTAGATATGAAAATAATATTTAAGGAGTCTGTGTGTGATTACTTCTGTCTCTCAGCACATTATAGTTGAAAATATCTGAATCAGGAATAAAACATTAGGCCTTTCTAAACTTAGCACAGTTGATATATAGCAGAAAAGCTATCTGTCATCATAATATAATGGGTACTGATACAATGGGTTCATTTATTAAAGGAGTAGAGAAGGTTCACTTAGCTTAGTGAGTAAATATCCAATCAGGTATTGGGTAATTACAAGACAAATAAAAAACATACTTATACGTGTCAATCCAGGGAATATCCAGTTGCCTTTGGGGGATCAGGAAGGAATTTTTTTTTCCCTGCCGGAACAAATTGGACCATGTTCTATAGCAGGGCTGGATCTAGCCTATCTGATCAGGGGTGCAGTAAAAAAAGTCAGGGGGCATAATGTCAACAGTGTGCATGAGTCACTGACTGTCTGTCACAGATGCAGGGAACCAGTATTTCCTTCATCTGGTGTACTTCTGTACCATGAGTCACAACCCGAAAGTAATGTCTGACTGGTAGTATGTAGACAATGCAGTAGTGTACAGGGAACATTAGTATGGTTTGGGTTGTCATTAGATTAAGAATAAATATACAGACCCTGTGCTCCATTATATGAGGTGTCCCTATCAGAGTCCCCATTTATATCAGGGTTCCAATCAGAGTGCCCCTTTTCATCAAATATCCCCATCAGAGTGCTCCCTTATATCAACTATCCTCATGAAAGTGTTTCCTTACATCAAATGTTCCTATCAATGCCCCCTTACATCAATTGTCCCATCAAATTGGCTCATGGATCAGTGGATGCACTCTCAGAGACCTGGGGGGGCACAACAAAAATCTGGGGGGCACAGACCACCCCAGCATCTCCCTAGACCCAGACCTAATTTATAGAGGGGGTTGCCTTCCTTTGGGTCACCGGTGGGTAAATAGTTCTGAATATGGACGTTTTCTATTTATTAAATCTACCTCTTGGTTAAATTTTGTGTCTTTTTTCAATCTATGTAAAAAACATTATTTTTTTGCACGATTGAATGATTGAAGTAAACACAGTTTTACCTTATTCACTAAGCTAAGTGAATATTCAGTTTTCTAAGTGAACAGTCTCTTTTCCTTTATTAAATCAAACCCAAAATGTTCAGTGTTACGTGACAAGAAAAGGAAGAAGTTTTTAATCCCTTGCTTTTGCTGATTTAAAAAAAATCCTCATTTCAAAACATTTCGCTGCTTTTCATTTCGACCAAAGTCCTTTTTTTTTTAACTCCGCACATAATTCAGGGAGGTAGATTGGACTTTCTTCAAAAATGTATTTTTAAACTACTCTGTCTGTACGCTTTTCTGCATTATGATTTATTTCCATTGCATATTGCACTTAGGAGGACAAGATATCTTCATGACAGAAGAACAGAAGAAGTATTACAATGCAATGAAGAAACTTGGGTCCAAAAAGCCTCAAAAGTCAATCCCACGACCTAAGGTAGTCTTATTAACTTCATCGATGTTACAATCCCCAAATCTCTCAATGATGCTCAGCCGTGATACAGGTTTAATATCCTGCTAAGTTTATGTTCTGGGTTTGAATTTGAAAGAGCCGCAAGCTTTCAAGGGAAATACGGTGTACTTATGAGGACGATTAATTTTGATTTTCTTTCTGCAAATGGAGCAGTAACATTTTGTCTGGAGGGACACCAGAGATTCCTCATTTCATACAATAGCATTAATTTTCTGGCTTTTCATGAATCAGATATGGGCCTATGAAAATATATACATCAATATGACACGATTGGGTTCAGAAGAACTCCAGCATCATTGTAAATTACTTCTGTTACACCAAAGCAGCAAAATGTGTATAGGGTATGACGTATAGTGTGGCATAAATATTATATTAATTGCTTTTAGTAAAGTATAGCCGAAGGCAAAACTTTTTTATAGCTGTGAACAGAGTGGGATTAGAACACCCATCAGGATTTTATTGCTGTTCGTGCCCCATTAGGGAGATTCACTCTCTCTTTTTGTCCCATTCACTGTTCTCACCAAGAGTGAAAGTGAAAGAAAATCCTAAATTTTGTGCTGTCACTAGAAGAGGGATAGAAGGGAATCTTCCAATGGGGATGTAGAGCTACCCTCTTGAGGGCCGCTGTGTTGTGGGTACCCCCAAGCTTCTCTCTACACAGCCAGGCAATAGGTATTTCTCACACAGACTTGCATCCAAGAGACAGTATCCAGTCCATGGGCTTAGTTTTGTTGTTTTATTAAGAAGAATCAACTTGGATAGGGAAATAGGGATTATGGGATGCTCAGTTGGCTTGGATCAATGAAAGGGGGTGAGTTCCTTCCTATATACAAAGGCAGATCCTGGACTGTTCTTTTCTTGAAAGCCGTCAGTCGTTACAGATCAGTAACAGCTCTTGGGCAAAGAACTAATAGCCCCTCAAAATCAGCTTAACTTCTCATAACTATACACAAGGTGTCTTCACTCCCCCCTGTAGAGCTGTTCCCAGCTCCACGGCCTGCAAACAATACCAGCTCTCCTGGCTTCTCAGAAGATTTCCCAGGACAAGGATAAAGGATTGAGCCCAGCGCTGTCCTTAGAAAGCTTGCTATGTGTGGCAGTCTTACCCCTTGTAGATCCCAGAGAGTGCTGCTGTACTCACTCTGTCCTCCTTGCTCCCTGCTGCTTCAGGTCTGGATCCCATTCACACCACACTGCTGAATGTATCCTCCTGAGCCAGCCCGAACCCAGCCCAGAGACCACCCCCCTAGACCTAGGAGGCCCCTCCCAGGCACCAACAGTGTCTTCAGCACTCCATCATCCACCCGACTCCTCTGTCAGCCTGACTCTCCGATATTTATGGACTAGCCCACCACTCTACCAGGACCTCCAAACCTGGGATTGGCCGGACTCCCATAAACATGCAGATTAGGTCTCCACCCCTTCCTACTTATGGATTTCTGGAAAGTTCTATGGTCCTCCAGTGTCAGGAGAAGGTGATAGAGCCACATCCAGCTGACCTGCAATAACCTGACCTCAATCATATACTCACACAATTGCCATGCGTCATACACAATGATTTTACCTACAATACACTACACTATTCTAGCAGCATACTAGAGTACTACAGGTACACTAGTTCTGTGACCCTGGTGACACCCAGGGATTTTCTCACTTTGGAGAGATTTCCTCTCACTTCCTGTTTTGGCTATGGAACAGAACATGAAGGTAAATCTCCCCAGTTGAACACAGATGGTGAAAACATTGACAGGGATTTTAACCCTCTCTATCTAAAATGAAAGAAAAAAAAGTTTAGTTCTATATTAGGAATGGATCACATCAGACATCAAAGACTTCTCACTGTTGACACGTTCAGGTTCAGTAAATAAACCTAAATAATTAGTAGTAAATTAAGAGTAATAATTAGATATTAAGCATCTTTCAGAAGCAATTGTCTGATTCTTTGATAAGAATTATTTTTTATTTAAAATGGTCATGTAACTTAACAACAAAGTTTAGAAAAGCTAAATTTCCAACTTAAACCTTATTTTTTATGGCACTCATATGCCTCTAACAAATTATCAAAATGGGAAGAAATTTGATATTGTGTTCTTGTGTGTGGCCACTGCTTAACATAACAGGTCGGAACCAGGAAAAAAAAAATGATCTCTGATGTTGAAAGAGGGGTTCCCATCATTCTGATAAGAAGTCTGTACTTTTTTAATACTACTTTTATTGGAGGCACATATTGCAAAATGACATATAAAGTTCCTCTATATGTTTTAAACTTAGGATGACAATATTATTCAGGAAGCAAAATTCATTTGTGCCTTCTTCCCAAACCATTTATTAAAATGTCCTTCTTTTCTAATTAAATTATTATATCCAAAAATGGGATATGCCTTAAAGCTAAACTCCACATAAAGTGCTAAATACAAAGATGGAATACATATATGAAAACTGTTTGCCTGCCAAAGGACTTGCTTGTATTTCCATACTTCCAGTCCTGAGATGTATACTGTTCCTCCCCCAAAGCATAGCCCTGTCTGACCATGGGGGGACCTGATTTCTCTCTGCTGCAGTTTTACTTTCACTTGCTAGTCTTCTCTCCACCCGCACCCTATGACTGGATAGTGAAAAGAGAAGCTACACAATGATAACCTCCTCTCTCTCTAATGGTGGCCCTACATGCTTTGATATTATTTATTTATTTTCCAATTCATCTTTTTCAATATGAATAATTGATTTTTGTCAATAACCAATTTGATTAATATGCCACACGCAGGGAACTGGATTTCAATTGATAGCTATACTAAAATCGTAATTTGCGATCATAAGTTATTAGTCATGTCCCTGTCTACACCATGTAATCTCATAATCTGATCTGTTGAAATATGACCGTATTCACGAACAAAGTCTCTTGGTGCTGCTGATTGATGCAAAGTGATCTACGATATTCTATTTGACTCAGTTTGATCAAATTTCATTGAAATTGAGTCTAAATTGATCAGAACAGATGATGTGACTTTTCAGTTGCTTGTGAATTGAATCATTTTGATAGAAATTGCATGTCAATTGGATAAAAACATCAAAGCATGTTCAGCCACCATAGCTCTGCTCTTCCCTCTTTACAACTGATTGGTTGCTTCTGCTGCTTTTGCCTCCCCAATCTGAGCTTTGCTGTACAGGGAATGCAAGAGGAATTTACCAAATGTAGGCACTTTTACTGCTTTGTTTAAAAAAAAAAATAACAACTAAAAAACATTTAAGGATGTAATAACGATTACAGAGTGACATTACTTTGTGTTTTTTTTTTACAGTATATCCACCTAGAGTTCAGCTTTAAAGCGGTATTAAACCCAAAAGCAAACATTTATTATATTTCATCTTACCAATTCTTAGATGTGATAGTTGCATTCATTTTCTTTTTTAGGCTTTCTTTCTTCTATGTTCTTCTATGCTGATCCAGCCAGCAGGTTTTTCAAAATCTCAAGCTCTCCAGCAGAATGTATCAGTTTACATGGATGAGACAAATTAATTAATACTAGCAGAGGTGATTAAAATGATCAGCTTTTAATTATTCATGAAAAACCTTTACTCAAAAAGGAAAAAAACATTTTTTGTAACTGATTATAAAGTGCGAGCTGGAATTTGGCTTTAATCTGTTTAGTGTATTTAAATCTGCTAATACATTTAACACTACCCCCCTCCCCAGACTGACAATGCTGCTGTGCCTTCTGTTCTCATTCATCCAGAGTTGTGTCTCACTAACGCTGGAGGTGTGTTACTGGCCAGATCACCAGATTAAAACGGCCTAAAAAAAAGAAAACTATTGCAGCCACCACATCTAATGACTTTTAGGCTACAGTATAATACATTATTGGTTTTGGGTTTAAAGGGAGAACAAGCTGTTCAGGGCCATAATTGTTACTTATTAGGCTGTACTTACTTTGTCTGAAAAGTCATCTTGAGCTTCAGGGTCAGAGATTATCTGAAATCTAGCAGCTGCTGTATCTGCTCAGAACTATCCAGTAATGCACCAGTTCACATCCAGTTGACAATCACCATGTTTCCTATAAACTCGGTATTCTGATGTTTTGGGAACCCCAGTTGGTAAGGTATGGGAAATAACAGCCTGGGTATAGCTTTGGTTGGGATTTGCATAGTTTCTGCATTGTATCGAAGGCTGAATCAACAGTTTATCGGTTGATTTCCCTTGTTGCATTGGCTATCTTTTTACCTGGCCTTGACTAAATGCATGTTTGTTTAAATTACAGCTTTGTTTATTTAGAGAGAATTGATAATTTTCCATGTGCAACCCAAGGGCCACCATTAGTGGCTGCTTCTGAGATTTTCTTACTTTTGTTCTATAGCAGTCAAAGACTACATTTTCTGTTACATGATCACTTCCTGTTTAGGAAATGCATTTATGAAAAAAAAAAAGCACATCTCCGGTGATGTCAACATTATGCTATTCTGTAGTGGTACCATAAAAAAGCCACGTCAACTTGCACATTTTTCAATAAAAATATATTGAAAGAAATCTGCTGCACGCATTGCAAATATATACACCTGCCTCTGTTCTGGAGAAAGTACAAAATACATTTAATTGTTCTGCAATATTCTTAAATGGCTAGGTTGAATGAAAATTCTGTGTATCGATTTGGAACCTTATAACCATATTTACTAGTATATCTTATAACTGAGCCCAATATAATTTAGTGCACTGTGATTGAGTAGAAAGTTGCACAGAATTCTTTTAGTTTAACCTTAGTTCTCTCAGCATGAAGCTCAGCTTGTTAATCAGGTTAGCGGATCTCCCATGTATCTGTTACCCTTACTCATCTCGTAAAAATAGAGAATTGAGCACCAAATCAAAGCCAGATAAACGAGTTGAAGATACATTTAATTTTTGGTACAAAAAGTCATATAAATACAGCTAACATGTTTCAGAGGCAGCATCACTCCCCCTTCATCAGGGTTCAACACAAGATAAAACTTGGCTGGACTCAGAGAAAACAATGACTTCACAGATCTACAGTGTATTAGAACTAGTCATAAACTCTTATTCATAATGCTGTACATGGAGCAACAACTTGACAGCAGTTGCTGCTCAGCTCGGAGTCAAAGTATTATCATGTGTTGAGCCCTGAAGAAGGGGGAGTGGCGTTGCCCTTGAAATGCATTGGTTGGTTTTATATGACTTTTTTTTTTTTTACCAGCAATTAGAATTATCTTGGACTCTTTCACCCGGTTTTGGTCTGGCTCTTCTTTTTGTATTTCTTTCATTTGAGGTACGGTTGGATGCCGCTTTCGAGGGAAGCGCTGGCTGTCTTGTCAGAAGTTTGAAGTTTTCCTTCACCTGTGTACACATGCAAGTCTAAAAGTTCCCAACACCTCTTTGAGCATATTGTGCTGTACCCTCACTCATCTGTCTAACGTAGATAGAGGAAGGATACATGTTGATGCATCTTTAAGCTAACATTCAGATGCCTAAAACTTGCACAGATAGCACTGTTTGTGTTCTAATTGCGGATTTCCCAATACTTCCTGTATGGTGATATAATGGTCATCAGGGCAAGTGGAAGGAAATCTATCCAACAAGACCTCAGATAGCAATATAAACAAACATTTCCAGACTCAATATAAAACAGTCTGTATCTTTAGGTTACAGTCTAATCATTATATATAACTATTATTAATATTTTTTGTCTCCACAGAATTTTTTCCAAGGAATGGTATTTGACTTAGTTACAAAAACAAAGCTTTGACATTTTCATTATGTGTCTCATTTTCCTTAATATGGTCACAATGATGATTGAAACTGACGACCAAAGCAAAGACATGGAGACCAGATTGTACTGGATCAATGTGGTGTTTATTATACTTTTCACTGCCGAATTCCTTCTAAAGTTCATATCCCTACGACAATACTACTTCACCATTGGATGGAATATATTTGATTTAGTTGTTGTTGTGCTTTCTATTGTAGGTAAGATGTTGACCTTCTTTTCATATCCAGAGTTTACTGTACACATTTTGAATACATTAGCTGTGTTTTGCGGATTTCAAGTTAGACAGGGCTCTGAAAATTAAAAGACTAAATTCACAAAGCTAAATCTCCTAGATAAGGATACTTGTTTTCAAAAAAAGTGACAGTTATTTCCAGTTGAGTCCAATGAAATTTGAAAATTACAGTCACGTGGCAGAAAATAGAGTGCCTTAGGCTTGTGTGAAGCTTTGTGAATTGTGCCTAAGGAGATTTAAAAATTATAGTCATATGGATGTAAATTAACATATTTTTTCTTGTACAGAGCCTTGTGAATGTGCCTTGTCAAATATATAGTTTGCATGTTCTCCCTATGCTTGTACAGGTTTTCTCAGGGTACTCCAGTTTCCCCTCACACTCCAAAGACATGCTGGTAGGTTAATTGGCTCCTGTTTAAGTTGGCCCCAATATGTGTATGTAGGAATATGAGTTAGATTGTAAGCTTCTTGAGGACAGGGGCTGATATGAATGTACTATATATATATATATATATATATATATATATATATATATATACTGTATATATACTGCTCAAAAAAATTAAAGGAACTCTTTGAAAACACATCAAATCTCAATGGGGAAAGATATCATGCTGGATATCTATACTGATATGGACTGGGTAATGTGTTAGGAATGTAAGGATGCCCCATCGTTTGATGGAAATGAAAATTATCAACCTACAGAGGACTGAATTCAAAGACACCCTGAAAAGCAAAGTGAAAAAATTATGCAGCAGGCTAATTCCATTTTTCTGAAATTTCATTGCAGTAACTCAAAATGGTACTCAGTAGCTTGTATGGCCCCCACATGCTTGTATGCATGCCTGACAACATCAGGGCATGCTCCTAATGAGACATTGGATGGTGTCCTGGACAGGGGCAGACTGACAACTCATGGGGCCCTCGGGCAATAGGGGATCATGGGGCCCCTGTGTCCTTGCCAAAACTCAAAAAAGCCCATGAAAAAGGTACCAGTAGCATCTCATGGGGCCCCCTATTGACCCCGGGCCCTCGGGCAGTGCCCGAGTTTCCAAATGGTCAGTCTGCCCGGGTCCTGGAGTATTTCCTCCCAGATCTGGACCTGGGCATTACTGAGCTCCTGGACAGTCTGAGGTTCCACCTGGTGGCGTCAGATTGACCGAAACATGATATCTCCGAGGTGTTCGATTGGATTTAGGTCAGGCGAGTGTGGGGGCCATTCAATGGTATCAGTTCTTTCATACTCCATGAACTTCCTGTATACTCTCAACAAATGAGGCTGGGCATTGTTGTGCACCAGGAGGAACCCAGCACCCACTGTACCAGCGTAGAGTCTGACAGTGGGTCCAAGGATTTCATCCTGATACCTAATGGCAGTCAGGGTGCCATTGTCTAGCTTGTAGAGGTCTGTGTGTCCCTCCATGGATATGCCACCTCTGACACTCACTGACCCACCACCAAAACGGTCATGCTGAATGATGTTACAGGCAGCATAACGTTCTCCATGGCTTCTCCAGACCCTTTTACGTCTGTCACATTTGCTCAGGGTGAAAAGCACAGGGCGCCAGCGGCGGACCTGCCAATTCTGGTGTTCAATGGCAAATGCCAATCGAGCTCTATGGTGCCAGGCAGTGAGCACAGGGCCCACTAGAGGACATCGGGTCCTCAGGCCACCCTCATGAAGTCTGTTTCTGATTGTTTGGTGAGAGATATTCACACCAGTGACCTGCTGGAGGTCATTTTGTAGGGCTCTGGAAGTGCTTATCCTGTTCCTACTTACCCAAAGGAACAGATATCGGTCCTGCTGATGTGTTAAGGACCTTCTACAGCCCTGTCCAGCTCTCCTAGAGTAACTGCCTGTCTCCTGAAATCTCCTTTATGCTCTTGAGACTGTGCTGGGAGATTCAGCAAACCTTCTGGCAATGGCACGTATTGATGTGCCATGATATACTCTGATTAAAAAGTGTTCCTTTAATTTTTTTGAGCAGTGCATATTTTGTGTGTGTGTGTATATATATATGTATATATATATATATATATATATATATGTAAAGCGCTACATGAATTGTCAGCGCTGTATAAGTATCTCAAATAAATAAGATAGTAAAAATTGCTGGGACATTGGAAGGAGGACAGTCTGTACAGAAAGAACAGCAGATGGTGCTGTAAGGTATGTTGCTGCATGTCTGGGAAGCATCTTTCTTGCTATTTGCTTCTGTTCTAAGATGTCATTAGTTCTCAACAGACTAACATGCTGATGGCCCTAAAACAAAAAAAGAATGTATCCTCCATCCAGACACATCCGCTGCTCTCAATATGGCATCCGTACGTGTACACGACCCTGAAGGTACACTGTCAGCATTTGTCAGCATACGCTGTAGTACGCCCCGTCTGAATGAGGCCTTAGTCTAAACTTCTGAATAGAGTGAGGAGAGGTTACAATCTTTCAGGTTTTTATTGCTATCTGCATCCCCACTGAGGACATTCACGCTGTCTACTTTTCTTGGTGAATGTTGTCACAAAAACTAGAACTAGGAAAAAAATGAAAGTTTTGAGTTGTAACAGGGACAGGAATAAAGGGGAAATCATCCAATTGGGACAACTGATAGCGTGACATCTGCCACTTGGACTTGTCTGCAGCACGGGAAATTAAGGGAAATCTTCCTAATAGGGACATGTTGTAGGTGGCAAACAAAATTCAAAAGGGAGTTGTACCCCCCTTCCCTAACTAAAAAAAGGTTTGGCTTTAGCCATACTTCAAATGTATTATTTTAGAACCAAAATAGGCACCTGCGTGACACCTGCACTGACATTCGCTTCATGCTAATCCCTGTGTAGGCTTTACTGCTTTGCACAGTGCTGTCAGAATAAGACTGTAATCATGGAGGAGAAACCCAAGAATGACCCTCTGCTCCCTCACAGTCCATTCAGAAGCTGGGATGGGTCCCTGACCAGTCTGTATTGCTAATTTAATCTACAGAGAGGCCCAAGACATGGTTCTACTGTTTGGCAGGAATGCTTGAATGGCAAGATGATCTGAACATAATTGCAAATTAGCTTTAAAAATACCCATGCACACTAGAGAAATGTAAAGATGACACCTTCCCTGGGGCTCAATAATATAATAAGTCTGAGCAGCATGCTTTTATGACAGCATCATTGAACAACGACTATAGTGTTACCAAGACAGTACTGGAGAACAAAGGTGTGTCCTTCACATTTATGCTGGAGTTTTAGTTCCAGGACAGGCTTTAACTTTAACCTTTTTCTAGTTACAGACATAATGGGGCTGTACATTGCTTTATGGCCATGGTACACTTGTGACAACTGGAGTTGGGCTTGATGTTAGAGTTGAACATAAATTCAACCTGAACATCGTCCGTTTGTGTGTTTGCAGAACACACACACAGTAAGGGCATTTGGCAGGCTGTTCACCCGCCACGCCACACAATACACTGTGCTCTGACAGTGGACCACAGGTCAGGTGTAATGCTTTGACCAATCACAGTTCATGATGATGTCAGAAGGGGGCAGGGACACCAGTCCCTTGTGACGTCATCACAGTATGTAAGAACTGTCAGGCGTCGGGAGCCAGCGTTATGAGCGGAGCGGTTTTTGTTTTTTTTCTTTTTTTTGGGTCAGAGGTGGCGGTGGACATTTTTTTTTTGTTTTTAATAAAGGACTTGTCAAAGACTGTCTTCTGTCATTTTGTACACTACACTTTTTTCTGTGAATGAGTAGTACCCCATACTCATTCACATGGGGGGGCAAGATCTGGGGGCCCTCTTGTTAAAGGGAGCTTCCAGATTCTAATAAGCATCGCATTGCAGATTCCCATAACCACAGGCCAGTGATGTGGGGAAGAGGCCCTTGTCCCCATCAACATGGGGACAACATGCTTTGGGGAGGAGACCCCCTGCCCTAAAGCACCCCCCCATGTTGAGGGCATGTGGCCTCATTTTTGTAAAAAGCTGCAACAAGAAACCCCTCTGACAGCTGAAACATTAAAGAATGTTTTCACTACTAATATACCGCATGACTTAATAATATAACTCAGGTGGTAGTTTAGTAGCTGTGCGGTATCTTATCGCATAAGATACCATTTAGTGGATTGTCCCTGTTTGAAGTTCGCGGTTGAACTTTTGTTAGATTCTAATGTTCGACCGCAAACCGAACAGGGGGGTGTTCAGCCCATCACTAGTAGCAATTTGTCAGGATCATTATACCGAGCTGGAGAAATACTCTTTTGTTCACTATGTTGATCCCTTGCTGGCCAAATGAGTGAGGCATTACAATGTTGCTGGGAGTGATATTCTGCAGCATTTCTCATGTAAGGAAGTAACATCTCACTCATCCTGCCAGTGAAGGAGGGACGCATGGAAACAGGTGAGCATTTATCAGAATTCTTGGCATGATTGTCAGTGTACCATGGACCTTACTGTCCCCAACTCAATTAATTTAAGCTGCAGTCCCCATACTAATTTTTTTTAAAATCTGCCCTGTGTTTTTTTCAACTTGCACATTAATATGTGAATAATGCTATATCTGATATCCGGCTTGTTAGCTGTATATAAGTAATATTTTACCTTGATCTCAGAAGCAGGCAAGCACCATGAAGGATGTGGGCATCTGAAGCCTGCAAGTGTATATTTCCTGGATTACCGTATTTTTCGCTCCATAAGACGCACTTTTTTCCCCAAAAAAAAGGGGGGGAAATGTCAGTGCGTCTTATGGAGCGAATATAAAGCAGTCACAGTATTTCTGCCGCCACCATGTCAGAATATCGGGCCGGCCGCTCAGCTCTTCTCTCCTGCAGGACCTTACCTGTTCCTCGCTCCAGCTGTAGTCTTCCCGCGCTGGCTTCTGTGACAGCCGGGTGGCCACTGCGCATGTGCGACAAGCGCTGCGCTTTGTGAATGGTCCAGTGTCTTCTGGGACACATGACAGGTCCCAGAATGCGCCAGGCCATTCACAAAGCACAGCGCTTGTCGCACATGCGCAGTGGGCACCTGGCTGTCACAGAAGCCGACGTGGGAAGAAGAGGGAAGGACAACTCCGCGGAAGTGGGAGTGGGTACCTGTCAAATTCAGGTACCGACTCCCACTCCCTCCCCAAAGGTCCGCAGTCTCTGGTCATCTCCTGCACTGTCTGCAGGCTCTGGTCATCTGTACTATGTCCACAGTCTCTGGTCATCTCCTGTACTGTGTCCGCAGTCTCTGGTTCATCTCTGTACTGTGTCTGCAGTCTCTGGTCATCTCCTGTACTATGTCTGCAGTCTCTGGTTCATCTCCTGTACTGTGTCTGCAGTCTCTGGTCATCTCCTGTACTATGTCTGCAGTCTCTGGTCATCTCCTGTACTATGCCTGCAGTCTCTGGTCATCTCCTGTACTATGTCTGCAGTCTCTGGTCATCTCCAGTACTGTGTCCGCAGTCTCTGGTCATCTCCAGTACTGTGTCCGCAGTCTCTGGTCATCTCCAGTACTGTGTCCACAGTCTCTGGTCATCTCCTGTACTGTGTCCGCAGTCTCTGGTCATCTCCAGTACTGTGTCTGCAGTCTCTGGTCATTTCCTGTACTATGTCTGCAGTCCATTGGTTCAGAATATTTTTTTCTTGTTTTCCGCCTCTAAAATCTAGGTGCGTCTTATGGTCAGGTGCGTCTTATGGAGCACCAAATATGGTAGGTGCTGCTAGCTATCCCAGCATGCACCTCTGATCTCACTCCTGTGCAGTAATGACACTGTGCTGTGTAGTGGGTTCAAAACATAGCAATGGCGGCAACGGTGGAAGTTCCCGCCCTGTTATTATGGTAACCTGTCAATCAAAGGACAACCCAGGGAAGGCAGGTGCAATAGGGGAAAGTGCTAGCAATCGCATTACTTCCAGTCTTGTAATAATGTAAGATTTTGCTATTAGGTGCCCCTTGGACTCCTGGGATAGATGACGCCAATATCCCAGAAGCCCTAGAGAATATCCTAATGATGAAATCGCAAGAACCAGGGGGGGCCAGAAGTGACTGTATCATCAAAAATAAGGTATTTAATAATATATATATATATATACAGTATATATATATATATATATATATATATTCATTATTGCCATTACAGACTGTTCAGAGGGTGGGCTTTGTCTTGAAGGGAACTTAAAAAAATGGCTGGAAATCCGTTTTAACTTCCATTCGAGACACAAGAGCTACATGTGATGTCTGAAACTGTGCTGTGACACACAGGGGGAGATTTACTAAAACTAGTGCATACAGAATTTGGTGCAACTGTGGATAGTCACCAATCGGCTTCTAACTTCAGCTTGTTCAATTAAGCTTTGACAATAACACCTAGATGCTGACTGGTTACTATGCACAGCTGCACCAGACACCACTAGTTTTAGTAGTTTTAGTAAATCTTCCCTACAGTATCAGATGCTTTCATATGTGCAAAATAGTACCTAAAGCTGCACTTCCCGTTTTTCACCATTACTAAGTTAATTAACTGAGTGGAGAGCTGTAATTATCTGAATATCCCTCATCCCACCAGGAATTAGTTTAGTTTTTTTCATCAAACACCACGCCTGATTTAATCTACGAGGTATTTGTAAATATTTAAAATATGAAAGTGAATAAACTTTAAATATATTTTTGATTATAACTCAATAAATAAATCTATTTTTCATTCAATTCTTACAGGTATGTTTCTGGCAAACATCATAGAAAACTATTTTGTATCTCCAACCTTATTTAGAGTTATAAGACTTGCCAGGATTGGGAGAATCCTACGACTTATAAAAGGAGCCAAGGGAATTCGCACACTGCTATTTGCTTTGATGATGTCACTTCCTGCCTTATTTAATATTGGTCTTCTGCTCTTCTTAGTGATGTTCATTTACGCTATATTTGGAATGTCCAACTTTGCCTATGTCAAGAAAGAAGGTGGAATCGATGACATGCTTAATTTTGAAACTTTTGGTAACAGTATGATTTGCTTGTTTATGATTACGACCTCAGCGGGATGGGATCTTTTGTTAGAACCGATTCTGAATAGTGCAGAACCAGACTGTGACCCGAACGTTGAGCATCCTGGAAGTTCTGTGAAAGGTGATTGTGGTAATCCATCAGTAGGCATTTTCTTCTTTGTCAGTTACATCATAATTTCCTTTCTCATTGTGGTCAACATGTACATTGCTGTTATCCTGGAAAATTTTAGTGTTGCCACTGAAGAGAGTGCAGAACCACTAGGAGAAGATGACTTTGAAATGTTCTATGAAGTTTGGGAAAGGTTTGACCCAACTGCTTCGCAGTTCATTGAATACAGTAAACTCTTTGATTTTGCAGATGCCCTGGATCCACCTTTAAGAGTACCAAAACCAAATCGCATCCAGCTGATTGCAATGGATCTCCCCATGGTAAGTGGGGACAGAATTCACTGCCTTGACATCCTCTTTGCTTTCACCAAACGAGTCTTAGGTGAAGGGGAAGACATGGATAATCTGCGTTTACCAATGGAAGATCGATTTATGGCATCAAATCCATCTAAGGTTCCTTATGAGCCAATTACAACTACCTTACTTCGCAAACAAGAAGAATTATCGGCCGTTGCCATTCAACGTTGCTATAGACGTTACCACTCCAAAAAACTAGCACACACATCTCTAGAAGGCCAAAGAGAGAAGAATAAACGTGCTAGTGTTCGGGCTAAGAACAACAGAAGTGCTTTAAATAAATACAATGAAAACTCATCTACAGTCAAATCTGACATGTCCACCTCAACAACCTCACCGCCTTCCTATGACAGTATAGAAAAGACACCTGAAAAATATGAAAAAGGCCGATCACATAAAGAAGACATTTGTAGGGATAAAAGGGATGCAAAAAATAATTAGGGATCACAGGATGCAGAATTTATGAAATCTAGACAGCTGATATGATCTACAGGTTTCTGCTTGGAGTTCTATGCCAAAATGTCTATTATATGTATGATGTAAGTTTAGTGCCTATAAAACTATGTAGAAATTAACTTTTGTATGAATTCAGTAAGTCAGTGAGCTTTTTATTAGAGTTCTTCTCTACTCGGATTAAACTACTCATGAACTGATGCAAAATCTGTATGTTAAACAGCTGGTCACTTTGCATTCGGTGTCTCTATAATCTGCTGGACAATCACAGTGACTGCTGCTTTTTTTAAGTCATTCTATAAGGGACTTATTCATATAATCACCAATGGATGCATTCTGTAGGATAGAGAAATTCTGTAATGACTTTTAAAGCTTTGTGACGGAATGAACTTGAGAAAGAGTTCAGATTGGGAGCAACTCAGCATCATCAGAACACTTTTTTAGCAATCTTCTGATGACTGTAGGGGATCAGGAGATATCCTGAAGTTTTAATAATCTGTTCAATAATGTTTATGTGCCTCTGACGTCACAAATGGTTCTGGTTTTCAGCTTCAGCGAGTGATATGCGTCTGTAAAGTGCTCTTCTATATAAAGAAAAGGGAAAAAAATAGAAAAAAAAAAACTGAATATGTCACAAAGTGTTTGAGATGCTTCTAGATTCTACAAGATGGTTACAGCTTCTATATTATTATTTTCAATTTTAATTTTTTTGTAAATTCTCTATTTTGATTTTTATATTTAATGTTTTTGTTAAGTTCTTGAAAATGCTATGTAATGCACAAAATTAATATCACAAAAGAGGCTTTTCCAGAAGAGTAAAAAAGTGAACTGTTTCTTTTTATTCATTTACAATATTTTTTATTTTAAATGTATTTATTTTTATTTGTTTTAACTTTACTATCACATGTGAAATTTTCATTGGATATTTTAAAAATTATTTTTTTATATTTATTCGTGTTTTATAATTCACCAACATATTGTCAAGGTTAAACGTTTGGGTAATATATTAATGTAATATGCATACTTTATTTATTTATTTTTTAAGTAGATCTGTCACTAAACCTCTGATTTAAAATGTCATGTCTATGAAGAACATGTAAAGCAAATACCTTTTATCCAATTACTGTGGAAAAGCGCTGCTTTTAAGGTGAGATATAGCGGCATGTTTTAAGTAAATTTTGACTTTCCGGAGAGTCAAAAGGTTACTCATCTTAAAATGTTCCGTCTTGCGCCTTCGCTATGTAATAGCCTCCCTGTCACTCCTTTTACCTCCCAAGATGTTCAACAGTGTGACCTCCCAGGCAGGTGACATAGTGGCTTGCATTTACACTAGCCTGAAAGCATGCACTGATAACCTTGCATGAGGGAGAAGTCAGTCTGTACAGGATTTCTGGGCAGCGCTGGGTAATGAACAGGCTGTGCCCGCCTCTGAGCATGATGTAATAGGCCAAGATAGCAGCGCTTTTCCCATCAAAAACATGGAGGACTTGTTGCAAGTGCAAATATGCCATGTTTTAATACAGTTTAAACTCATTAACCTTTCTTTTTTTTACATATATATATATTCTGGAGCCAGGTTTGCTCCAGCTATATTTTTAAGCCAACTCATGCATTGCATGTTGTTCCGAAGGTTATATTTTTTGTATTTTTATTTATTAATTTATTTTCAGTTAATGTATCTTTGTATGTTTACTCTCTTTGAGTCAACTCAACTCTAGTGGGTTGCTCTCAAAGATTAATTTGTTATAGTTTTGTGTATATATTTGCCTTGATGCTACTGTGTATAATGTCCAGGGAATCTTCATATAGTAGAAAGCCATAATTTAAAGTCATAAGGACATTATATTACATCAGGGTGTACACTTGAAGATAGTATACATTTGTAACACTTGCCTGGATCCTACCTGATGCATAGCCAAATACAAGGAAATATATTCCAACATACTCTTTATAAAACAGTATATATACTGTATAAATATATTTCTTTGCCTTTTGTATATAAAAGTATATAAAAAAAAAAAAAAGACGGGTTTGTGTATTGATAACCACTATTTCACTATTAAATCTGGTTATTATCACAAGTTGAAAATAAAGGCACTACATGTGGTAACTACATGCGTTCTGGTTTGTTCAAGTTCAATATATTATTCATATTACAGAACTAAATAAACATATACTGTGTGTATATATATATATATATATATATATATATATATATATATATATAAAATTAACCTAAAGGGTTAGTTCACCTTTACAGAAAAAAATATAACAGTGAGCTAACACTAGACATCCTCCCCTCCTGCCTCGTTCCTGCTGTACTTACCTCTGGGGTTGTTGAGCTGTTACTTCGGGGACAGACCAGATAAATTAATTGTGGCAGCACTGATCAATTAGAATCTATCTGGTCTATCCCGGAAGCACTGCACAGAGAAGAGGGAGAAGAGTGAGGATTTCAAATTACAGGACTACTGGACCGACTGTTGGGGTGCTGACAGCTCAGCAACCCTGTAGGTAGGTACAGCGGGGAAAAGGAGGAGGGGAGGGTGTCTGCTCTTATTTCAACTTTACATTTTTTCTGTAAAGGTGAACCAACACTTTAAGGCCTCATGCACACTGGTCATTTGCCTAACTCTTCTGGACTCCTTTTCTTCTAGCAGGAGAAAAGCAGCATTACAAATGCTCCTAAAGCCACATTCTGCAAACCCGTTTAGGCAGATTCAGGCACATCAGGCATTTGGACATTCATTCATTTCATTGGGCAGAATATTAATTTATTCTAGTCATTGAAATTAATGAACACCCAAGTGCTAAACGTACCTAGTGCTTAGACACATTTACATGCGTTTGTGCATGTTCTGCTTTTTTTTTCAACAAAATGTTCTTCTCCTGAACATGCAAGGGATGTTTTTTTTTTTTTGCATCTAAATGCCTATATGTGCAAAGATACAAAGGCTGACATGGGGTGTTGCTTAAATGCAGAAAAAAAGCCCTTTAAAAGTGGCATTTATGAAGCCCAGTGTGCAAAAGGCCTGAGATGGTGATGATACGGGTGTTTTCAGGAGTGCAATTGCTGAGACATTTTACACCTGTATGGACAAATTGCATTTAGCAAAACTGGTTGGCTAAATGGATCTCTGTATACAGTCATGCTGTATGTAAATCTGAGCTCTGTAAGGACAAAGAAGGTGAGGGAGGAGGTTGTCTATTACAGCTTTATTTTAAAGTGCATGTAGCCTGGCAGATTGCTAGCTTCTGAAACAAATACCTGTTTACAGTTACCCAAAAGGAAAAACAGCCAATCACAGATTTTATACAGTATGTGTGTTTATCCATTACAGGGTGCATGAGCGCTAATTTCCTTACTGTAAGGCAGGCTTTAAAGTTCAGTAATCATTAGAACCCAATGATTGCTGGTCTAAACATGTGAAATATTGGAAGGGCAATATCTGTGGCTTGGCTGCTTCACTTCAATGCTCATCATTGCTCCCTCTGCTATAAAATGTATTTTCTTGTGCTAACCGGTGTGTAAAATTATTAGTAATCTAGAAGAGATCAGAATGTAATACAGGGTGCAGCAACATAACTCCCTTTTTTCAAAACGCAATAAAACCCATTTTATGAATCAGAATTGTTTTTATTGTCTTTAATAATGTAGGTACATATCTAAAGTTCTGTTTTACAGTTTTGACAATCATATCAGGTAGGTGACGCCCCCCATTGTCCATACACTGAATAAGCCGATTACTGGCGTTTTTCATGACCCTTACCAGCATAGCAGCGGGTATGTTGGCAATTTCTGCGCGGATGTTGGCCTTCAGGTCTTGTAGGGTCCTTGGACGGTTTACATAAACGCGGGATTTAAAAAAAACCCACAAAAAAAGTCGCAAGGGACCAAATCGGGGGAGCGGGCTGGCCACTCCAAATCGCCCCTTATTGAGATGAGGCGCTCCGGGAAGTGTTCCCTTAAAACAGCCATTAATGCTCTTGAAGTGTGAGCCGTTGCTCCGTCCTGTTGAAACAAAATGTCCCCTAAGTCCAATTCATCAAGTCGTGGAAAAACAAATTCCTCCAACATGTTCACA